AACAAAAAAGATCTTCTTAACAGATTAAATTCTGTTAAGATATTTTCAAAGTTCAATATGAAATCTGGATTTTGGCAAATCCAAATTTGTGAAAGTAACAGGTATAAGACTGTCTTCACTGTCTCCTTTAGGCATTATGAATGGAATGCTATGCCCTTTGGCTTAAAAAATACCCCTTCAGAGTTTCAAAAAATTATGAACGATATTTTCAATCCTTATTCAAAATTTGTCATTATCTATATTGATGATGTCTTAATTTTCTCCCATTCTATTGATCAACATTTCAAACACATAAATGTCTTTATCAATGTTATCAAACATAACGGACTTGCTGTTTCCAAGTCTAAAATTAATCTCTTTCATATCAATATTATATTCCTTGGTTACAATATTCATTAAGGAACTATCATTCCCATCAGCAGATCTATTGAATTTACTGACAAATTTCCTGATAGAATCCTAGATAAAACCCAACTACAAAAGTTTTTAGGATGTCTTAATTATGTAGGTGATTTCATTCCACACCTCAACAATATTATTAAGCCTTTACATGACAGGCTTAAAAAGAATTCTCCTTCTTGGACTGATGTTCATACCAATGTCGTCAAAGAAATAAAAAATAGAGTCAGGAAGATAAATTTTCTTTATCTCCCTATTCTCAAAGCATTTAAAATTGTTGAAACTGATGCCTCTAACATAGGTTATGGTGACATTCTCAAACAAAGAATAGAGTCGCATGAGCATATTATTGCATATACTTCAAAACATTGAAATTCTTCTCAGAAGAATTATTCAACTGTCAAGAAAGAAGTTTTAGCAATTATTTTATGCGTATCAAAATTTTAATATGACTTACTAAATCAAATTTTTTTTATTAGAGTAGACTGCAAGTCTGCTAAAGAAATTTTACAAAAGGATGTTAAAAATCTTACCTCAAAACAAATTTTTGCAAGATGGCAAACAATCTTAAATGTTTTTTATTTTGACATAGAATATCTCAAAGGCACTTCCAATTCTCCCCCTGACTATCTTACCCGTGAATATTTACAGGATAAGTAAGATGCCTAGAAAGGCAACAACCCCATCCAGGGGTGGGGCTTCCCGAGGGGGAAGAGTAAGGCTTGCCCTTACTATAAATAAATCAAAACCACAATATGCTTCAGCAGGATCAAAATCTGAATCTTCTGGGTCATCTACCCCCATTGAGTCATTAACTCAAAAAGCAATCCAAATTGTTGAGTCATAAACCCAACAATCTAGAACTCCAAAAGAATCTTCCAAAAAGATTGATTCTTCTGTCAAAACCACCAAACAAACCAAAGCAGATTATGCCTTGCCAATTAGCACCCTCTTAACTGTCCAACAAGGAAGCTTGAGCAGCCTACCAAAGAAATCATGGGCAAATATCGCCTCTGAGGAAGACATGGAAATAGATTTAGCAAGCCTAAACACCATAATCCAGTCTTTTAATCAATCCCATAAAATAATTAGCAATCCAAATAAAACAGAAAGTACCCTTAGCCTCCAGAAGGACAAACAGAAATCTTCAAATCCTAACCATTATATGGCAAAAGGAAAATTTTCTTTAGTCATACAAATTGAACCTCAATTTTGGGATAAAAATTCCTATAAAGCAATTACTAAAGTCTTCCCACCCGGATTTCATTTTAGATAATATGCGGCAAATAAAATTAGGCAGTTTTATGAGTTTATTTTAATAGATTCAGACTCTGTTTCCATCAAACACTATAAGGATAAAAAAGATCCTTCTATCATAACCCATTCCACAATCCAGATCTTAAAAGTCTTAACCCCAAAGACCTTTGGCAAAAACTTAAATTCTTATAAGAAGTTTTCTCAACCATTTGACCCAATAGGATATAATTACTGGGATTATATTGATGCATGGACAAGAAACTTCTGGTTCCAGAATAAACTTAACCGACATTCTTGGTTAATATATTTTAAAAAGAATTAGAACTATGACTTTCTAAATTGGTTTCTCCAATGGTAGGACTATTTTGGGCCAATTGAAAATATCCTTCCTACACCTGTTAAAGAGGGATATAGAATCTGCAAAGGCAGGTATCTACGAGACATGAGTATTCTCATGGCAATATAGATGTGGTAAAACAAAGAATGAAGAAACTGTTCCTCTGCTTCACATATACTCTTTTGTGAAATGGTGAAATCAGTTTAATGCTGACCATGCCGGTCCTTTAGTTGTTGCCGAATATTTTGGAAAAAATCCAAAATTATTAAATTTGGCAGACCCCGCAACATTCCAATTTCTGAATCAGAAATTGAAGGTTGCAGCTTTTTTATCAAGTTGTGATTCAAAAGAAAAAATGAAGAAAAATTTACAAGATGTTCTTCTTCTCTTACAAAGTCAAGATGAAGGTGAGTCATCTACAAAACAAGATGCCAATACAGAAGATATGTATCAAAATGAAGACGACTGCTTCGGTATTGATATCCAAGAACTTTAACTTGTACTGTAGAAAATAGATCCAGTAATCAACCGGAACTGTAGAAACATTATTTATTTTTCCTTTAAAAGGAGTGCTTAACCATGATGTGAGGTACCCTTTCATTTAGCAACATAAGAGAGTTTTCAGAAAGAGAAGCTCTGAGTGATATTTTCTCTTGTAAACCTTTCTCTTTGAAATCTTTTAATAAAATTTTGTTGTTTCAACTTTGTTTTCTCTCTTCTCCCTCTTAGCCGGTTCTGTTCGGACTATCGTCGTCCGGCTTTCTTCTCTTCTCCCTCCACTAGATCTGTGCTAGTTCTGCCGCCGTTCTAGTTTCTATGTTTTAAGTTTATATCTTTACATTCTGCACATTTACATTTTATATTTCATTTAGTAATCCTGCTACTGTCTACTTTCCTTTCAGTCTTTATTCTTTCCTGATCCACTTTGGATTATCTAGTATCAAAGCCTGATAGGGTATATATATATGTGTGTGTGCACGCAGAAGTCAAATATAATTTATTCAATAATTATATATTAATGGATATAATATTTAAATAATTACAACATTTATATTAAACTTACCAAATTGTTTTAAAATAGAAACAGTAAATAAAACCTTATATAACAAATTAAATATAATTAAGATCAATATAACATTTACATTTAATTTTGCAGATAATATTTACATTAAAAATTTGAATTATATAGGGCCGGGCTCAAAACCTAATCAATCCATCTTCGCTTTATATACTTTTAGAGACAGTGGTTTCTTTGCTGAGAGAGTTTGGAAGCTAAGAGGCGCCTTCTCTTCTTAGACTATGACTCAAGTTTAAGTTTGTCTTCTATACTATTCTTTAGTTCTGGTTGTTTTTGCTATTTTATATATCTCTTTAAAATAAAAAAAATAAACATAGAGTAAATTTTTTTTAATTAACAGAAAAATATGTTTTCTAAAACCAAACAGAAGTAACATTTTTAAAAAAGTTGATTAATGTTAAATGATTTAAAATGTATTTTAGTTTATTTTAAATATTTTAACATTAAAACATGCCTTAAATCTAATTACAGGTGACATAAGTATTATTTTTTAAAAAATTCCAAGATGAAAAATAATTTTTTAAAATAAAAATAAAAGTTAATTTAAATCAATTTTTATAATAAAAAAATTAAATTCACTATAGAATTTAATTTAAATAAATTTTTGTGTAAAAAATTTTTAAAATAAAATTGAATCGACTTTTATTATATATACTTTAAAGATATTTATATAAATTTTTACAAAATATTTAAAAAATAATAATTTTTTTAAAATTTATTTATGAAAAAAAAAGCCTCTTTACACTCGCCCTTCTCTTTTGAACATACATTTTAATCCAATAATTTCAATATATTATTTTATATTATATTGATATAATTTTAACAGAAAATTTTAACCTCTCCCTCGCTTGTCGATGATGAGATGAAATAAGAAAAATAAAAAGTAATCTAAAATATAAATTATCTATTGTTTAATTATTGTGAAACCTATAACAACCCAAGTGGGCTTTAGATACCCTCTTAGAATGGTATTGGGCTTGATGTTCAGCTGCTTGTAGATAAAAGTCCGAAACAAGCCCGCAGTGTTTAGTCCAATTTGGCTCGATCGACGTTGTGGTTCCGCCGCTGCTTCGCCGTTCGGGGATCCCCTTTGTCACACTCCGCATCATTTTCAGTAGCTTGAAGGTACATATTTTGCGTCTCCTTCTTAGGGTTTCCGATTTGAACCAGCAATTTGAAGCGAAATTGCGTTTGTTTTCAGTAGCTTGAAGGTACATATAGGTAGGTCCATGTTGATACGGAAATTGCGTTTGTTATCTCTTACTATCATTATCCTAGGAATTCGCTCTCCAAATCCAAAGTTGCACTCGATTTAATACAAGGAATTATGAAGATTGCATAATGCATAGCAAGAAATTCAAGGCTCCCTAGTCGTCAGTTGATAATTCAGAATCTGAGTTCTCAGTTTGAAGTGTTTAATACTAGTTATTATATCAAGTGTTAGAATATTGTAAAATACCCCAATTGACAAAAATTCATACATAAACTAGAAGTTTAAGCTTTGTATACGTAACATCAATTGAAATGTGTAAGTGCTTTTCCCTTTGATCTATTGACATTAATGGCACTTTTTGCTTGAATTAGCAGCTGTGAGTTGTTTTAGTGTTTAGGCATTGTTGTGAAAACTCTACATCTATATTTTACGGCAAGTCAATCGAGGAGGGTGAATATATTTACCCTTTATCACTTCTCTACTAAGTTCATCCTCAGAATCTTTCATCTTTTTAATAGTTGTCCGTGTGTCTTCTGTGACTTAAGAAATGGACGTCTTTCTAGTTATTGTTTTATTTTCTGTGCTGTGCTTACAAACCTAATTTATGGGAGGTTTATTTTCTAGGTTTATAGAAAAAACTATGTCTCGCAGCTTGTTTATGTGTGATTTCTTTTGAATAGAAGGAAATTTTCTAGTACATGATCTCTATAGATGCAGCTGCATTTCATTTGCATCTGCACCTTATGGCTAGGTTATTATTGTCTTTATCATAATTTCTATTCCAAAGTCGATACAGTTAATTTGCAACTGATCTGCACTGCACTTGTCAATTAAGTCCCTTACAACTCATTTTTCTTTGAAATAAAGTTGTTTGTACTAATGCTTCAAATTGTTTTAGGTAGTTATTTTCATTGATTTTTGTGACTTTTTGATCAAATGAACATTGAGTTTTGTTAGTAGTTTGATGCCATACATCCTACTAATGGTAAACAGGTTCTTAGCTAATGGTGAAAACAAAGCAGAAGCGAACAGGAAAAGTTCCTGGTAAAAAGAATGGCACTTCTTCAATTGTTGATTCTCTAAACTGTGATAGTCAGCACGAGGATGGTGATTGGATTATAGTGAAAAAGCAAAGAATCACCATTCTAGTGTCTGCGGCACCTCTCAATGAAGCATCCTTAACATCAAACCAAGGACCAAATCAAATGCATCTTATGCCTCCGGAAATGGCAAGTAACCATGTGCAGCTTCCCATGGAGACATCTACTGTACATCCTTCCGGCAATGAACATGAGAAGACCAATTTATTGGCTGTCCAAAAGGAGATTAATGCCGCAAGAAAAGCTCCTCCTGCTATACCTAAACCAACTATAGTCAATCCACTATCGCTTGATCAAATAATAGAATCAGAAAATCCTCATCGAGCAAGTATTTTGAACTCACATAAATTACTTGGAGTATCTGGTACATCAAAAGTTCTTAAGCAGCCAAGAAAACTACTTGCACCAAGAAGTTCCCCCAACCTGGAAACTTTAAATAAAGGTTTGAGAGCATCAAATCTTGAAAGAAAGCTTGAAAGAGCTGGTGGGCTAAGCAAGTGGCTGACATCACTTGGACTGGGGCAGTTTGTGAGAATTTTTCAGGGCAAGAGTCTCAATAAGTATCAGCTGGTAAATCTAACGATGAAAAAACTCAAGGATATGGGCGCCAGTGCAGTGGGACCTCGCAGAAAATTGATCCATGCCATTGACTGTGTTTGCCAGCCATGTTGCTTTGAGGCTTTATAGAAGTTTTTAGGATTTTGAAACAATATAAAAGAATGTTCAAAGACATGATACAAATGCCAAACTTTGTTTGTAGATGCTTTTGGGATAGTTAACAGCCTTGGGGAAGTGTCTGTAGAGATTTCTGTATATAATTATTTTTCTTTTTTGGCATTTTTCACGACTTTAACAAATAATATTATAAAATTAATCATTCTAGGCACATTTTACCCATGAGAAAATGTGTTTCATAAGATAAATTATACTACAACAATTAAATTTTATTTTATTACCCGACGTGACTAGTCTTTTGATAAAAGAAATAAACTTATAATAAGTTTTCAAACTAAAATATAAAAAAAAAAAGTGAAAAAGAAAAAAGTATGGACAGTTCTAGGACTTTTAGCTTGTAATGCATTTTTGTTTAAGCAAAAATTATCTCACTTAAATGAAAATGTTTTATATTTATTTAAGTAAATAAAAATAATTTAAACAAGTAACCTATCTGGTTAAGCGAATGTGTATTTGTTTAAACTCTTCCAAGTAAAACTTTTATTTAAGAAAAATGCATTATAGATTACAACTCTACAAAAACTACTAATGATCTGAATAAGCTTGTAATAAAAACTTAATTCAATTTTAAATTTAATTAAGAAATCTAAATTGATTTAAACTTTAAATTTAATTACTCTAACTCTATATTTGAGTATAGATATTCAAGCCAAATAATCAAATTGACCAAATTTGCCTGTTCTCTCGATAAATATCACAGAAAAACAGTTTCGTTTTGGATGGTTAAAAATTAACAACGTCTATATATTCACACATTAAAAAAATATTCCATAAAATATAAAGCGATACCTGTTTGATTGCACCAACAAATTGAATGGCTACGATTCATTTGGCACGAAACACGTGCAGCGGACGGAGAATTTTGTAATTCCACGAAAATGGAATCTCAAATCTCCGATTGTTTCAAAATGGGTTAGAGCTCGTTGGGCGTTGGCTGCTTCTATTATTTCTGTTTAATTGTTGTTTTCCTACCATTCAAATCATTTAACCTTTACCGCTAAACGTTCTATCGGGTCGTTCCGTACTGTTCCCCCCAATTATTTTCACCAGCTTATCACTGCTGAATGAGCAAAATTTAGTGTTGAATTATATATATTTTCGATGTTATCTTTTAATTAAAATTAAATTTTTATCTTAATAATTTATACAGTTATAGATAGTTTGTAAAAGTAAAAGTCAAACTTTGGTTGCATTCATGTGCCCCTGATTATTACTTTCCTAACAATCCAGCACACAAAATCTGAGTTAAATCTAACCCACCTTTCCCACTTTTCTGTTTCAACCCCTCATTGCCTCTGTATCTGAAAGGAAATTAAGATACACTTGAGTCCTGATTCCTGAACATTCCTGAAAGTTTCTCCCCCCCCCCCCCCCCCCAAGTGCAGATTAGGGATAAAGAAGAGTCATGGAGCGTGATAGCAAAAGCATCGCAACTCCTTTGTTGGAATCTCAGTCTTCTAAAAGAGCTTCAAAGCTTCAAACTTTGGGCAATATCATAGTCACTGTAGTTGGAACTGGGGTTTTGGGATTGCCCTATGCGTTTAAGATTGCTGGATGGGTTGCTGGGTTGCTTGGGGTTGCTGTCGTTGGTGTATCTACCTACTATTGCATGCTCCTACTTGTCGGTGATCTCACTCTCTCTCTCTCTCTCTTAATCTTTATGCTTTATGGTTGATTCTGTTTCTCTGATGGTTTATTCAAATTTTATGCCAATCAATTCAAATTTTTCTTTTTTTAGTGTTGGGATTGGTGTAATTATGAATGATCGTAATTTATAGATGCTTTCTTCCCGTTTTTACCCATATATTTTAAAGTAAAAGAAGGGTGAGATTAAGAATTGCATTGTGTGGAGTTAACTTTTAAACTCCAGAGGATCTTGATCCTATTATAGTAATATCTTTTTCTTTTCCTGTGTTTTTATTTTTGTGGTGAGGGGTACTCTATCGCTGTCATTGACTTCCTCAACTTAGGTGACTCCATTGCCAAAAGGAAAACAAAAATAAAGAAAATAATTAAAGTTTTATGTTAGCACATTTTTTGTTGGCTTTATTCTCTGCTTGTGTCTACTCTTGTTGTTACAAGGTTTGTTTTTTATTTATGGATGCAGGTTACGTGCAGAGAAAGTTTGGCTTCAGAAGAAACATTAGGGGAATCAATAACATATGGAGAGCTGGGTTATAGGGCCTTCGGAAAGACGGGTCGGTTTGTGACAGAAGTTATAATTGTGGTAGCACAATGTGCAGGGTCCATTGCTTATTTGGTATTTATTGGACAAAACATTGATTCTGTATTCCCAGACCTAGGACTATCATTAGCCTCCTACGTATTTATGTTAGTGCCAGTTGAAATTGGATTGACTTGGATAGGGAGCTTATCTGCTTTAGCTCCTTTTAGCATTTTTGCTGATGTGTGCAATGTATTAGCTATGGGAATTGTAGTGAAGGAAGATGTACAACTGGCCATAGAGGGGGGATTTTCATTTGGAGAAAGGACAACAATCACATCCAATATTGGGGGGTTGCCATTTGCAGCAGGCATGGCCATTTTTTGCTTTGAGGGGTTTGGAATGACACTTGCCCTGGAGAATTCTATGCAGGATAGAGCTAAATTCCCCATATTGTTGGCTCAGACTTTTGGTGGGATAACACTTGTGTACATTCTTTTTGGCTTTAGCGGTTACATGGCTTTTGGTGAAGAAACTAGAGACATTGTGACCCTCAATCTCCCTAGAAATTGGTCATCTATTGCAGTGCAGGTAATATAGTTACCACAACCATACTTCAAGATCGTTTTCTGCTCATATTTTTGCCTGTCGTGGTTATCTTAAGTAGTTATCTTGCAGTTTGCAAATCATTACCATGCTCTTAAGCAGTTGATTTTAGATTTATAATGGAAAATACCGGAGCCACCTTCCAGCTATATTCTTGCCCACTGTTATTGTTATTAATCAAATTTAGTGGAGTGATAACAAATGTTTGTAAGCTAATGGTATATTGCTTTCATCATTCTTCATTTAAGAAGAACTTATTAGTGTGGCATGGACTTGTCTATGGATATATTACATATATATACCATTCCAATATGGCTTGTTGGCATTGTAACATGCGGAAATCCTTGGAATAGTCAACATAGAATTGATATGGTTTGGTCAAATCTGTTTGAAACGTGTTACATCCTTGCTATTTGAGGATACTAGTGGCAGGCTTGCAACATCTAGCGCTTGGAGGCGATGGTGTTTGATAACAGAACTCTTGATGATGTTTGATAACTATAATTTGTGCGCATTGGTGTCTTATCAGATATCAAGTAAACTAGTTTACACAGAATCATTCCTAAATTATTTCCTCAATTTTTTATTTCATTTTGTATTGCTCACCAGGAAGTCTGACCTCTAATATTTTATATGATGGCAGGTAGGATTATGTCTAGGGCTTATGTTCACATTTCCAATCATGTTACACCCAGTTAACGAGATTGTGGAAGAAAAACTCACAAAAATCATCTGCAGAAACAATTATGATTCAACGAGACTGAGAAGTGTTGACATATATATCAGTCGTGCGATTGTGGTGGTTGTGCTAGCAGTTGTGGCTTCATTCGTGCCACAATTTGGTATATTCGCCTCATTTGTTGGGAGTACCTTATGTGCCATGCTCTCGTTTGTTTTGCCAGCCACATTTCACCTAAAATTATTTGGCTCCTCTCTACGATTCTGGCAAAAAGCCTTGGATTCTATTGTATTATTCTGTGGATTATTTTTTGCTGTTTATGGCACTTACAACGCAATAGTTGGAGTTTGATGCATCTATACATGTATTTTACTTTGATGAACCTTTTATACAACTCCGTTCGTGATTTTTATGCAAATAAGCGTTACAGTTAATTTGTATAATTCCGAGTGCTTGGGCGAGTTGTGATCCTATTTACATTTTTCAGTTCCACAGAATCTTAATTGTACTTCAACCTTAAATTGCATTAGCTTCTTTTTATCAAGAGGGGGAGGGTTGTTAAAGCATCACTTTTCGGCTCAGGTTTATCCAGCTCAAAAGTTTTTGGACTATTAAGAGTCTGTTTGTAAAATCTGTAATTGAGGTTAATTTGGACACGCATCTATCTCAATTACATTTAAAATTTTAAAATTACTTCATCACTTTGTGACGCGAGTTATGCATACATTTTTGGCTTTTGGTGAGATTAGACCTTCATGACTCTGGTAAAAGGACATGATAAACTTGTGAGTTGAGCTGTACAATTTAATGGTCTTGGCTTCAGTAATATACTGAAGCTAAGAAACAAGTTAAACTGACACAGATTACCAAAACGACAACGGCACAGCAACAATCCTAGTGGCAAACGTTTTTGTCATATATGTTTGCCCGTGAAGTTCAGCCACTTTCTACTGGGACACTCTGAAAAGCATGTCACTTGCAATAATCCTAGTGAATCTTATCTACATATGTTGGATTCACATAACGCCTTTGAGTCGTTTTCCTAATAGTTTGTTTCAGTATCGTACATGTCATAAGACTTCTGGCATATGTTTAATAAATCGTACCAAAAAATGGTATAATTCTTCCAACCACTCGCCCCAATCCCCATTGAATTAGCGGATAAGATAATACCCAATAAGATGGCACGTAGCAAATCAAAACTCCGTTAAATATAGCTGAAAATCCAAAAAGTCCCACGTGGAGAGTTATGTTTGGACTCGAGAGACTGAAGGAACACCCGGGTCTCCCGTAAATTCCTCAGCACAAAGAAAAGCAAAATATAATGATTGCATGTTTATGGTAGCATGATGACATAATATCTTTTTTCCTGGAGAGACATAATGGATGCTTAAGACCTAATGCTCTCCCCACTCACTCACACAAGCGTGGACATCCACTCTACTTTTGGCATGGAGCGCCTAAGTGAAAGAGAAAGAAGACATTGATTCTCATTCTTTTTCACAACAGACAGACATGAATTTTTAAAAAAAACAATAAAGAGAAAATGAAAAGGGCAAAAAGCTTTCACGTCCATTTCCTAGCAAGGCCACAAAGGCTACTTTTTTTTATGATTCATAGCCACAAGTTGGGTTATATTCTTAGTATCTATTCATGTATTATATAAAAATAATGTCCACGAAAGCCAAGATTGAGCAGTGACAGAAGCTACTGGCTTAGACGAACTTGGATTATTCTGGCGACAGATTGACAATGTGACTCAAACCTCCACCGTGCATGGAATGGACACAAAAGACACACACTATCCCTTTCTGTCATCCACCTCTTCACATCCCATATAATAATCATCATGAAGTGCATCACCTTTTCCTACTCAAAAAGATTATCATCATTTCCCATATTAAAAAAGCATACAAACCATCACTCTCGAAGCTATAATAATAATAATATTAATAACAACGACAACAAGTCATAAACTCAACTCTCTCTTTCTCATTCAAACAGAGCCTGCTCTGGTTCTTCTTCCTTTTCTTCTTCTGTTACCACTTTCTTTGAAAAGCTTAACAAAATGGCGATGAAACCCATTAACGTATTGATCACAAAGCCTTCACCTTTGGGAAGCATGGTGGTGATGCTGATCCTATGCATTATGGGTTTCTATGCCCTGCATTTCCCTCACTCTTCGTCTTCTTCTTCATCATCTTCCTCCACTCACTTAGAAGCCCTCTTCCTCTCAACTTCCTCAAACTCCAGCATCTCCTCCTACCTCCGCGACCTCACCATGCACCCTCACCTCGCCGGAACAAAACCCGCTTCCGACACCACTCGCTACGTCATCAATCACTTCACTTCCTTAAACCTTCAAACCCACACCGTAACCTACAACACACTCCTCTCCTACCCCGTGCACTCTTCCCTATCCGCGCATTTTGGCGATGGCTCTTCGTTAAACCTTCCCCTCACCGAACCAACCGTACCGGGCGTGGTGCCTCCCTACCACGCGTACTCTCCGTCAGGTGCGGTTCACGCGCCGGCGGTGTTCGTGAATTACGGGAGGGAGAAGGACTACCGTGCGTTGGGGTTGATGGGGGTGAACGTTAGTGGGTGCGTGGTGATAGCGAGGAAAGGAGGGGACTTGGGGAGGAGCGCGGTGGTTGAGAGGGCGGAGGCAAATGGGGCGGCGGCGGTGTTGATTTACGGCGAGAGTGACACGTGGCGGAAGGGTTTCGAGAGAGGACACGTGATGAGGGGCATAGGGGACCCACTTACTCCTGGTTGGGCTGGGGTTGATGGTGCTGAGAGTTTGGGTTCGGAACATTCTGAGGTCTTGAAAAGGTTTCCTAAAATTCCATCCATGCCCTTGTCTGCTGACACTGCTGACACCATTTTGTCCTCTCTTGGAGGTCTTCCTCTGCCCCAGGAATGGAGGAGCACGCTGCGGTCCAAGTTCAGAAATGTTGGTCCTGGCCCCACCTTTCTCAATTTCACTTACCAGGTGTGTAATGTTTATTATGTGATGACATTAATAAATTTTAAATGTAATGTCTCTCTCAAGTCAAACGTGTCATCTTCTGTTTTTCTTTGTTTTTGGTTTGAGCCCTTAAGCCTTTGACTTGAGAAATGATATGGCTCTTTCACTTTTTAACTTTCCTTTTTATCTGTGAAGTTGGTCTAACCTGTACTCGCTGAGAGGGAAAAAACAGTTCTTCAAACTCTAACTTGTACTCAAAAAAGAAGATAATGAATGGGGGCTAAGGTCAGGCAAAAATGAAAGCTCAGGTTCTTGATTTTTGTTCCTTTGGTTAAGGCAAAAGCTTTTTCAGATGTGCAAAACGCACCTTTTTTAAACTATTACATGGAGTTGGATCGTTAAGTTAACCGTGTTGTGATTGTTTGTTACTTTCTCTTATTCCATTTTCAGGTGAATTGTGGGAATTTTACATTTTCATACAGCTGCTATGTTATTCATTGTGCATTCATGATATCTGACTTGATAAAAATGAAGTGGGGAGTTCAAAAGGAGGAATAGGAACAGTTAAAATGTGAGAGTGGCGTTTATGTTTTTATCTGTTTTCTGTTTTTCAGGGTGAGAAGAAGGTGGCCACCATTGAAAATGTTTTTGCTGTTATAAAGGGATGGGAAGAACCTGATCGATATGTTCTGCTTGGGAACCATAGAGATGCATGGACATATGGTGCTGTTGATCCCAGCAGTGGGACAGCTGCGCTACTTGACATTGCACGTCGATATTCTGTTCTATTGGGCTCAGGGTGGAAGCCAAGGAGAACAATCATTCTCTGCAGTTGGGATGCAGAAGAATTTGGGATGGTAGGTGGTAATTCCTTCTTAACAATTTATAAGGCATTGTGGTTCAAGGAATCAAGTGGAAAATGACAAGGTTATTTGGTTTTTAATATTTTTCATTCTTGTTAATATCTGCTATAGCTGCTTTCATAACAATGTGGTGTCACTGCTTTCATTGTCTTGCACTTGCATCATCTTCTTAATACTGATTGCAATTTTTTACCAGCTTTTTGTTTATAATCTTCAGTTCTCTTCAGTGCACTGTCAATTGCTTTCTTCATTAGCCAGATGTGCTCATTATCAAATTAAATGAGCTTGCTTTATTTGAATTATGGAGCCATTTCCTGTAATATCCTCTCTAAATCATGTTTACCTGTTTACGTAGATAGGATCCACCGAGTGGGTTGAACAAAACCTTATTAATCTGGGTTCCAATGCTGTAGCATACCTTAATGTGGACTGCGCTGTTCAAGGCCCTGGTTTCTTTGTTGGCTCAACTCCTCAGCTAGACAGTCTTATTCTTGAGGTCACAAAAAAGGTATTTATTTGAAGTAATGATCATTTATAAATGATGGTGCCAATGTACATTTGGATAATTCTTTAGGAATATATCATGCTCAATCCTGGTAATCCAGCAATTCTGAACATGAATCAACATTTACTTTCATTTCAGGTCAAGGATCCTGACTCTGAGGGTGTATCGGTATATGACAATTGGGCTGCTGCTGGTGGAGCCAATAATGTAGTGCTTTTGTTACTACTGACCAAGTCTGTTATAGTTATGAAAAAAATTTCCTTTTAAGATGATATATCTATGATGAAGACACTTAAATATTTTAGCTGTCTTATGCTAATGTGGGCTTTTGCTGTGCTTGGTTGAAAGTGGGTTTCAATTATGTTGTCGAATCCTCGTTGCTTAGTGGTTTTTGTTTTGTTGGATTGCAGATTCAGAGGCTTAGTGGAGTTGATTCTGATTTTGCTCCGTTTGTGCAACATGCAGGGGTTCCATCCATTGATATGTATTATGGAAAAGGTACATACCTCATCCATGAACTAGAAGATTCTGTATGATTTGTGGAAAGTCTTGCAAATGTGCAAGTAAAATGATTGGAAAAGCCAATCCGGTGGGTCACGTCACATGTAGAGGCATTTACTGTGGTTACACGATTAGTGTCTATTAATATATCTTTTTGGGTACTTAAGAGTCTAATCCGTGATTTTAAAGAAAATGTCTAGTTTATGATAAGGTTGATACTTAATACAGGCTCAATTTCTTTCCATTTTTAGGATTGGATCATTTAGATCTGAGTTCATGAGATTCTGTCATGTTAATTAATGTTTTTAATTTGAAGTATGCATTTATACTTCAGTGGTATTTGCGTTTTTTACCCCTTTTTTTTTTAATTATCAATCAGTCTTAATTTAGGAATAATATCTAAATTCTAATTTAAGTCATCCAGGAACCATAAATATAATGATCATTCCTGGTCCCTGTATTCCTTAAGCATATATTGTATTGCAATACAAAATTAAAAGTTCTTGCACAACATGCTTCTAATATATAATGTTATAATGTATCATATATCCATAGGCTTGGACATCAAATAATTTATGATGCAATCTCTCTCCATTTTTCAGATTTTCCTGTCTATCACACTGCTTTTGACTCCTATAACTGGATGATAGAGTATGGAGATCCATTCTTTCAGCGCCATGTTGCTGGTCAGATTTCTCTTTTTACTAAATAGTGTTTTTAAAATGGTTTTCTTTCAATAAACTGTAATCCGTGTATTAAAATCTATTTTCCGTTCTTTGTTGTATTAGTCACTGGAGTTTGGGGGCTTCTAGCTCTTCACTTGGCTGATGATTCCATTCTTCCTTTCAATTACGTTTCATATGCAAATGAGTTACAGGTGCACATTCATATTCACCCTTGCTTGCTACCATCTTTTGGGGTAGGAAGTTATGCTGTCCAACAAGTTAGGAAATTTTATTTGAGAGCTAATTACAAAACCAAATTAATTGTTACTAATAAGTGACATGTATGATGCATAATGGAAGTTTCCCAAACAACAGATGGATGTGATGAGCACGTTTGCATTGATTATTGATCTAACAGTTTTTTTTTTTTTTTTTGTTGTATCTAAAGAAATATTTAAAATTGAATTGTCAACAATTCCATTAAATTAACGATATTTTATCTAAAAATATTTTTTTTTAAATGTTTTATTTTACATTGAAGAAAAGAAGATCAATATAGGGCTGAGGCAAAGAGTGAATTGAATTGAATAAAGTTTTTGCAATATTGATGTTGCATGTATAATTGCTGCCATCAATTGCAGAGCATTTTTAAATTGATTATATAATCTTCCCCTGCTTTGGTCAGTTGTACAATAACATGTTGAGCAACTTGATAGACCAGCAAATTTCTCTGCATCCGGTAACTGTGTCAATTCAAAAATTTGCTTCTGCTGCTATAGAAGCTGATGATGAATTAAAGGTAAAGAAAATAACCACAACGGGTTTTCACATATTGATATATCTTCCAATGTGTATAATCACTCCTACTTGCCATCCCTTATCTCCATAATTCATGCTTGGCTTTGTTTTGAACTGCAGAAACTGAGATTGCAAGAAACTACAGGTTGTGTTGCAGACATGAAAAAGAGAGCGTTGAATGATAGACTAATGCGTGCTGAAAAAGGCTTCCTGGATGCAGATGGACTTCAAGGAAGGAAGTGGTTCAAGCATCTTGTGAGTGTGTGAACCTTCTATTTGTTCAAAGTTTGAAGCTTTCATCAAAACGTGAATTTTCCTGTGTAGCTTATTATATTTTGGTTGCATCTAAATATCATATATGAGTGGTATTCTTAATATGCTAGTTATCTACTGGGAAACAAATGATTAAGTTGAAGTTGATCATTATTCTTGTTTGAGATTCAACAAACTGTATTTTATCGTTGCATATTTCCTAATCTGTTCTCCTATAGGTGTATGGGCCTCCAAGTGACCATGAAAGGCTGAATTTCTTCCCTGGGATCACTGATTCCATGATCATTAGGTCAACAAATGGAGGAGAAAGAGAAAGGCTAGCAGCAATTCAACATGAGATATGGAGGGTTGCCAGAGCCATTCGTAGAGCTGCTTCTGCACTCAGAGGAGAATTCACCTGAAAACTGATAGGAAAACACAAAGATATATGTTTGTGTTACCTGTAAATCTAGTAGTGTTTCTTAATTTCTTTTTTCACACGAGTGGAGTAGTTAGCTGTATTTTGGTGTACATACTGTACATTAACCTTTCAAAAGTCAGCAGTTGCCACATTTGAAATATAAATATAACTTACTTGAAATTGAATAGATTCTCACTTTAGCCAAATATCAGAGCATAGTTGTACCTTTAAAAAGCGCTTCTTGTGAAATAAAGCAATAAAAAACTAGTATATCATTGTAGAACAGCAAAACGGAAAAAGTTTAAAGAAAGCTCGCGCCAGGTAGGGGTCGAACCTACGACTTTCTGCTTAGGAAACAGACGCTCTATCCACTGAGCTACAGGAGCGTGTTGGAGCAATTTGGCAAAAATATTAATAATAATATTTATTCAAATTATAACGCGGAGTTCCCGCCTAATCGGTTTTTGGTTGAAAAATTCGAAAGGAAGTATTCAAAGTGCCAACGCAATTCGCATTGAGGAAGAAGACGATGGCGGAGGATCCAATTTCCACCTTCTGCAACGCACTGGCAGCTTTCTGCAACCACCTCCATTCCTCGTCCGATGCTCTCAGACAATCCATCGATCGCCGACCTATACCTCTCGGTTCGCTTCTCTCTTGCCCACTCTCTAATTTTTCTCTACGGTTACAATGAAAATCCACACTCTTCAATTGTTTAAACAGATTCTGCGTCGTCGACCTTCGTGCAATGCCTGAATCGCCGCGTTTCGACTGCAAGCGCCGACCTCGATTTGCTTGATTCCATGTCGTTCGGCACCGTATCCTTCGAAGAGCTCCTAGGTCATTGCAACGAATTGTACAAGAAGAACCACTCGGATCTGGTTGAGCTTGAAGATTGTCTAAAGAGCTACGGTTATGTTCCCGGTACTTACTAAAAAAACCTCTAACCTTTTTCCGTTTCGTAATTTTCTGTTCTCGTTAGATAGAATTTTGTTTTGTCTACCGTATTTAGATCTGGATATTGATGAAGACGACGAAGATGAGGATATACAACATCAAGATCCGGTAGACATATTGGATAGTCCGACTTCTTTCTATGGATCACTGTCGGTGGCGGATTCTAGCTTCAAGAGTTTCGAAGATGCTTTGTATCCTTATCGTGTGCCTCGTTTATTTTCTTCCACAAAATCTCGAGTTTTCGTTCAGAGGTTTCTCTTCAGGTTTTTCCATTTAAGTTTTGAATGCAGGCAAGGAACTAATACGATTTTTCGGCTTCTGAACAAATTTTATATGTAACGAAAAAACCGGAAGGAAAAAAATAGAGAAAAAGGATTTGCTCAGAATCAGATGAAATATTGAAATTAGGTTGGTTTTAGGTTCTGAATGATAACGAGTAAAATTAACATACGATTGTCATTTTAATTTTTAATTCATTTGATTTATTTTGGTGCTTTTCATTCCAGAATTTTTTGTTAAAGCTCTGAAAAAGATTAGCCGTCAATGCGATAATTCATCGATCGGTTTGATTGAATATTATGATAATAAATCTTTTTAAGTTCCTTAATTCTCTTCAGACTTGATGAATCTTTGAGTTTGAAAAAGCTTGGGCTGTCAGATGCATGTCTAGCCACGTTAGCATCGGAAGGTTAATGAATGCCATTTGTCTCATAAGCATACTTGTTAAGTAGGGAGGATTTCATTTCCATGCTTGCAATTAGTTGCAAGTTCTTTCTTTGTTAACATCGATCTATTTTTTTCTTGTAGTGCTCCTATGACCTGATCATATTATTGATTACATGAAAACTAGCCTTAGCTTCTCAAATTAATTGTATGTTCGTAATTTCATTTTTATCACTATTTTCACGCATGCAGGGGATTTGTCATCACAAGAACCTGAGAAGTAAGTTAAATGTTATGGATATCATTTTCCTGTTGTGGGACTTTCTGCATTTCTATTGATAATTCCTGCATGATTCTCATTCCCCAAGCTATGGGTGAACAGAGTACAACAATTTAAGCAGCAACATCAACCGGTTGGGGAGATAACGGTGTCATCTGAAGGTAGGAAGTTTTCATCTAATGGTAATTGATTTTTTTCTCCTGTTTCTGGAGATTTTATAAATTTGCCAAAATAAAATTTAGAGCTAGACAAGGAGAATTTAAAGTCAGCTGAAGCTCCCAGCTCCGTTTTAAGGATATTGGAGAGCGAATTTGAATGTCTTCCTGCCTACATGAAGGGTCTAGCATCATGGGAGGTGAGGTTTTTTTATGCAATTCGATATTATACACGTTTCTATACAAGGTATACTTGTTCTTCCGCATTGATGAAGGGTAGCTAACTGATATTTGCCAAGCTAAGGGTAAAGAAATGTTTTATGTTTTCAGTTTTTCACTAACAACTAAAAAAATGTTATCGTATTTTAATTTCATTTTTCATCTTAAAAGACTCGTATAATAAATTTCAAAATAGTGACATTTTGTTGTTTTTACTTTTTCTTATATAATATGATATTTTTTTGTAATTACTAATAAAATAAAAATAAAAATAAAAAGTACATCCTTAAACCAAATAAATGCTAATATTACTAACAATAAATGTACTTTACATGTAATGGGCTAAACGAAAGAGTTTACAGGATATCAGTAATTTACTTAAATGTATGGCATTATTGCCCTTAGTTAAACTTCAAAATGCAAACTCAAGGATAATTTGACTTGACTATCACGTATGCTTGAGAAATTCGTTACCCTATTTGACATTTCGGGGTTATTTGTGCAATATGACCTCCTAGGATCTACTTGTAGCCGTTGATAAGATTAATTCAAGCCTAAGCCTGAAGACGAATAGATGCAACTTCTTCCGTCAAGACGAAATTCCTTCATTTGAATTAGGTAGGCTCACTATACCATATTTGCTCGTATCTTTGTTCTGATTCGACTATTGCAAAATAACAATTTGTTGCTTGTGATTTGTTCGCATTATAAGATCTTTCTTTGACATCGTATACTCACACTTATGACCTGAAATTGGGAGTCGTCTTTGGTTGAAGCAAATATTATTTTATAATATTTTTAAGAACACGAATCATTGCACCAGACCAACAATCCTTATATTTCCTACCGTTTGCTGATGCTCTGTTTGTTCAGGTCATAAAGCAAGATCATATTTGCTGCTTTTAGTGCGCATGAACCGTTTGGTTGTTGAAACGATTGATGGTATACTCACGTATAGAGTACTGTAGATATGAGATCCAGTGGAGAACTTGGTGTTTCATCTCCTAATTCACCTTTTCGTTGTCATTCAATGCCAAGAAGCACTGGCACGGACACGAACACAGCACATTACAAAGTAGTGTCAGTGTCATACTTTGAAGTGTTCGGTCATCCTGTATTCTTAAAATTCTTTATGTTCTGTTCCCTTTTATTTGAGGCCGAGTACAACATCCTCGTATTCCTTCTGCTGTTAACAGTAAAGGTATAATATTTGTTGTTATTTATTGCTGATTATTGATAATAGTACCCGATGCTTGATCTTATAGATTTTTTTTTTTTTTTGGGTTCTTGCATTTTATTGCCCCAATTTTACACTTTCTCAAAGTATGGTATAACAAAGCACTTCTATTTTTGTTTTTCAAAAACGCAACATAAATTAAAAATTGACGAAGTCAGCGTCATACACAAATAATAGGTAAAACACGTTTTTGGAGTTCAGGAACAAGGAATAGATTTCTTTCAGAAATTTTTAAAAAAAAAATATTTTCAAATAGTTTTATTTATCTTGATAGGTACATTTAGGATAACTTATATTAATTTTTTTATACCCTTATCGTTGAATTTTAAATCAAATTGCGACATGGAAATTTTTTTTAAACATTAATGACTTTTATTAAGAATTTGTTACGGAATTAGAAAAAAAAATCATGTGATGGTTGGTTTGATTGAGAACTATGACAAATATATATAAAAAATTAATCCAAGTTTAATCAGTACATTTAACTAATCCACTCATCTCTCTTATGATCTAATTAATTTGTTGAACTTGCGAAACTTTGCTTATATCAATATTTAATCAGTATTACTGTTTAGTGTGAAATAATTCTGTGGAAATTCCTACAAATAGGTAAAGACAGTTTTTGATGAGTCTTTCAAATGTAACTGACAAAATAAAGAAAAAAAAAAGAAGATACAAATTCATTCATATTTACATTCACTAAATGTAATTCGTAACATCCAGCATGATTCATAATTATTTTCTTTCATTTTTGTTTCTACTACTTCAATGAGTTTCAATTCATAAATGATAACGAGGTAATATGATTTGAGAGTAAGGTACACTAGCGCTGTGTATCAGTATATATAGTTTGTATGTTTGCCTCAATACCATACCAAATAACGTTTCTTCATGTCACCTAAGGTACCCCATAACCCAGTTCTGCATCCATGTCCCTCTCTTCAAAGCCATTTTCTACCTCTTCCAAGTCTTTCCTTGCAACCTCAAGGTCTAGTTCTGTAACTGCGAGCTTTGCCTTCAGCTTCCTCGTTTCCATCTCTAATGAAGCTACATTGACCCTTAGATTTTTCATGCACTCAGCTCTTTCCAAATAAGCTTTTGCACCCAATGCTGATTTAACATGTGGCTCCAACCATATCAAGTCAAATCCAAAGGGTTGAAGTTCTTCCCAAAGAGTTTGAAGGTGCATCATACAATCATCCTTACCCATATCCCTAAGTGTCTTAGTCTTAAGGAAATGTAGCACTCGGCCTAAGGCTATGAATGCCCACAATATGAACCTAGGACTTCTTCTTTTTTGATTCTCTACTAGTGATGGATGCCATGAACATACCTCCTCCCATAATGGAATAAAATATGCTTCTTCTGGCTCTAAACTCTTGAAATCTATAAGGTCACTTAGAGGGGTTAAGATCACTTCCTCATATTCATTAAATAAAGAAGGATACATAGGAGGAGCACTAGGAATAAATTCCACTTGTTTAGGTCCCATTTCTTGATCTTCTGAGTGTACGAATTGCTCTTCTACTTCATTTACATTATCACTTTTCGAATCATGGGTACTTGTGGGACTTGAGGTCACATCTGAAGGTGTCATTTCCTGCTCTTCGATTTCCACTTCTGTTAGCCCAGGTTGGTCACCATTAGGTTTGTGAATTGTGGCCAAGTTGTCCGGAATGTTAAATGCGACCTTAGAGACTGAAACTTGAGCTTCAATGATACAAGTGTCATTCACAAGATAACCTTGAGTGGGGTCATGGAATTCACTTAGAGGGATGAATGATGAAGAACCCCAAGCACTATTTCCAGCATTAAACTTCTGCTGGGTCTCTGGAAGAATTCAATCATCTAGAATTAGAAGTGCCATTTATAATCAACTATATAATAAAAATCTGTTTATAGTAAATTTTTATTAAAAATCATATGATATTACATAATTTACTTCATATATAATATTAAATATTATAGTTTTTAATATATAAAAAATACTATTTATTACTTTTTTTTTTAATGTCTACCATTAGATACACATTAAAAAATTGTATTAAATAGAGACAAATAACCATTTTCTTCCATCTTGTCCTTGTTGATTTAATTTTCGATTCAATTCTTAAATTGCGCAATGATTAAAAAACGGGGGCGTAATTCAGATTCCTTTTCCTCTGGATAAAAAAATATATTCCTCTACAAAGGCCAGACAAAGTTTGAAGTCGCAACAACATTGATATCTATCGCGTAAGCTAAGTCTGTTAGTCCACCCTCCCGATAAACATCAGTCTTATTTTAATTTATGGATGAAATGACAAAAAGCCTATTATCATAGGTTAAGACACATTTCTTCATAACTAGTCATAAAAAATAACAGCATTGAAAACTCTAAAGAGAGTTGCAAATTAACAAAATGAGTAATCAAGACAGTTACCCTTTACAATTGACTTCTTGGTATCCACATGATTAATAAGAGCCAACCTGAAAGACGCAAATCTGCTCCAACCATATGGTGCTAGAGAATCAGCAACCTTCATATACAAGGACAAATACTCTACATCCCTCCCCTTAGGATATAAGACAATCTTCCTGTCAAAGTAACAATGCCACATGAACTTTAGTGTAGATCGTTGTATAGTTATTAACGGCTAAGAATTTCACTCAATTACCATCTATAGCCACCAACTTTGAAAGCTTTAGAGGATATTTTCTTGTTTTTCAATTTGGAGAAAGCTTCAACCTTCCATGTGAATTTTTCCACAGCAACAACACCCTTTACTTGCTGGCTCTCCATTCTATCAAGTACCTAGACTTGGGTTGCTGCTACAAACAAAAAACATCAAAGGTTAAAAACTACAATGCTTGATGCAGCATGAATTATATAGGCAATGTAAACAAGTGGCTATTGAAATATTAGTTTAAAAACAAGAAACGCATTACGCTTTGAAAAGAAAAGATTTTGTAGCAAAGTGGCAAGTCCCATATGATTGATTAAGCCAAAAACATGAACATCAAATTAATGAGAGTATTCCGAATCCAAGAAAGAGAAGTCAGCTTAAATGATTAGTGAGTTTCTGACTTTGTGTTAGGAAGGTGGCCAAGAAAATCAATGGTTGCTTGCTAGGAGTGTCATATACACAAAGTCAAACTGTGTAATGTTATTTTCACTATGCCTCTCTTTGTTTTCAGGTTGAAAACTTCCCAAAGAGAGTTTAGTAACCTTCAATAAGCAAACAGACCCTATGTTGCTCACAATTTTTAGTATTAAACAAGAAGTATGAAATAAAATGGATAATATAATTAAGAATGATAAAAGGAAAAATTATTTTATAAAAGTGTTGTGAGAAATTATCGTCAGAACAGTATTATTTATTTTTCTTTAAAGAATACAAACTTTTTTAAAAAGAAAATACATATATTTATTTATTGGTTTACTTATATTTAATTCGCAAGAGGCAGAGGGGCAAAACTGATACGAGGAAAGCTGGTGGCCATAATGAACCAAAATAATCCGCAACAGGATTATTCTCTCAGAATTCATGAGAAAATGCAGCTTCCAAATTTTTTTTGGAGCTTGAATGAGAAGTAGTTTGGAAATTACATAATAAACTTTATTCTTATTTTCCTTGATGGATGTTATGCTTTGTATTGATCAAACAAGACGACTGACAATTATAGAATTTTTATCTAACACAAATTAAATTAACACTATAAATATTATTAATTTATACTAATAATATAATATACCATATTAACAGATGATTTTATTAATATAAAACATTTGTGCGTGTGCATTAAGCACAATTTATATTAATAATTTATCTTTTATCAGATTAAAAACCATGTTAACTCAATCAATCCTAATGCTTAATATTTTCATGAAGAAACTAAAGGAGCAAAAGATATATAAGAAGTCAAGTGCTGGGACTCTTCTAAGAACCTTACAATAAAAAATTTAAAATTGAAGATGTCATCATCTGGAGTTGCACAATACCACAACCTATGAAAGTTCTGAGAAAAACGCTTCCTTGGAATATCATGGAAAATGCCCAGGGGATACATTGTGGTCTATTTATCATTTTAAAATACTTCCAAAATAACAAACCTTAATTTCAAGGTTATATATCTTTACTATATTAGCAAAAATATATATATACCTTAGAGAACAAATGTCTTAATTATAGTTGCAATTCTATATGTAAATTAAAAGTAGAATAATAACAAACAAAAAAAATATATTTGCTTTTCACCATACAATTGTCGCTTGCTCTTTCTATGTTGAAGTCCTTCATATCAAATTAATGGGAAAAAAATTTACATAAAACTTTATATAAATCTTCACGGTTATTTTTTTTCTTTTAATTATATTACCTTACATAAGTTTTTTTTTCTCTATCTTGTCTTTATCCTCATTTCTTCTCTTTCTTTAAGTTGAGTTTAGTATTTTATTAATCTCAATTCTTAAAGCTAAAGATAAATAGCTAATAATAATAAAATTTTATTAAAAAAAAGTATTTATTATATTTTTATAACTTTAATATAATAACTATGTACTTTTTTTATAAAAAAATTTTTATTTGTGGATGTTTAAAACTCGACTCTAAAAATTGATATTAATAAAACTCATAAAAAAAAAAAAGTAATAGCGTGATACTTAAAAATTTATTTGATTTTGATTTTGATTCTTAAAAAATTGATCCAAACATCTTTGTATAATTTAAAAGTGATTTTGCCCAGAAAAATATAACTGTTATTTAATTTATTAGCATTGTTATGTTCTTTTTGTATATCTAAATTTAAATTGACTACACAAGCAAACAACTTAATCCTTTTATATGTCTCTAATATAATTACTAGTTTTAAAAATTTATTTATCATAGATATTATTTTTTTCACTAGTTTCGATTGTAATTTACTCTCATCCACAACCATAGCTATCGATATGTGTTACTGTATCAAAAGAGTATGACATCTCTTATGTCATATTCTCAATAGACAAGGTCTCACTATATAACACCAAAGCACGAAACTGGTTTGGAAAAACCGAAACTATATAATTAACTGTATAACCAAAATTATATAATAAACCGGTTCTCAATAGACATCTCACTATATAACATCAAACTAACTAACTAGGGAAGGTGCTTCTGATCATATATTCTTACCTAAGAGAAAAGGAAGATATAGTATTGTACATAAGCTTTTTTAAATGGGTTGTGATGTTTGCACCATTGCTTTGTTTGCATAATGTGTACATCTTCTAGTTTTTATATATGAATTTATCCAGTTTCCACATTGAGAATCTACAAGTGTATGGATTTAATAATCAATTATTGTGCAAAATCTTAATGTGAAAAAATGGAGTAAACATAAAGTTATTTCCAAAAATCATTCCCCATAATAATGAGAGTATCATATAAGAACTATTAGAAGACATTTTCCCCTATAATTTGCAAGAAAATGTAACTTAGAGAACCTTCAGAAAAGTTGACCCAAGAAAAGCGAGAACCTTCAGAAAAATCAAGTTCACTAATCAATTTATGTACAATATGTCTAAAACATGGCATAACCTAATTCAGCATTCAAATCTATCTCTATGAAATCTTTTCCTGCCTCAGCCAAGGCTCTCCTTGCCACCTCAAACTCAGCTTCTGCAGCATCCAATTCTCCCCTTAGCTTCTTCATTTTAATCTCCAAAGCAACCACACAATCCTTCAGTTTATTCACTGCAGTTGTTCTTTTCAAATGAACTTTCATGCCCAATGCAGATTGAACATAAGGCTCTAGCCAAGCCAATTGAAAACCAGAGTGCTTAACAAGTTCTTCCCATAAAACTTGAAGGTGATTACAGGCATCTTCATCCATATCTTTCACCTTACTTGTCTTGAGAAAATGCAGAACTTGGCCCAATGTTGTGAATGCCCATAATTTAAACCATCTAGAACTTTTTCTCTGGCTCCTTATAAGGGAAGGATGCCATATGCATGCCTCTTCCAACAGTGGAATAAAAGCTGCTTCTTCTGTTCCTAAATTCTCCAAATCTATAAGGTCTCTCAGTGTCAAATCTGAAACTTGAACTTTGCCTTCTGTTAGACCAGAATCAAAGGTCGCTGAACTAAGTGTGTCACTCTCATCTGATATTTCTGTTCCTGTTTCTTTATCATGCTGGGTGGATTCTGAATGTCTTGAACTTGCAGCTTGATCATCTAATATAGAGTCTTTGGTTGGAGTAATTTTGTTCAAGGTGTTAAGTTGAATGGTGTCGAGGTGGGAGATACAAACATGAGCTTCAATGATGCATGTGTTGTTCACAAGATAGCCCTGTTTTGAGTCATAGAAATCACTGAGATTCACAAAAAACGAGCCCCACCTACGATGACCCCCTTTGAACTTCTGCTGAGTCTCTGAAAATGTACAAATATTTATCAGGAATTAGAAATTTAGGCTCTGTTTGAATGAATTCATACAAAAATAAATAAAACTCATCACAGAAGTTAAAATTAACTATGTATTGCAAAGCACTTATAAAAAGCATTTTATTTTTTTATCTCCTTAATTTTTTTACCTAAACTTAATCCTAAAATAACATATATGATTCAGATGGCAAATGGCAAATATTCCAATTGGTAAATGTTAATTACTTCCAATATCTAAAGTAACTAATCAAAATCAAACATATAAATATGACATGACAGTGAAGGAGTGGTTCCACTCCATAATATAACGATTAGTGAATAACGCTAATTTCTATGATTATTCATCCTCTGAAGACGAAACCATCATCACTGTGAAGACAAAACCATGTGACAACAACAAAGAAGAGAACAAATAAGGCTGATATTTACCCTTTACAATTGACTTATTGCCATTCAACTGATTAATTAAAGCTAACTTGAAATACGTATTTCTGTTCCATCCATACGGTGGTAAAGCATCCGCAACCATCAAATATAATGAAAAATGGTCAACATTCTTCATTAATGGATACAAAAGAATCCGCCTGTGACATAATTAAGACGAACAATATAATTAACGAAAAGTAAAAATAGGAGGTTCTAAATTAAGAATATAAAAATTTTGTCAAAAGAAAAGATATCATAATATATCTTAACTTATTTATGTAGGATCTAACAAGTTTATTTTCATCTTTACTAAGCCTATAGCTATCTAAAGTAAATAATAATACAAAATTTTAAACTTCAAATTCATCTGCACGTACCATTTGTAACCTTGGATTCGGAAAGCCTTGGATCGTAGATTCTTGGTGTTTTGTTTAGAGAAATCTTCAATTTTCCATGTGAATGTCTCAAAATCAATATTCGTTCCCTTCTGATTATCCATTCTAATAGCTACATCTAAGTTGCAATAACAAACGAAAAAAGTTAACTCCTAAAGATAGAAGACAATAGGGAAAGGTTGACGCGCACACGTATACACCACCAAAAGCTCAGAAATAGAAGCACGTGCTGAAATAAACAATTTATCAGTGCTTAACACTAATATATGAATATCACTGGATGAGCACAGAAGTAGAAAAAACAAGTGAATTTTGAGTATTAACAAGATCAAGAAGGAAAGTCCTAAACTAATAAAAATTGAAATGGGGTGTTAAACAGTGACACTGGAAAAAAAGATTTACACACAGATATATATATATATATATATATATATATATATATATATGTATATGTATGTATATACACACACATACGTGATTCATGTTGGAGGATATATATTCGACCAAGCTCCTTAAAGGGTCGCACCAATGTTGATGGCGCAATGTAAAAAGGTGTAATTGTGAGGAGGTCATGGATGTGAGTACCTTTGAATGAAAGAAAAAGAGCTAAGAATGAGAGTGGAATAATGCAAGTGAAGTCAAGTCAACCCGCTTTGTTTGGAAAGGAAGGAAGCTAACACTGTTCATACTTAGAAATTTCAGGCAGCATATAATTAATAATAGAGAAAGGGACCATTACCAACAAGGTACAAGGGGCAGCAAATGAAACTTCACCCAAATAGACAAAGTTATTGTTAATCACAGCTCTGATGATATTGTTTAATAAATAATATTTTTTATTAACAATTGTATTTGAATGTTTTGGAAATTACAAAGATAGGCGTCTTTTTAAGTCTTTTAATAAAAAAAATCTGTTTTTATTTTTTATCGAGTGTCTTGTGAGTATTAATAAGCATTTTTAATAAATAAATATGATTTGAAATAATTTAAATCCTTTTATATTATTGAGTAATATAATATGATCATGTTAAAGAAAAAAATATACTATTTATTAATTTTAATTAATGAGACATTCTTATATAATAATAATAATAGTCTTTTTTTAATAATATCATACTACTTGTCAATATAAAAAAAATTTAAATTCAATTTTTAGAAAATAATTAGTACGTATTTTGTTAGTTATAAATATTATCACAGTAATCTTTAATTCTTTGTGTATAGTTTATTTTTCTCGTGGTAAAATTGGTTATAGATAAAAACTAGTGATGGGGACTACGTACTTGTAGTTTTAAAAAAATATAGTAATGAGAGCAAAAAATGGAAACTACAGCCTCTTTTTTTTTTTTTTTTTGAGGGAGGAGATAACAATATACTTTTTTATTTTATTTTACCACACTATCAATTAAAAATCAATATTGTATGTAAAATATTATATATAGTTATTTGTTTTTATGTACTTTTATATGTAATATATAGTTTTATTTTTAACAGAAAATAGGGTGCCCTCTTCTTTCATATAAGAAAAGAGAAAGAAAGAAACTCCCCTCTCAATAATTTTTATTTTCTCTATCTCAAAAAAGATTTATTTTTTAAAATCCAATACTGAATATTTAACTATTTAGAAATCCTCTTAAAAACTCATCCAAGAAGCTAAGTTGAATTGATTTGCTAGTATCTTACCCCCATACGCAGTTCCTTTATGAATATCTTGGAATTGGAATGAAAACGGTGATTGCTAATGAAGTCAAGTCAATGGTGCGAGATGGAGATGGAGATGGAAGCAGAGTCAGCCAAATTGACGAATGACAGGGAATAACCTTTGAATTTGGATTACTGCCTCCAATTGCAAAGTTTTCTTTTTTGTCTCATTTGCGGGGAACAAATCACAATATATTAGTTTTCAGAAATAAAACAAAATCGATCTTTTCAGTTACTTAATAATTCAATAAATCCAATAAAAACTTGAAAAATATAAAAAAGTTTGAATCATCGTCGGCAGTGACTTAGCATCTCTTTGAATATGTTTAGTTATTTTTGCACAGTATATGTGACGTTTGTTTTTAATTTATAATGAATAAAATCAATTTTACGATAGATAAAATTGATGAAAAGAAAAATAATTTTTTTTTACTTTTCTATTTGGTAAAATAAATTCTAGGTGCAAGACCCATAAACTATGAGTTTGTTTTAGATTGTGATAAAATTAATATTAAAAGAATTAATTTGTGTTTAGATATAATATTTTTATTTTTATTTTTGCTCTAGGACTACATAAGACTAGGATAAAAGTTTAGGAACTCATGAACCTAATAAATCTAATCTTAAGAAGGGAATTAAGGAAGGAGGAGTCTCCTCAAAATAAAAAGAAGAGTCATCATACTCTAATCTATATTTAGCTAACCAATCGGCACATTGATTAGCTTTTCTCAAAATATGATTGAATCTAATAAACTTAATCTCTCAATAACTTCCTAATCTCTTGAATAACAGAATAAAGAGAATGGTTACTATTATGAATAATCAAAAATAAAAATATAACCTCTTTAGAGTCACATTCAATCTAAACATATTAAAAATTCTTAGAAGTGACAAGCTTTAAACTTTAATAAACCCTCTAAAGTTTAACTTCTAAAGAAGAGTTCAATAGAAAGGATCTATGGAGGTCAGAAATGAATCAGCTAAGACTAAAAGTAAGCTAAAAATATATGTGATATCAAAAATCAGTTTTATCTAACAAAAAAGTTTAAAAAAATCAACTTTCCCTATAATTATTTTCACTCATTTTAAAATTGACTCTTTTAAAAAGTATCCAAACAAGATATCAATACAACAAATTTTCTAAAAATTATTTTTTGGACTCCCTATAATTTATTTTCTTAAAATTATACTTCAAATGCAATTTTAATTTTGGTCTATTTAGTTGTCCGTAGGATCAACGCAACGAAGTTTGAAAAAATAAAATCTACGCAGAGTAGTTGTCATAAACCAATACTTGTGGCTTTGATTTTATTTCAATTCTCACATAATCAATTTTGGCTTGAAAACCAATATGGCTATTTATCAAATAATCAATTCTTTTAAGTTTTAAAATATCATACTCAAATGCAAATTAATTTTCCTAAAATTAAGTATAATGAAATTAATTCTACAAAAATTTAGAACAGCCACACTCAACTTTCAATCACCACTGGGTCCAGTTCACCCTACGCCCAGAGCCAGCAGCCACTACCGTCTGTCAATCTAGCCTACCATCATCAAGCAGCATGACATATTTCAATTTTAAGGAAAATTAGGCAATTCAAAAACAATATGTTTTTAAAACAATATGATTTCATTTTACTTTAAATACAATGTTACATTATCACATCAGCAAAAGTTATTTATTTTTATGATAATTAATATAAAAATCATATTTTACGATTTATTTTATTTAATTAGCAGTATAAAAATATATTAAAATTAAATTCTTAATTAATTTTTTTTTGGGTTAAATTATATTATTACTTGGTTTAAGAAATTGTACATACTGAAATTTCTTTGTTAGCCCAACAGATGTCATTTACCCTTATTCTGATTCGCATCGCCTTATTTTTACTCCAAAGACAGATCCAAGTTGTATGTTACTAAGTTGAAACCCAGACAGCTGTGTATTTCTGCATATTCAGAAATCGACTCTGTTTTATTGCTCCGTCACTGGCATTAGAGGCCTTTTAAAAACATGTATAAGAGGGAAACGGGAAAAGGAATAAAAAAAAAAAAAAGTCAACCGAAACAAAATGCTTTCAATTTAGCTACACCTATCTCGTCAAGAATCTCTTCAATTAAACATCACATTCAACCGTGTTATGGCAATAGCATCGCTTATCCTGTTTACATATATGTTAAATTCTGCTACTTGGCGTGTTAGCATGGCAGTCAGGTATCAGCAACTGTTAGTGGTTGGATCCAAAGATTAAACACAAAGACAGTGATTGAACAATGCAGAGAGAGATACTCAATTAACAGTGTCAAGGAAGTCTCTCTGGGAATCCAAGAGAATCTTTCTGGTTTTAACCCTGCAAATATTGCCCAAGAATTCTTCACTAAAAAAAAATCAAGAAACAAATACATAAACAAGTAGACGTGAATAATAATAATAATAGTAGGACCTGCTGACTCATGAGTATTTCCACTGCCACATTAAGATCACCGTCAGCGGCGGCCAGTGCCACTTCCACCTGCGTCTGAAACCAGCCCAGGACAAATGCATAAACAACACAGAACTGAGCAGATCTAGATTTTAATCTACAATTGATGCACAAGCATGGGAATGATCTCAACACACACACATGCATGCAGGCACTCACCCCACAATAATTACGTTAAAATGTAAATTGATTTTATTAACGAGATCAATAAGAAATATGATAGAAGAACCCAAAAGGGGATCAACCGATAACTTCTAAACATTGGATCTCTTAGATGTTAGCAGATGTGCAAGCTTAATATGCAAGGACATAGAGGAAAGTTGAAAAAAGTTTCAAGTCATTTCCTTGACCATTGAAGACATAATGAAACTGATTTTTACCCTGTCAAAGCCCATTGATACGAGTTTTTTTATTCCTTCTTCTGAAGCAACTGCACCCTGCATTCATAGAAGGAAAATAATGAATATTAAATATCCAGATTAACCCGAAGAAACCAAGAAAGTTTCAACCACTGTACGTAAAGAGACCTGATGTTGAGGAACACCTGCAGGTGCTGTAGCAACATTATCAACTGAATGCCTAAATAGAATTAGAAGAGTAAGTGAACATCATTCGTAAAGAACTATAAACTTCTGAATAATATAATAATAACCTTATAAAAATATAGCAGAAGAAGGGGAAAAAACTATAAATTTATCTGCCTATGCCTAATATCGTAGCTATTATGACAGGTTTAAACTACAAACAAGAAGAAGAAAAAGAAGGGGGAAAAACTATAAATTTATCTACCTATGCCTAATATCGTAAGCTATTATAACAGGTTTAAACTACAAACAAAAAGATGATTGTGGTTAGTACATTGAAATTTTAGTTATAATATGCAAATGCCGCAAGACATATCAATTTTGCTCAAAATTATCTCCCTTACCTTCCTTCTGACAACTGTTGAGTAGTACTAAGAGCAGATGAATCTAAAGGATGATTGGGACTGCTATCCTCCAAGAGTCTAGCTTGAAGGTTTGAATCAGAATGAAGAGCAGAAGCCATTTGACCTTGACCAGAACCAAGGGCCCTTCCCCTCCCAGGGAACCTACTGTCCTCAGTTGACTGCAAGGTATCACATAATACAATCAAATGTCTGTAAGTTGAAGTCTCTAGCTTACTGAGGAGAGTATAGACATGAATACATAATAGAAACTTGTAATGAACAATGACTTGCATTAAAGGCAGGGATATAATTTGAGCTTTTAACTTCTCAATTCAATTTGACATAATTCTAATTTAGTGGCTACTCAATCAAAGCTGTTGTTGCTATCCACCAGGCATCACTAGATTTAATGCCAGTAAAAAACAGTTGAAATGGAGAGAGCTGGAAGACAACATACCAACCAAGAGAACAGGGAAAAATCATAATATGTAACATTTCATATTCCCAATAATGGAAGTGAGCTTTCAAACTCAAAGATAAGAAAATCACATAAAATTATTTTTTTTCTTATTCCAATAGCTGATGTTATTGTTGTTGTATTGTATACACATAGCTGATGTTACAGCCCTATGGATGGATTTGTAGATACAATTGAGATGTTTACAATTTTTTTGAAAGAAGATAAAAGATTAATTTAAAAAAATCATCCCAGGTCAGAAAAAGTCTAATGCTGGCTGCTTAAATCTCTAGAAAACATCCTTCAGAAGGAGGAGTACATTTACACCTATAATGAACAGGCAATGCAAATTTATTCATTGCATTTTTATGAATTGTGCAGGACAACCAGGGTCAAGCTAATAAACATTTATAAAATTAACCCTATAGAAATTGACTTGATTGAAAGATGACAGTCAAAAGAGCTCCATATACACTTGTCATGAATGTTTAGTACACAATAATTACACTGCATTTGTTCACATGATGAGCAAAGCAAAGATGGTTATCACACCAACAAACGTGAATAAAATTATTTGATATCCCATCAAAAACACTCATAAGACAAGATGACTCCCCATACCTGAGTAGACACTTCCCTTTGAGGCATATATGATGATAGGTTCCTCCAAATATTTCCAGAAAGTATTCCACTGCCCCACGAAAGTACAGATTTAAAATGTTAATTAGTAGATATTCAGTGCCATTGGTAATGTCTAGTGTGAAAACCACAGTTCTTACCCAGTTGTTGAATTTTGGCTTGCATGTGTAGGAATATAACCCGAAGGATTTGCACCAGTGCAAACAATAAATTTTGGACGTCGCACACATGATGACTGAAAGTCAAGGGGATAAAACATATACACCAGTAAAGATCCACATATGTGACATATATGCATGTAATTTCATGAAGCAGATGTTTAGTCAATTTATTTCCATTCAAAACAAAGTTTTCCAGTAAATTGCAACTTGTTCAAGACATCAATCTGTTTTGTGAATTCAATTAGAGCCCCAAAAAGGGGGAGAAGTATTGACGTAAAATAAGTTAACCATTCAAGTAGTTAATTGAGTGTATCTATGGTTAAGAATTTTAGCCATTCTTTGAACAACACCAATTGCTTGAATAGTTTATGTTGCTTAAATATTTTGAGAAAATTAATATTTTGACACTTAAAAAGTTCTGCTTGCATTAATCTAGTAGTCCAAAGATGTTTCATATCAGTCGACCTCTCAAACAAAGCATGTATCAGACAAACTCATCAAGCATCACTAATTTATTTTTGATGCAGAAGGAAATAAAGGCAAAGTCATCAGATAAGAGAATAAAAAACAGTTTGTGTTATGAACCCACAAACAAGAATTGAAGAATAGTATAAGAGCCAGAAAATAAAAGAATCAATTTATTACTGATGAATGAAATTTGAACAAGAACAGGAGATAATTCCCCTTCCAAGGGTTTCTCCTTCAACAAAGGGCATGCCCTTTCTACCACTGATCTACTTCTCAATATCCCAAAGATTACAATTCTGAATGAATCTCCTTTCTATCCCCTTCTATACCATTTAAGCTTAAGCCCCAGCCCTACAAGCACCAAACTAATTCTATAACTTCCAGAGACCTATCAATTTGTCTCAGTCCAATCATTTAAAATAACAAGTATACACACACACATGAAAGTTAAAACTATCTGTACACAGGACTACAGGAGGAAGATTTATACAGCAATCACAACACAACTGATATGGATTTAACAGTCCTTTAGACATTCAATTTAATATCATGTAACTAGCAATTGCAATTTTTCCCATCCTGGTGTACTACCGAAGCCAATTCTAAAAAGATACTTACAAGCAAGGAGGATGTTTCAATAGAAGAATAGAAAGATGTCCCAGGTATTAGGAAATTAAACAAGCCATATGTATCTGAAACATTAAGCATAATGTTACAAAACCAGAATTGAATTGCTCATATGATTGGAAAAAATAGAAAATAAAAACAAAGGCAAAAAAGAGTGAATCTGACACGCAAACCCAGATAAAATGCCACAAAGGTGTCCAAGTAGCGAGACATTTTGCATGAGAAGCTGGAACACTACCAACAAAAAGAATGCATACCTAAACATAATATGCCCAATTATCACAAAAGAAAATTACCAAGATGAAAATCATGAAATAAACATAATAACAAACTATACTCACCACTTGGCAGGCACATTAAACAATCCAAACACACTGCAGAAAGAATAGAAAAAGTTGGTAAATTAGTGAACCCTTACAGATTCATGATATATAACATAGAACATATATCAAATGTAGGGTGCCTTTCCAGTAAAACAAGGGAAAAAATCATTTCAGAGTGAAATGATTAGCAATGGTGTATTAATAAAACAAAGCAAATTAATAAAAACACTATTATCGATCAATTCTCCCACTTTGGAGAAAACATTCTCAAAATAATGATACTATTTCAGCACTTGAACAGCTTCCTAAACGTGGTTTCTGCCAAATTATCTTAAAGAAAAAGGTTATTATTATTAACATATTAAATTGTATTTCCCCATTAGTGGTGAATTCCTGGTACATTATATAGCCAACCTCCTGGATTGAACTCCACTCAGGCTTGTCTCTATGACAATCATCGAAAATAGAACTCCTGAGAACCCTATTGCACACTCATTCATGAGGTAATCATATGTAACAAAAGGATTATGTGCCACCAGCAGTGCTATGAGAATATGGAATATGGCATTGCTTGTAGCCAACAAAATAATGACATATAGCAAGCGAACTGAGCCCATTATCCTTTCCAGCTCAGAGCCCAAGGGAACCAAAGCCATCATGTTGAAGAGAACATGAAGCAGTGAACCATGGAAAATAATGGAGGTATAAATCCTGTAAGCTGCATGGGACCAAAAAAAAAATTATGAGCAGAGCAATCTGACAACCACAAAATGGAAGCAACTGTTTCAAGGAAAACAAGACAAGAGCATGAGATTCAACAATAGCAACCCCTAGAATCCAATTCAACAGTTCCAAGGTAGGAACATATTATATATCTCACAAAATGAATGGGTTTGGTTTTCTGCACTAAAATGTCTGTACAAATTCATCCAGATTCCAGACATTTAACTATTAACTACATTGACTGAACAATGTTATACTACTTGAAGAAGACATATACCTTGAAACCGCGATACAACAGCAGACGGCAAGAAGCAAACCTCGGCGAAGGAATCATATCCAACCAAAAGACAAACCAAGTAAATGATTCCACACACGACCACCACTGCAGAAGTAAGGAATGGAATGCTTTCCCACCATTGATTTAACCTAGTAGGCACCCCCGCCTGTGTAAATTATGACATCAACGAGAATTAATCCGTAATCATAAGAACACGGAAGAGAACGAAATCTCTACGTAACCATTCTACAACAACAGTTAATAGAATTTGCAAATCCCAAAATGAAAAGAAAAAAAAGAAAAAAAAACCTCTAAGTTAAGAGTTGATTTCGTGATTCTTTCATTTTCAGCGCGTCCAGCATTTAATAGACACGAATCATACAGAACACAAACGAACAGAATCAAATTGAAAAAGAAACTTGGAGATCTCCGACCAGAAATGCAAATAGCAAGATTTAGAGTACAGTTACTTGGCTGAGTGTCGAGTAAAGTGTGTCAGCACTCATATACCTCAAATTTTAGTTACATTTTGTGCGAGCTAGGGTATAGACACAATTGTGACAGAAAATTGGGAAGGAGAGTTTGGATCGGAAATTTACCTCAGAAACGATATTTGGCCTCATATTTCTGGGTCTTCGCATGCAATCAACTTCACAGCTTGAACCCACTGGTATCAGCTCTGATTAACAGTCACAGATTTGGTATATACAAATTTGGATTCAAATAAACGGTTTTTGATTGGAGTTAGTGATTCAGTTTCTGAATTCTGACCCACACTTGACTCGCGAAAACTGTAGAACCAACTTCTCTTTACTTTATTGGGGTTCGTGTTCTGATTTCACCGTCTCACCAAACCTCAATGAAGTCGCCAAGGTTTGCCAATACGGAAACCATCGTTATTTTCGTTGTTTGTATTAAAACAATTATTTTCATATTTTGTTGACAGGTTTTGTCATCCACGATAGTTACGAATTAAAAATATTTGTTTTGTAATATAATATTTCATGTTGTTAATTGATTTTTATTATAATTATATTTTAAAAAATATTAATGTAATGATATCAAGTAACAAAATCGCTATATTATAAGCTAATGCTAATTTTACACTCGAGTTGATTGTTTATATCAAATATCCTGTACAAATTGAAAAAACTGTAATATTACAGTTGTAAAATTTATGTGGTATATACACTCAAATTAGATATTAAAATATCATTATTCATATTTTATATATTTACTAGATTTAATCTTTTACGGCATCTAACAAAATTTTATTAAATACGATTTATATATGTTGGTGTTGGTCCGAATCAAGAAAGCAAAAACTTGTTCTATATTTCCTTTGTACTAGTTCTTTATTATTTGGTCAATCATTGTACTAGTTTAAGATGTGTGTACAAGCAACAAGCCCACCCAAACCAACCCAAACCCATGCTTCCAAATTGGGAAACTCAATTGAATATAGATATAGATAATATCAACTAGGCAAGGTCCAAAGCACAAAACTCAAACGAACACTACGTGCCGGTCTGACATAGATAGATATAGAGGGTAAGAATTATAATTAATCTTATTAGGCTGATATGTGTCTGAATACAGGGTAAAATTAGTTCATTTCAATTTATACTACTTCAACAACATACTCCAGTCACTTAGCAGATTAAATAATTTTAAAAGAACTATATTATTTATAATATATATTTTTTGTAACATTCTTCATATTATTAATGTTTTTCATCTCTCTATTATGTCACTCGTCTTATCCCATACTCTTTCTTCTCTTCTTATTCTTTTATGGCTGTAAGCAAAAAATTATACAAGCTTGTTGAAATAATATGATTTCTTATTTTATAACATTGATTATAGTACTAACTCTTACCAATATGTACAGCCATTAACTATTCATTTCACCGTGGTCAAAGAACCCAATTAACAGCAAGGAAAATCAACCAAACCTTCGCAGAACACATGCCTCTAGGAAAAAACATGCTTAGTATACCACCAACCTAATTAAAACTAACCTAATGATTTTATTCACACAAAAGGCCCTTATCTTTTCTACCATCGCTTGGGTGAGTAACTACGAGATCTCTCCATCTATTTCCTGCATATTTAGATCATAACGGGACATGAAGTCGACATGGATGCTGGTTGAGTAAGAGTCAATCACTAATACCATGATGTCAACATTGTTCTGATTCATCTTAATGCAAGACCGGTTTGAAGTTTGAACTACAAATGCTTTATTATAGCTTTTATTCAGCAAATTAGAAATGCATTTTAATGAAGTTACACCCAGGAGTTCTCCTGACCTTGATAGTGATATTATCCAGAGAAGTAGAGTCATCTGGGGAAGCAGACCTAGGAGAATAAAATAGCAAGATGCATCATTAAAGCAGAAAAAAGAAACCAAGATCTAGAACATAAACAATACCAAGAACATGAACATAAACACCAACAGTCCTAAGAACAAGACCAAAACCAGGAACAGGAACAAGAACAAAACCAGGGAGAAGAACTAGAGCAAGAGCAAGAGCAAGAACAATACTAAGAAGTAAGAACAAGAACAAAACCAGAAACATGAATAAGAACAAAACCAGGGACAAGAACAAAACCAGAAACAGGAACAAGACCCAGACCAAAACCAAGACCCAAGAGGAAGACCAAGAACAAGAACAGTACTAAGAAGTAAGAACCAGAACAAGAACAACAACAACAGTACTAAGAAGAACAAGAACAAAATCAGAAACAAGACCAAGAAGAACAGTACTAAGAAGTAAGAACCAGAACAAGAACAACAACAGTACTAAGAAGAACAAGAACAAAATCAGAAACAAGAACAAGACCAAGAACAAGAACAGTACTAAGAAGTAAGAACCAGAACAAGAACAACAACAGTACTAAGAAGAACAACAAAATCAGAAACAAGACCCAAGACTAAGAACAAAACCAGGACCAAGAACAAGAACAGTACTAAGAAGTAACAACAACAGTGCTAAACAAGACCAAGAACGAAACAAGAACAAAACCAAGACCGAATACTCAGAACAAAACCAGGGACAAGAACAAAAACAGGAACAAAACCAGAAAAAGAAACGAGACCGAGACCCAAGAGTAAGGCCAAGAACAAGAACAGTACTAAGAAGTAAGAACCATAACAACAACAGTACTAAGAAAAACAAGAACAAAATCAGAAACAAGAACAAGACCAAAACTAAAACAAGACCCAAGACTAAGAACAAAACCAGAACCAAGAACAAGAACAGTACAAAGAAGTAACAACAACAACAGTACTAAGAACAAGACCAAGAACGAAACAAGAACAAAACCAAAACCCAAAACTAAGACCAGGACCAAGAACAAGAACAGTAATAAGAAGTAAGAACAAAACCAAGAGCAAGAACAACAACAGTACAAAGAACAAGAACAAAACCAGAAACAAGACCAAGACCAAAGCAAGACTCGGAACAAGAACAAAGCTAGGAACAAGAGCAAGACCAAAAACTGTACTAAGTAAGAGTAAGAACAAGAACAACACACCGAAGCGTGAGGGTTATGGAGGGTTTTTCTCACCTGAGACTCAGTTTTTGATCCCGAGTATATATATAACCTTGGCATTTTAACTCTCGTCCCTTTCTACGTACGAATGAAGAACATTCCTGCAAGTTCTTTTCATTTTTACAATGTTAATTGTTTACAGTTTATTAATTAAGTCATATAATTTAATTATTATATATTTACAAAAATGGAATACTTTGTTTTATTTAAAGAGATTAATTTTTTATTTAATTTCATAAATATTTATTCTATATTAAGTTTTAATTCTTAACTTTTACAATTTTATTTTACTATTAGTTTCTTACTATTATACTAATAATTCAATATTTGCGTGTTCTTCACTGCATTTGTTTTTTTAATAATATTATTTTCCTGTTATTTTGAGCTTTCATATTATTATTTAGTAGTTATTTGCATTATTATTAATATTATGATTAATTTTAATTCATATTGTTTGTAAATCATAGTATTAAATTTACTATTGTTATTTTTATTTTAAACATGATTTTACTTTTAACTGTATATCTCATTATCTTAGTTTTGTTTTAATATATTGTTTAATAATATATAAAATGAAGTCCTTATAGCTAATTTTAAAAAGTCATAAAGATGCAATTTGTACTGAATTTATAAAAATATAATAAATACATTTCTTACCACCCCTTATATAATTATATAGATAAAAATATTCTTACTTCATAATATTATTACGAGGATCAGTCATGGGAGAAGGCATGACTGTAAAAATTACAAAATCGTGTCAAACCTTAATACCTACAATGGGGGTCGAGGGAGGTTTATTTTATCATCGTACCAAAGTTAAGCTAACGCCTATATATATATATATATATATATATATGTGTGTGTGTGTGTGTGTGTATCTATATAGTTTATTTAATTTATAATAGATACATTTTGAAATTGTTGAGTTGTCATCGACTTAAAAACTTAACACTATACTTATTTTAATAGGAACTTTGTTAACAAAAACCAACCCTAAAGATCCTTGGAAAACAAATCATCATCTAAGCAACAAAATTGTTCATAACATATGAATTCCCCAAGAAAACGGTGAAAAAATCCACCAGCAAAAGTATTTAAGCATGTTTGAAGGCAAAGATGTTTAATAAATGAAGTACAAAGACCAAAATAAAATATTTCTCATCACTAAGACTACTTGCAAAAGCTGTTTAACGGTTGGCCTTGGCAACTCTCTCTATCTCGTCCTTTTTCTTGATAGCATAGCTGCAACGGAATAATATTTTTCAGCAAATCACAGAGCTGATGTACACTAAAATCAAGGATAAACGAAGATTCAACGCGAAGGCAGGTAATGCTCCAGGAATAGAAATACAACAACGTACCTGTTGGATGAACCTTTTGCTGCGTTAATAAGTTCATCAGCCAAGCATTCGGCAATTGTCTTTATATTTCTGAAAGCAGCTTCGCGTGCACCTGTTGTTAGAAGATAGATGGCTTGATTAACACGGCGAAGGGGTGAGATATCCACGGCCTGTCTTCTAACAACTCCAGCAGAACCAATTCGAGTTGCATCTTCACGAGGACCGCTTCATAACAGAATATAGATACAAACAAGTCAGATTGAATATTGTACAAGAACTAAATATGATCTAAAAGAATCAGAGATACCATTTTGATTTTTGCATTTAGTAAATCACACGTAATGTACCAAAAATATGGAAAATCAACACTTTCAAGCAATTCTTATAGTGTATCCCACCAAAAACATTCCCTTACTTCATTGTCATCTAAGGTGAAAAACTAATCTATCCAAATTGCTTAAAGTTTTTTTAATAGGCAAACTGATGTGTTATTTGGGAGAATGATCAGATAGAGCTAATACAAAATGCCATCATCCAGGCAATCAAACCAATAGGGAAACAAATAATCATCATTTCATTCTCCAATTCCAACAGTCAACAACTCTCGAACTTAGAGCTTAAATGTAGTATCATAACTTAATATTTGATTTCCTTCCCTCATCTAAGACTACACGTTTTAAGCAATAAAAAAATACACGGATTAAAGACAATCCAAATCCAATAAACCATAAAAACTAAGGTGAATTATTACCAGCTGCATATAAATTTTTTAACAAATTACGTTGATTATTAATTTTAAAACAAAATAAGGAGAATGATCAGATAGAGCTAATACAATAATACCATCATCTAGGCAGTCAAACCAATAGGGAAACAATGATCATCATTTCATCCTCCTTTTAACACAGATAAAGTGGTTGTTCCACACGAGTTGATAACATGCGATCATCAAGAATTTAAGACAACTACAACCAAATCAAGCTTGGTTTTTCTTCCTCCTTAGCAATGCTCTACATGCAAATACTTGAAGAAAGAAACACACTTTATTATCACCTTTTGGGGAGGAGGGATACTTGATTAACCAAATTAAGACAAGCATTAAAAACAAAATACACAAAAGATCAGGGGAATGATCAGATAGAGCTAATACAAAATGCCATCATTTAGGCAGTCAAACCAATAGGGAAACAATGATCATCATTTCATCCTCCTTTTAACATCTCCGAATCAAGACAAACAAGTAATTTCCAGTTCAAATTTTCAGATTAAAACCCTGAAACAAATGAAGTGCAAACTTTTGCTTACATCATATCATCAACATTACCAAAATGGCAGGGAAACACATTAAACAAAGCACCCAAATTACAGATCTACATACAAACAAAATAACACAAAGACTTGATGAGCCGCACATACAAACCTGTTGATAACAGCATCCACAATAACTTGAATAGGGTTCTGGTCAGTTAGCAAATGAATAATTTCCATAGCATGCTTAATAATCCTCACAGCCATTAGCTTTTTGCCATTGTTTCTACCGTGCATCATGAGAGAGTTGGTGAGCCTCTCAACTATGGGGCACTGAGCTTTTCTGAAACGCTTCACAGAGTACCTACCAGCAGTGTGAGGGACATATGTGGCGTGTTTGGATGCCACCACTCCAATATAATCCGCCAGAGATATGTCATTAACCTAATCAATCAATTTCAAACCAACACTTTAGCGAAAACAATAACACAAACATTACTCTCACAGAATAATAAATAAAAAAAATTTGACCCTTCGGATAATGATCACATTGATGATGCCAGATTTAAATGAGGGTCCGGAGAGCGAGTGGCATTACCTGAACATCGTCGAAGCTCCACCTATTGAAGAGCTTGACATCGATCTGAGTGGGATCAGCTTCGGCGACGGTTTCAGCCATCGCTGTTGTATAAGAAATTGAAAGAATAATGTTAGAAAGCTAAAGGAAAATAAAGTGAAACGAAGGAGTAGAGTAAAAGAACGAAGAACACGAACTAAATCTTGAGTCACAAGGAGAGGAGGCGCCTTTATCTTCCAAACTCTCTCAGCATACGGCAAATGCTAAAAACCCTAGTTTGGCTATTTATAATCAAGAACAAAATTTGAAAAATAAGAAACCTTCTAATAAAACGGATATCAAAACGAAAATCGATTGATTGGTTTTTAACCCGGCCCAATATAATTGAAATTTTTAATATGAAATATTATCTGCAAAATTAAATTTAAATTGTTACATTGATCTTAATTACATCTAATTTGTTATATAAATTTTTACTTGCTGTGTTTCTATTTTAAAAAAAATTGGCAAGTTTAATATAAATGTTATAGTTATTTAAATATTATATTTAATTAATATATAATTAATTATTTATTTATTGAGTCAATTATATTTGACTTTTGTATATATATATATATTTATTAAACAAGTTTTCTTTTCACTATTTTGTTTTGTATTTTGTCTGTTTTGTATTTTTTACGATAATCTGTGTTAATGTTATTTGATCCCAGTTTTATATCTTTTTTATTTCAGGGTTTATATTATTTATTTTTATTGCTGTTAATTTAACTTCTTGAATTTGAATAGTATGTTTAAATATAATGAAAACAAAACAGGTAGAAATAAAATAAATAAATAAATAAACATATATATAGATATATAATAAGATAAAAGAAAATGTGTTGTTGGATAGGTAAGAAAGAGAGAAAACAAATAATGATAAAATTTTACTTTATTTGTTTAGAAAAATAGAAAATAAAATAAAAAATATATAGTTTATATAGATATATATTTGATAATAACAATAAAAAAATTTATTTTAACAACAAATTTAGTTTAATATTTTTTACTAATTATGTAATTTTATATAATTTTAATTTTTTTATAAAATAAATAAATTATCTGGTGTTTTTTTTATTTTCTTTCATATTATATTTAATTATTATTATTGACAGTCTTATTAGTAAGAAAACAAGTTAAAAGGTTTTAGTTCCCAACAAACTCTAGCTTCATCTTCACAATATTTTTCTACAAATATATGACATGAACTCAACTAAAATACATCTTATTGTTATAACTCAAAGCAAATAGGTTTGAGTAGTTCAATGCTGTAAAAATGGATTGGCAACCATGGCTAGGATTTTGACTAAAAGATAAGAAAAATGAAAGAATAAGGAGTGTATAGATTAATTATATTTTACAAAAGAGGGAGAGAAACTACCATAAATGTTGTAATTTTTATGTCCCATAGTTTCTCTTGTTCTTAGTGCATGTGTATATAGAATGAGTTTCTTAAAGTCTCATATTTTTGCCTTCACACGTCATTGTTTCATGAATAATAAATGGACATGATAAAAATAAATGACACGTAACAAACGATGATACATTTAAAGTCGTTCGGAGTTTGGTAGGAGTTATTTCACATTTTTTTCTTCTTTGATTAATATTCATATATTTTAAACATAAAACAATGGTCAAAATTTTTCAATGAAGATTTAGGTAGAAATTAAAAGAGAAGAATTGTTGTATTTAATATAAAATTTAATCTTTACATCAATTAAATTTACATATGTTTATATAATATAAAATTTATAAATCACATATAAATTTTTATTAAATCAATTTTAAGCTTTAGATTGTTTTCTTGATCGGGTTAAAGTACTTATAAAAAATAAAGGTAGTTAAATTGAACTCTGATTCTTATTGTTCAAGTGATTCTAATAACAATTTAAATATTAAATCAATTTTTTTATTCGATTTATATTTTTAAACTAAAAAAATTAAATTATTAGTATCTCATTGTTAATTATACAATAAAAAACATGTTCGTGTTTTGCACACTTTATTTTTTATTAAATTAATTTATTTTAAAATAAAAATATATAAATATAATAAAAAATTTATTTATCAAAATAAATTATTATTTAAAATATATATAATTTAATATTTTTTAGCATAAAATAAAATAGCATACAAATATTTTATTTTTTAAATATAAAAATAAAATTTATATTGTTTATGATAACATAAATCATTCATTATTATAAAATTTTAAATAAATAATTATAACAATAAATTATTAAGTATAATTAATTTTTTAATATAAGTTATAAAATTTAAATAAAAACCTTTATAAATTTTTCTTTATATATTTATTTATATTTATTGAATTATATTTATATGAAAAAATATCTTTTATAATTATAATTTAAAATTATTAATAAAATTTTACTATATAATTATTAAAACATGATATCATATTTTTTAAAAATAACTTATTAGATTAATATATACAAAAATAAAATATTTATTCAACTAATATATGAAATTTTTAAAATTTACTTTGAATATCAATATGCACAAAACTACATGTTAATATTTAAAAATAAAAATATATTAAACTTGTTATATATAAATAAAATTTCTATACAAAATTATTATAAATAAAAATTAATAATAATATAATATATATACTGAATTTAAAAGTTTACTTTTTGATAAAAAAAAAAATATAGAATTGAGTTCTTTTAAATGATTAAATTATTTTATATTTTTTCATAACTTAATAAAATTAATATTAATTAACATTATACATAATTAATTTTATTTAATAATTAATTAAGTATAATAAATTTATGTTATTTGAGTTATAGAATTAAAATAATAAATTTATTAATTTTTGAAAATAATTAATATGATTTGTTTGTTATTTATTATTTTAATTAATAATTAATAAAAATAAATGTATCTATAAACTAATTTAATGATAAAATAATATTTAAAAAATTTTATTAAAGGAACAAATATTAATTTAAAAAAATTTAAAAATAAATCTAAAATGCTATATAAAAGGAAATATATAAATTAAATTAAAAATAAGTAAAAAAATATATTATTATTAAGTCTCTAATTATTTTAAAGATATATAAATATAACTTTAATATAAATACATTAAAATGTTATATTACTAATAAAAAAAATATATGTACTATAACTATTTTGACCTAGATACGATGAATTAAAGATTTAATTTTTGTTGTTTAGCTCTCTCATACATTAACTAGTTTTACAAAAAGAGGTTAATATTCAATGAATTTGATTTATTTTTAGAATATAAATAATAAATAATATATTAATACAAAATATTTGTATTGATTTCATATTTTTATGTATAATGTTTGTATTTTAATTTATTTATTAAGAATTAATTGTAATTTCACACTAATTTTTTTTTATTAAAAAACACTTTTATTTGTGTTTGTAATTGAATGCAATCATAAATTTTTTTAAAAGCATTAAAATTTATATTCTAATTTAAAAATTTTGAATAATCATATAGTTAGAATATGAAATTTTAATAAATAAATATAATTTGATATGTTTATATAAAAAATATCTTTATAACATTTTAAACACTAACTTCTATATTTTTTGAATTTAAAGTCTTTCAATAGTTGTAAAGATTTAGATTTCACACTCATAAAATTTTAAAATAAATGATATATATAGAAATTAAATACAACATTTAAACTTAATTCAAAGTTAAATTGTTATATTTTCTTTACTTATTCATTTATTACGATATAAAATTATTAAATATGAAAATAGAATGGTTAAATCATATTTATTTTCATTGTTATGATATTTAATAATTTTTAATTTATTTTAATTATTATAAATAATTAGTTTTAATTGTATAATTTTAAATTTATCATCATCATTATAGCATTTTATAAAAAACATATTGCAAGAAAATTATTAAGTATAAATTTTTAATTAAAAAAATTAAAATTGTCATCATAATTGTTATAATATAAAATATAAATAAAATATGATCTATGTTAAAAGGTTATATATAATTATGATATATTAATTCCTATTAAATTATTTTAAAAAAAATTAAAATAATAAAAGAAGAGAAAAATAATTGAAATACATAAAACAATGATCAAAATTTCTCAATGAAGATTTAGGTAGAAATTAAAAGAGAATAATTGTTGTATTTAATATAAAATTTAATCTTTACATCAATTAAATTTACATATGTTTATATAATATAAAATTTATGAATCACATATAAGATCTGTCTAAGAATAAAGTCAATACATAATATATATTATAATAAAGTAAAAAAGATATATATAATAAGATAACAAAATTATTTTGTAAAAAATTTGAAATTTTTGTGACATTTTACTTTTTAGATTCTATATAATATTAAATATTGATAGTATTTATACAATACTGCAATAAAAATGGTTTAATCTTATAAATTATCTATTGTTGCCTTTTGTTCACTTTTTTTTTCTTTGTCTTCCTTAAGTTACAACTTAAAAGAAAATATCAAATATAAATTATTGATCTAAAAAAATTGAATAATACATTATAAATTTATAATTTATACATTAACTTTCTTTTTTTTTTGATAAATTTAGTATTTTTATGATTAGATATATAGGTGAACAATTTATTGCCAAGTCATTTTCTTTTATTTTTGCATTGTATTATCTAAACATTTTTCTTTCTCAATTTGTAAATATCAAATAATAAAAAAAAAGTTATTCAGAATTGTATTATAAACATTATAAATGAAAATAATGAAACTATAATTTAATCTTCTATATTATTTTTACTATCGGCTTCACAATTTTATTTGTAATGAAATTTTATCTTCCACAACTTTCAAAGTAAGCACTCATTTTTATTTGAATAATATGTGAAGTGTCAATAATTTTTAAAAGTTATAGATGCAACTTTAACATTTCACTATCGCCCTTAAAAAACTATCACATAAAAATAGTTATATGTTTTAATGTATTTTATTTATATTATCAATTATTTGATTATATTTTTTAGGAAGTTAAAAATTAACATATTTGCTTACAATTTCACATGTTGCAATAAGATATTTTTACTTTACTTGTGCTAATTGTTCAACAATTTGATCAAATAAAATAAGTATAGTTGAGTCCGTTGAATTTTTAACATCATGTTCAAGGCGAAACCCGAAATATATATAAATTAAGATAATAATATATAATTTAATTTATTTTAATATGAAAATTTAAAAATTAGAATACACAGTGATAAATTAATTACCTTGTCATTGAATATTCAACATTTTTATAACATTATTCACATTTAAAATTTGTAGTTGTGAAATAAACTTTACTCTTGCAATGAGGGCAAAAAATATAATACCAAAGATTTTTAAGTATTACATCATTCACAGTTATAATATATCTAATTACGACATTCTGAAAATTAATTACAAAATTAGTTTAAAAAATAAATAAGAAGAACAAAGTATAAGAGAGATTAAATTTATCATATCACTATTTGATTTTACTATTGTTAATATTTTATATATGTTTTTAAAATTTTATAACTTAGAAAAAATAATATATCTTGTATTATCAACATTGTGAGCAATATGTATATCATTAAAATCCCTTCAACAAAATGATAATAAATAATTGAAAATGTGGTTAAAATAAAAACTAAAGAATTAGCAATAATTAACGTAACAAAGAGATTTTAAATAATTTTAATACTTGAATCTATAAAATGTGTAACTTTTGGTATGTCAATATTGACATAATTATTTATTAATCTTTATGTGGAAATATAAATATTATTTGTAATACATATACTCGTATTTTTTATAATTAAATATCACAGTCGTATGATATTTGCATTTTTATTTTTCATTTATCTGTTGTTGAATTCAAATAATTAAGAAATGTCTATTTATTTTCATTAGAACTTGTTCTACTACATCGTCATGGAAAACATAAAAGTAAAAAATTACTTATGATAAATATAAGAAAATAATAACAGTTTTGATACAAATTAATCAATTAAAAATAAGATTCAATACACTATATCATTTAAAAATAATACGACTTTATGCTTACTCAAAAAAATAAATTAAAATATATAACACATTTTCAATTTATTTCAATAAACTTGCATTTTCATTATAAATGTAATTTAACAATATATAGTATAAACTAATAATTTTATAAATATTTTAATTTTTAAAATATATATTGAGCTATATATTATATTAAACTAATTACTAAAATAATTTAAATATATAAACTTTTATTTTTATTAAAAAATTAATTTAATAATATATAATATAAACTAATAATTTTATAAATATATTTTTTATTCAAAGTACATTTTAGTATTTGAAATAAATATTAAAATATAAATTAAATAAACTAAAAAATAAAATAATTTAAATATATAACAAATTTATGAAAATTTTAATTTAATAATATATAATATAAAGTATAATATTATAAGTATAATTTTTTAATTCAACATATATAATATAACCATAAATTTTATTAAATTTTTCTTAAATGTATTTCATAATAAGTATGAATCAAATATAATTTTAATTCATAAATTTTGAAAAATATTGTAGTTAATTTAATAAATGGTAATTTAAAGCACCTTATAGTATGAATATGTACGTTGCTGTTTGTAATATAATATAACAATAAAATCTAATAAAAAAATTTAAATAAAATTCATCAAATTTAATAAAAATTCTTTAAATACAAATAAAAGATAATAAGTATGAATAAAATATAATTTCAATCGATAAGTTTAACTTTTCAAATTTTAATTCATAAAGTAATAATTAGATGCAGTTAACATGAGTAACTGTATATGTTTTGCATTAATTCTTTAAATACAATTCATCAATTCGAATAAAAATTATTTAAATACAATTAAAATAAGTATGAATAAAATATAATTTTAATTTATAAGTTATACGTTTCAAATTTTAATGCATATATTAATAAATGAGTGCACATAATAGTGACTTTATAGGTTCTAAATTTTAATACGTACAATAATAAGAAAATGAAGTCACATATATAAAGATAACTTTATAAGTTTCAAAATTTAATGCATAAGGTAATAAGTAGGTACAGTTAATTTTACATATAATTTTATATTTTACATACATATAGATAGATAGATAAAAGATACTAATTACATTGTTAAAAAGAAATATAATTATCAAAATTTAACCATTTATATGTGGAATAAAGTTTTTTCATATTAGTGTAAGTTTACAAATTCTTATACTTAATATAAGTCTTTCATTTAATTAACATCAGTAAAATAATAAATCATAACTTGTTAAATATAAGTTAAATAAATAGTTATAATTAAATGTAAATTTTTAAACTTAAACTAATATTATAAAATCTTTCATATATATAACATAAATGGCAAAAAAATAAAAAAATGTAAAATATGAATTATATATATATATATATATATAAATGTAAAATATGAATTATATATATATATATATATATATATATATAATTCATATTTTACATTTTTTTATTTTTTTGCCATTTATGTTTAGATTTATGCACGCATCACTCCTTTAGACACTATGTATAGCATATCATGTATATACACTGGATCATTATTTCATAAAAAAGTGGGACCATCTCATTAATCACATGAAATTAAACTTAGCACTATTGCAATATAATTATCACTTATTTAATAGTTCATTTAGACACCAAGAAAGTATTGAGTGAGAATAGTGACGGTTAAAATTTCAAAACTTAAAAGAATTAAAAAAAATAAAAGTAAATAAAAATAAAGAAGACAAATGATTAATTTACTAATTTTGTTAAGAATATAATATAAATATATTTATATTATCTTATTTATTTAATAAAATTTAAGTAGTATTTTTTCTTAATTTTTAAGATGAAAATATTTAAAATAAACTAAAATATATTTTATGTCATTTAACATTAATCAACTAATTTATGATGTTGCTTCTACTTGATTTTAGATATCGTATTTTTATTTTTAATTATCATTTTTTCACTTTATCTTTATTTTATTTAATATTTTAAAGAACTGTATAAAATAGCAAAACAAAAAAATTATTTTTATTTAATATCTATAAACGTTGTGAAACCAAATAGCTCTTAATCTTTCTGTTTTTGGTCAATGAATAGCTCAATCTTTCACGTCCATTATAGTTTCTTAGTTAATTATTGTGATACCTATAAGCCCAAGTGGGCTTTTAGATACCCGTTTAGAATGGTACTGGGCTTCTTGTTCAGCTGCTTATAGATAAAAAACCGACACACACCACAATGTATAGTCCAGTTTGGCTCGATCGACGGTGTGGTTCCGCCGCTGCTCTGCCGTTCGGGTATCCCCTTTGTCACACTCCGCATCATTTTCAGTAGCTTGAAGGTACGTATTTTGCATCTCCTTCGTGTAGGGTTTCCGATTTAAACCATCAATTTGAAGTCCTGTGATTTGGCTTTAAGCTCTTAGTTCGTCGTCTGGCGAATTGACATGGTTTCAATCTTCGAGTTTCCGTTACCATTATTTATTTATCACTTCCCTGCGTTGCCTGAACTCTAGGAAGGAACAAACTTCAATTGAACTTGTTGGTAGAGCTGTCAAACAGGATTAAAATTCATGGACTAACCTCTAAAATCCTATAATTGGCCGTGTTTTTTATCAACCCATTTTATAATAGGGCTATTTAGCCCTACCCCATACAACTCATAAATAAAGTGGGCTAGTACTCAGGGTTGGGGCTGACCCATGGATCATCTCCTCTTGATGTTTTACAACCCGAATAATCTCCCAAGTTCTAACACCGTCACCCTCTAAAACACAATTTTGCAACCCCAAAAGAGAAGAAGGCTTTCGTAAGTTTAACCCTAAGTTCAACAATTTCTTCTTATTTTAAGTATGTCCTTCCTTTTCAGTTTTCTTTTACTATTATACTTCCGAATAATTCCACCAAAGTGCTTTCAGTTTTCTTTTACTGTCATCTTCTGGGTTTTTTTTTTTTTGAGGTGAGTGTGGAGAAAATGAAGGGAAAATGGAGTCTTTGGTTGAAAGGAAATGAATTTATTGGTGTTTTTGATTTGTTTCTTTGATCGAAAATATGGCTTTTATTTTTACTTTTTGGCTTTTGTTTTTCTATGGAGAGGGTATCTTGCTATGATTGCTTTCTCGGCAGCCAAACAGTGCTTTAGCTTCGGATTAATTTTCTGACTTTTTTTAATGTCTAAAATTGTTTTTTGTTTTTTCGATTTTTGACTTGTGTTGGATATTAGAAATCCACCGTTTTCTTTATTAACGAACTCCTAGATATCTCAATCAAGTGTTGCATATGCTGTTTTATGGGTAATGGAATGATGTATATAGTTCTCTGTATTTGGTTTGTATAGTTAGCGTCAAATTTAGAAAAACTCATATCTTTTAAATGGTAAGTGGAATTTAGTCTATTCTTGTATCTGTTTTGGGAGTGAGGAGTATGTATACATCATCACTTTGTTCATTGAATTAGAAAATGGACTAAATTGAATTAGCAACTGCATGTACATTTACTTTTGTGTATATTTGATTGTTATTTTATATTGATTTAGACTATGATTTACTTCAAACTTGAGACATGTTTAGGAATGCTGAAGATAGAGTCGAAATCAATCACCACATTTGATCTTTATGCTGTACGTGATCATTTTGTTGGCAGCTGAGAAAGTTTTTAAGATTAACATATTTTCTGGCCTAATGCTTTTGGAAAGCCAACAATGCCAAAACTTCAGTAAAATCAGCTAAATAGTTTGCCAGTTGTTCATCTTAGTTCATTTTCAGACCTGGTTTCTTTAGGAAGCTAGCAATATTAACACTTTGTTTCAAATAGCCAAAAAAATCTTAGCAGCTGTTTGATGTGTTCTATTATTTGTGTGGCCTGAGGTATCTTTTTGCTAACAAGGTTGCTATAATTTCATCAAAAGGTCCTTGACACATTATTCTGTTCCCATGCATAGTTTATAAACATAGGGTTTTATGCTGGCCTCAAATGAACGAGTGGATCGCATTAATATTTATGTTTTGGTCATTGAATCATTGGTGGGGTTCACACAGTTAAAACTTAAAACATGGAAATGCTTAGCCCTGGTCTTTGAGATATTCTCGATATTCATAACGAAAATCAATAACCCAGGTCTTCGAGAATTGGTTATTTAAAACTTTCCCTAGTGTTTTTGAGTTTTTTAATGAATATTTTAGTTTGATATTATATTATATAATAGCAAAAATGAAGGAATTTAAAAATTTCAGTGGTTGTAGGTACATTAAGATAATACTCTTGAAGAGCTATTGAGGGGGTAGTCTAGCTAGCTATATTAATGGAGCGTCAGGGTCATGATTATGCAGCATCTGCGATGGCATATGCTCAGCAACAGAGACAGGCTGCTAATATGCAACAGTCACAGCAGTTTGGATTTCATCCCCAGCATCAGCAGTTTCCTTCATCAATGCACGGCCCTCCATTTATACCCCCAGGTGCAGGTCCTGCACATCCTCCAATGCAACAGTTCCCTTATCATCATGCTCTGCAGCAGCAACAGCAACAGCCACTTCCACAGTTACACCCTCATGCCCCACCTCCACCTCCTCATCTTCTTCTTCAGCAGCAGCACCAAGCACCTCCTGCATTCCCTCCACATTATCCTCCTCCCCTTGTTCCATCTCCGTATTATGATTCTGCTCCCCCCCCTGCTGCTCCCCCTTCTGATCCTGAGCTTCACAAGAGAATCGACAAGCTTGTTGAGTATTCTGTGAAAAATGGCCCTGACTTTGAAGCCATGATATGTGAAAAACAGCGGGATAATCCTTCCTATAGTTTCCTCTTTGGTGGGGAGGGACATGGTTATTACCGATATAAGCTTTGGTTATCAACTCGTCCCGCTGGTGGTCCATTCAACGCACCTTTTCCATCATCTTCCATGGCCATGATGCATCCTCCTCCAAATCCAATGATGAACCCATCTCCTCTAAATGCGTCTCCTATGAATCCTGCTGGAATTGGTTCCTCACCTTCAATGCTAGGTCCACCTCCCTTCCAACAGTTCTATGATCAACAACACCACCATCAACATCCTCAGTCTTTTGGACTTCATGGTAGAACTGAGTATGATCAGTCATCCAAGTCTTTCAAAGGGTTCTCTGGACCACTTCCATCTGATGTTGCGATGGAGCTCAGTAATGTTCTTAACAATCTAAATGGAACCAAAGAATCCATTAAAGGTGCAAAACTTTGGTTCATGCAGAGATCTCCATTCGCACCAGCCTTGGCAGAGGCTCTTAGAGATAGGGTCTTTGCTTTGGATGAAGTTGAGAGACAGTTACATATAATATACCTGGCCAATGACATCCTTTTTGACAGGTAGCTTACGTGATTATTTCAGTGTACTGCTTGTTCTTTTTCTTCTTTTTGCACCATTTCAGAAACAGAATTTGATTGATTAGCATATGATAGATTCTTAGAATGTGATTCTAATAAACAGAAAATATGGATCATGCATACACTGCATTTTCTGTCTCTCTGTTGTAAGTCAAAATAAGCTTGGTTATTGGTATAAGATTTTCTCCGTTTGCTGTGTTTTGCCTGATTGGAAGATTAGTTTAACAGGCAGAATGCTATGAAAATCATGTTTAATAGAAGTTACAACTGTGGAGCTATCCCTACCGTATCAGTGCATCCAGTGAAAATTTCCTTTCTTCATTACTCATATATGTCATTTTTTTCCCAAAATCTGCTATTTTCACCTTAAGTATCTAAGAAAATAGCTTGAAATCTCATGAAATGTTGCTTTTCACAACAAGGTGTGAGCTCAAATTTTTTTTTGGCAGGTTTATTTACTGCTTATACAAGCTTGTCATTCATGTTTGTTCTCTGTTTCCCATATAGATGAGGCCAAATTGTTTCTAGCCATATTTGCATATAAAAATAGACCCCCTACCCCTCTAGTTGTACTTTTTATTCAAGTTTTGGTGCAACAAGATCTTCATCCTCTTGCTTATTTTCCATTTCCGTGCTGTTTAGATATTCTTCTTGACATGGATGCCAGAGTGGATGGTTCTGTTTTTCATTATCCTTGACTTTTGAATTACTAATTCACAGCTTAAATCGGAGGACAAGCGGTCATGACCTTGATGGTGAAGCCCTTGCCTTTAAGCCTGTTTTAGGCTCCATGCTTGCAAGAATTTATCATAACCCACAAAGCAATGAGGAATACAGGAAAAGATTGCATCAAATGGTGGAGTTCTGGGCTTCTAAAGAGGTATACGATCAAGAGACTATAACTTCACTGAAGAGTGAGATGGTTGGTGGGCCACAAACAAATTCTTTTACTGGGGTTTCAAAGGATCTATCATCTGCTTCAGCAGAATCTGGTGCAGGTAAGCTTCTCTTAAACTGGAATGTGTCATGGCATGCAGAAGTCAGTGGATTATTTCTCTTGTGATAGTTCAATAGTTTCTAAGATGTGAGTCAATGATTGGTTTGGAAATCCCCCCTTGTCCATGGGGAATAGAAACCCCAAAAATACCCCTCTTGCTTTAAGAAAAATTGTTTCCTTAAGTGCTTTTTGCTTTCTTTTGGGAGGGGGAGGAGTTGAATTAAGTAACTTCTTTTGTGTCCTCTGTTGTAAATTTATCCATCCCTCGTTGTAAGCTATTTTGGTGTTTTTTTCTGTATATTTTTCATGTAGTCTTATAATAAATGACTCGGCAGTAAGTTGTGAATACATGATCACCCACACTGGCCACCACTGAACTTAAGCGATTGATTACTGGAGGTGTAGAGTATTTGATTTAAGCAATGATTTTTTTTTCTTCTCCCCTCCCTGTTGCAGGAATGTTACAGACACCAAATCATATTGCCCAGCAGTGGCAAGCTGATAGGTTAGGCTCCGGTTCGAGTCTCTTAGATCAAGATCGTCCTGATAAACATGCACCTCCAACGCCCCTAGCAGCTCAGCAATTCCTTCCAAATTCTGCTCCTCCCAGTGCCTTTCCTGGGTCCTTGGCTATACCATCTTCTGTTCAACCAGCTAACCAACCACCTGGTGCACATATATTGCCACCTCCATCATCTGGCACCAGCGAACAATTGCCACCATATCCATTATTCCCACCTGGCCTCATTCCAGGAATGGTTAGAAAGATGCAGGTTGGTAGTGGGGTCCCATATTCACCTTTGAGCCCTTTGGATATCCCAACTATGATACCACCATCAACTGTACCGCCTTCAGAAATTCTTCAAAGAGTGTCAAAATTTTTTAAAGAAATTGGAGAGGTAAATCCTTCTGAGGGCCCTATGAATTCTGATTCAAGAGATGATGATGATGAATATGATAGGGAGTATGAGAGGGAGCCTCCAGTACGAAAGGGAGGTGCTTGCATACCTCCACCCCCGAACTTGCAAATCGATCCAGAGACAGGGACCTATGCTGATGGTAGTGTAGAACGGAAACCTGGATCCAGTGGCTCGGGCAGGTTGGGACTTGGAGCCACAGCCAATCCCAATGAGGTGAGTCAGTATGATGATGTATATACATCTTACAGGAAGCAGAGAAGCACCACTTACCATTCATCGATGAGTGCCAGAGCGGCAGCTAGATGAAAGCCCCCAACTACATTATCATCCAAAATTTCTGATTGCTGGGTGTTAAACTATTTAGTTTTGTCTTCCTTAATGTTTCTTTGAAAGCCCCTAATTACATTAGAATCCAATGTGCTTTGTCATCTGGTTTCATGGATGATTGATGTATCTTTCCTCGACCGAAACTGAATATCCCACAAACTTCAAGGCACACATGTTAGTGGGATGAAAAATGAATGATAATCTCATTTCTTCCAAATTCAACCCCTTTCTTAGCCAAAGTTTGATTTTGGTGTATGGTTTAACGGGGTCTTTTGTCCCTGTAACTCTATCCTTTATTTATTTTTTGAATATTTAATTTAGTAATTCGTCCTTATCTTTTAAATTTGAGTCCTTTTTACAAGTGAGAATTTTGTTGGAGCTTCTGCATTAAATTACATGAGTTCTCCTATATTGAACACTTAGTTTTACTTTGGATCCAGCCATAGTCGAAATACATTAACGGTCAAAATTAATAAAAAAAATTATTAATCATATGAATTCAACGATAATTTTTTTAAAACAACAGAAATTCAATCAAGTTTTAAAATAAATAAAATATGATTTTTTTAACTTAAAATTAATACAACTAAAAAGTTATAAAATAATGCAATTATATTTAACAAAATTATAACTGAAAAATAATTTTTTCAAAAAAATATAATTTAATTTTTTTTTATTATTATGTAATAAAACCAAATTATTAGTTTATGACCTAGCTTATTCTACAGTGAGAAAATCAATTATAAAAAAATTGAATAAAAAATAATACATATTTTAATAAAAATATGTGATTTACATTAATTCATACATGCATTTTAATTATAATCCCTAGTTTAATATTAAAATTAGATTTATTTAATTTTAAACTACACATATACTAAAAAATGGTCTCGGTGGAAATGAGAAGTTTTAATTGAATTCTGTTTTTATTTCTTATTTATTATGAACATTATGGATTTTTTTATTCCTTTAAAATAATCTTTTTAAATATAAGTTTAAATTTCAGTTTGATTGTATTTGTAGATAATATTACATAATATTAAATAAGATATATTTTTTAGATAAATATATTTTATGATTATTATAATAATTTAAAATTATATTTTAACAAAAAACAAAAAACAATTTCAAAACACAAAATATTATTTTTTAACATACCAAATTAACAAATATGAAATATTTTAATTTTAATATTTTTATTAATTAAAAAATATCATATATTTAAAATTTTCACTATTTAACATAACAAAATATTAATTATTAGTAGAAAATATTCATAGTCATCTTTAATTTATTTTTATTTAAATAATTTAAAAGATAAAATACAGTGAAAAGAATAGTTTGTGCAAGTAATGTACGTGAACTTGTGAAGTTGGATTCGGCCCAGTGAGTAACAAGAACCGGCCCAAATATTACAAACCCTAACCCTAAGTAGACTCATATGGACTTCCTCAGACAGTAGCCAAGCCGCTTCTTGTTCTTCCGCTTCCTCTTCCTCTTCCCCAGCCTGAATTCATCTTCCAGAGAAGACGCCACTTGCAAAATTGGTACGTCAAAATTTCAAATCGTTGTGACTCGATTATTGCTTTTTGTTCAATTAATACATATATATCCATTTTTATCTGATTTCTATGTTTCGTGCTTCGGAATTGTGATTAATAATACCGTTATTTTCATTCGCAGTTTCTTGTCGCTACTCACAACTTTTGACTAAGGATGGCTTCGAGATTCTGGACCCAGGTCTTTGACATATTCCCAATACTTCAATTATTTTGCCCTATTGGATTGAATTTTTTGTCTGACATAGTTTTTAATTATTGAATTATAGGGTGGAAGTGATTCGGAGGAGGAGGAGAGTGATTACGATGAGGAGGATGAAACCGCGGTGGGTGAATCTGCTAGTCAAGCCGTGACCAGCAGGTACCTGCAGGACAATGCGAGTGACAGTGATGATTCCGATGGCCAAAAGCGCGTTGTGAGGTCAGCAAAAGACAAGCGTTTTGAGGAGATGGCTTCCACTGTTGACCAAATGAAGAATGGCATGAAGATCAATGATTGGGTGAGCTTGCAAGAGAGCTTTGACAAGATTAACAAGCAGCTTGAGAAGGTCATGCGTGTGACGGAATCGGAGAAAGTTCCTAATCTCTACATCAAGGCACTTGTCATGTTGGAAGATTTCTTGGCTCAGGCATTGGCCAATAAGGATGCCAAGAAGAAGATGAGTAGCAGCAATGCTAAAGCCTTGAACTCGATGAAGCAGAAGTTGAAGAAGAATAATAAGCAGTATGAGGATTTGATTAATAAGTGTAGGGAGAATCCGGAGAGTGAGGATGAAAAAGATGATGAGGAGAGCGAGGAAGAGTATGAGAGTGATGATGAGATTATTGAGCCGGAGCAGCTTAGAAAGCCGGAGCTGAAATCGGATTCGGAAGCTTCACAATTTGAAGATGAAAAGGCAGATGCTGGTGAAGGTCATTGGGACCAAAAGCTTAGCAGGAAAGACAGGCTTATGGATAGGCAGTTCATGAAAGACCCTAGTGAGATCACCTGGGACACTGTTAACAAAAAATTCAAGGAGGTGGTGGCCGCTAGGGGCAGGAAGGGAACTGGGAGGTTTGAACAAGTTGAGCAACTTACTTTCTTAACAAAGGTTGCTAAGACACCTGCGCAGAAGCTTGAAATTCTGTTCAGTGTCGTTTCTGCTCAGTTTGATGTTAATCCAGGCCTCAATGGGCATATGCCCATTAATGTATGGAAAAAATGTGTACAGAACATGTTGATCATTCTTGATATTCTAGTGCAGTACTCAAACATAGTGGTTGATGATTCAGTGGAGCCAGATGAGAATGAAACTCAGAAAGGCCCTGATTACAGTGGACCAATTAGGGTTTGGGGTAACTTGGTTGCTTTCTTAGAAAGAATTGATGCTGAGTTTTTCAAGAGCCTGCAGTGTATAGATCCTCATACACGTGATTATGTTGAGAGACTCAGGGATGAGCCCATATTTCTGGTTCTTGCTCAGAATGTCCAGGAATATCTTGAAAGAGTCAGAGATTTCAAAGCTGCTTCTAAGGTAGCCTTAAGGAGGGTTGAGCTCATCTATTACAAACCACAAGAGGTTTATGATGCCATGAGAAAATTGGCTGAGCTGACTGAAGATGGAGATAATGGAGGGGAAGCAAGTGAGGAGTCGAAAGGATTTGAGGAATCCAGAATTCCGACTGCATTTGTTGCTACTCCAGAACTTGTGGCCCGGAAACCCACCTTCCCTGAGAATAGCAGGACCCTAATGGATATATTGGTATCGTTGATATACAAATATGGAGATGAGCGAACTAAAGCACGAGCAATGCTCTGTGATATTTATCACCATGCTCTTCTTGATGAGTTTTCGATAGCCCGCGATCTGCTGCTTATGAGCCATTTGCAAGATAGTGTTCAGCATATGGACATTTCAACCCAGATACTTTTTAACAGGGCTATGTCACAGTTAGGTTTATGCGCTTTTCGGGTTGGACTGATTTCTGATGCACATGGCTGTCTGTCTGAACTTTATTCTGGTGGAAGGGTGAAGGAGTTGCTTGCGCAAGGCGTGTCACAAAGTCGTTATCATGAGAAGACTCCAGAACAGGTAATGATCCCCATTTTTTTAATGGTTTTTTCATGATAAGTTAGAAGCTTTTTAGGCTCGTACGTAAGTTATGAGTTTAGTGCATTTATTGTGATCAAGGAAGTAGCTGAAAGATGTGTGCATGTATATATGTTTCTGCAATTATGCTTACTGTATATGCTATATATATTGAAACGCATCTTAAAAGACATAGATCCCCAGTCGGTCTGTTCTCACCCTAGTCTGCCATTAACAAGTTTCAGGTTAGGTGCTTGTCTGCAGCGAGGGACTTAGTGTTAACTTTGATTTGTTTGGTGAAACTGTATGTTTCATATGTACATGCATTGCAATTAACAAGAAAATGATCTGAATTTCTTTAGCTACTTAGATACACAATAATTAACAGTGAAGAGTTTTACCTTTTTCCTAAGAAACGGTTTCATGTCAAGAATCTGAAGCAAAGCTGCAACTGTACTGAAAGAAACTGAAGTAACATGAAGCTGTGATAATTTATTTAGCATGCCGATACTTGATGTACTGGGCAAGTAGTTCAGGCTTTCTGTTCCTTTTATCTCATTTTCAGGCCTGTGGATCTGTTGGCTGTTAAATAATTATGGGTTTTGGATTATGTAGTGCACATTTTTGTCTGCTTGCTGTAAGGAATTGTAGAAGTGTTATTCATGAACAATGAATCAAACAGCAATGCTGCATCTGATATATAAGGTTGATTTTGTTTTGTTAATCAAATTGTTCATCAATGCACCCATTAGAGAAATGATTGATTTTGCCAGGGCCTGCTCATTTGTCTTATATTAGTCCTCAAGTTAAAAGTAGAACTATTTGATTTTCTTTTCCTGGCTGCCATGGTCAAATTGCTCCATTTAATACCTGAAGCATTGAAATAATATCATTGAATTTTGTATTGGCCTTGATCTACCTTGCTAATCTGTAAGATTTTTTCAAACTTTCATTCTAGTCTTCATAATCTTAAATTCTAGTTACTGTTATAGTGTTGTCTTCCTCAGCTTGTATGATGAAAAATTTGCTACTGGCAAGTCATTTGAGTTTTAAAGTGCATTTCTGGACAAGGATAGGTTTTTTGCATTTGTTTTCGAATTGTCAAAATTACATTTGACATCACAGTTAAACTTTTCAATTCTCTTTCAGGAAAGGTTGGAAAGAAGGCGTCAGATGCCATATCATATGCACATAAATCTTGAGCTTCTGGAGTCTGTGCATCTTGTATCTGCTATGCTACTGGAAGTTCCCAATATGGCAGCAAACATTCATGATGCTAAACGCAAGGTCATTAGTAAGACTTTCCGTCGCTTGCTTGAGGTCAGTGATAAACAAACATTCACTGGTCCACCAGAAAATGTCAGGGATCATGTTATGGCTGCCACGAGGGTTCTTAGCAAAGGAGACTTCCAGAAGGCTTTTGACATTATTGTCTCTCTTGATGTATGGAAATTTGTGAGAAATCGGGATACTGTGCTTGAAATGCTGAAGGACAAAATCAAGGAGGAGGCACTGAGAACATATCTCTTTACCTTCTCTTCATCTTATGAATCTTTGAGTCTTGATCAGCTCACAAAAATTTTTGACCTCTCTGTTTCTCGCACTCATAGCATTGTTAGTAGGATGATGATCAATGAGGAGCTTCATGCAAGCTGGGACCAGCCAACTGGGTGCATTGTTTTCCAAGATGTTGAACACTCCAGGCTGCAGGCATTAGCATTCCAGTTGACAGAGAAATTATCTATCCTTGCTGAGAGTAATGAAAGAGCAACAGAGGCAAGGATAGGCGGTGGTGGATTGGATCTGCCTCTAAGGCGGAGAGATGCCCAGGACTATGCTGCTGCTGCCAGTAGTGGAACAGGCCCTTTAGGTGGTAGGTGGCAAGACTTGTCCCTTTCTCAGCCAAGGCAAGGCAGTGGGCGCACAGGGTATGGCAGCGGTGGTGGAAGGCCAATGGCATTGGGTCAAGCGGGTGGGAGTGGCTATTCAAGGGACCGAATGGGACGGGGAACAGGTACTGGCTATCAGAGTGGACGATATACTCAAGGTTCAGCATTGAGGGGACCTCAGGGCGATGTATCTACTCGCATGGTGAGCCTTAAGGGAGTTCGTGCTTAAAGATTATTAGACACATACTACTAGCTTTTAGCATTTAAAGTTATCTTCTGTACCTCAGTTGGGAATTCGTGCTTGAAGTTTATTAGAGAAGACATATAGCACAAGCTGCATTTAAATTTATCTTCTGTACCCCAGTTTTGATAATTTGACTAATGCACTACAACATTATGGTTCTCATTTTAGTACTGTATTATTTTCTTGTGGATTTTATCTAAAGTTGCATTTGAGAAATTGATGGGGATTTATTTGTGTGGGAACTTGGTTTCATTTTACGCCCATTTTAGTGTGGGCTTGTTCTCTTTGAATTGTTTCGCCAATTCCTGCTCTGGCCTTAGCACGGGGGATCTGACATGGATCATATCATCTGTTTAGTATCTTCGTACTGTGAATAGTATTCGGGCGTTAGTTTATTACGGCAGTATCGAACAAAAGTATCATTTGCTAGAGGAAAAACAATAATCTATTATGTGCTGTTGGCTTGTCGGTGTTATTATTATTGATGAGGTTGTTTTCGAAAGCCAGTTTGTGCCCATGTAATCTTACACCATTTTCCTAAATGGAAGTTGATGTCAGTAGTAACATCCATCGTATTTTGTTTGTACTCCTCGAACATCTCAAACTACTAACAAGAATGGCAGCTAATCAAGGTTTCAAACAGCCTTAGCAGTTCTACTACCGTAAGTCCACAATTATTGATCAGGATAATAAACACATTAATTGAAATCATAAAACATGATCATTGAATATGTAGATCAGTTGCCAGGAGACTATTCTAATTAAGCAGTTATTGAGTTCAAGTAATCCAAATAATGTAAATTAACCCCCCCAAAAAAATCATAAAAGTAGTATGTTAACATTTTTAAACACAAGTGAAAAGAATACCTATAGTATTTTCTTTTTCCTTTTCATTTCTAGTATTTTTTTTAATAATTATAAATAGGGATGACAATGGGTAAAGTACCTGATGGGCACCCGCAAAATTTATTTACAAGGTATGGGTAAAAATCTGCAAATTTTAATAGGGATGGGTGCGGGTATAGGTATCTAAGTACTCACCCCACCTCATACCCGCATATATATATATATATATATATATATGTGTGTGTGTGTGTGTGTATGCTTGAACTTTATTCTATAATTATGTATTGAATTTTTGTATTATTAAAATATATTTAATAATAAAGTAAAGCAAAAAATTTATTTTGGTTTATATTTTTAATAGAAAAATTTATTTATTATTTTATATCATTTAATTAGGCTAATACAATTTAATTATTACATAGTGATATGAGATTGACTTTTTTTAAAATATTATTTATATATGACACACATAAAATATTTTTTACACAAATATTTTTGTTAATAAAATCATATTGATGTTTAAATCATAAAGTGAATGATAAATAATAAATATATTATAAATATTTTATAAATTTTACAATCACCTAATAATACTTTAAAATTATTTATTAATAATATTTAAATTTTATTTTTTATATTTTAATTTAAAATAATATTTTTCTATGCAACATAGGTATTACAAGCACAACTATAATCTATTGAATCTAAATAATATTATCCTTATATTTATTCACGTTCAAAATATAAAAAATTATTGTTAATTTTTATTTGTTAATTTTTTCAGATAAAAAAATATAATTTTTTTAATATACACGTATATTTCTTTATTATAAAATTTTATTATAACTATTTATCTTTTATTCAAATTTTTTCTTTTAAAATTTATATAAATTATAAATATTTAATTCATTAAAATAATTTTTTAAAAATTTGTATTTTTGATAAAATACTTTCGTATAGTATATGAGTTAAAAATATTAGTATTAATATATATATTAATTATATTATTTTAATTAAATCTATTATTTTTCTTACAATTTCAAATTTAAAAGTTAAAAAAAATATTTTATGTATCCACTTTCTGTTGTTAGTATTGAACTTTTCTACTCTAATTCTATTCTCATTCTCAATGTCTTTCTCATTAAAACCTAACAATTATGAAATGTTATTCATTAGGTTAGTTGTCAATGTCATCACAAGAGTTCACCAAGTGATCCTACACGAAGGAGGGACAACCATTGTATAGATCTATTTCATTGTCGCTCTGACATTAACAATTGATCAAATCTCACACAAGATAGGATTATCATTGACAAATAACTTGTGTGTTTAGTTTCACTTATTATTTCTAAGACTTTTAGTTTATAAAATTATTATATTAAGATACATTTAACATTTATGATCTTTGAATATTTATTTTTTATCTATGTTTGTACCTTATTCGGCAACTACATATTGAATTTTTGTATTATTACGCTACTTATGTGAAGTTATATAAATATATTTTTCTTTATAAATATTTTTTTTTTCAAAAAAGTGCAAGTAATGAGTAAAAGATAGGTATATAGGTACCCAGAGGGCACAAGTACAGGAATTAATGTCATACCCATGCGGGTATGGAGCCGAGTACATATATTTTTTTAAAACGCGGGTATGGAGATGGGTATTATAGTACCCTACCCATTGCCATTCCTAATTATAAAACTATATTATTTTTATTTCATTTCCCGTTTTTAAGAATTGGAATAGAAGTGCTAAAAATTACATAACATTATCATTCACGTTTACAAATGTTTGGGAAAAAAATAACATCTTTACAATTATTAACGATATAGGGAGATTTAGTAAAATATGTTAAAGTATTTTAGTGATATATCAGAAGTGTAATATATTTAAATTCAGCATTAGCTAATAAAGGAAGTCATTAATTAGAACTAAATTGAATGGTTTGCATGAGATCATCGGTTCGAACCTCATTGGCACTGTTGTATACAAAACCAAAAGAAGAAAAGAACAAAAATCTTGTAATAATCAAGTTTAGCATAAGTTGAAAATTAGCTAAATCGTAAATTTGTTAAGAAAGAAATTCATATAAACGTGCTGATATAATCGCTTTACTATTAGCTATGTGATGTGAATCTAGGATTCCCCCTTTTAAACAGCTTAACAGATGCTTGTCTACAGAAAGGAAATTATGTAAAATTAATCAATGGGAAAATAATAACGCTGCTAGCAAAAACTAGCTCAAAGACTGAAAGATCCAATGTCATACAAGCTCATCGTTAGAAAAAGATGAAGAAAAACAGTACAAGTAACCACAGAAAGGGAAAAGGGCAAGGGCTATCAATGAAAGATACTAGGGCTTAACAAAATAAATAAATAAATCAGCATCTGCCATTAATTACTTGCAAAATTGCAATCCTTCTCTGAAAGGAAAGACTAAACACAGATTCACTAAGTGAGCACTGTTGGAAGTCTCAACAAAGTCTCCACTGGATCTGTCTGTTCAGTGACATTACTTTCAGCACTATATCCTTTATCATGCAGCTTTATCTGTTTGTACACTCTTTCAAACTATCATCTTCAATATCTTTGTTCTTGACATTATTCTCTGCATCACAATTAGCTTCCATTTTCGAATTCTGTATGCTTTGTTCACTGCTCTTATCCTCCAATTTACTGTCTTCAGCAGATCTGCTTTTGATAGTATTCTCTGCACTGCTCTCATTTGTGGCACTAATTTTTTCATTCGATAAATTTTCCATATTTGTCTGAGTACTCTCTTCCTTGCCCTTGATTTTTAATTCACTAGTTGCAGCATCTTTGTTCTCATCGTAAACTTGTGCACTGCCATCATTCTGTAGGCTAATTTCAGCTTTATCAGATAAATTAGACATATTTGAAGTCTGTGTCCTCTCTTCACAGCTTTTGTTTTCAATGCAACTAGCGTCACTCTCTTCTTTCTTGGCATTATTCACTGCACTATCCATATTCACCATGTCTCTTGGTTCAGCTTTATCTGAGGAATTAACCATATCTGGAGCTTGTGTGCTCTGTTCACTATTATTCAGATTGGAACCAGTAGCTTCCCTATCCTCATTCTTAGCAACAGTCTCTGAACTGCTTTTCTCCACAGCATGAACTTCGAAAGGCCCAAGCTTAGCTTCAATGTCCTTGACGATAAAGTTTAAAGATCGAACATCCCGAGCTGCTGCTAACCGGCTGCTTGATGATGCCTATCACAAGAAACTAAAAAATTTGAATTTTCATTATAACAAGGTGATCACTTCCCAATACTAAGGCAAAATAAATGGTAACTGATGATATTTCCTGTCTCCTCGATGGAAGATTTTAAGACACAAACGGAGCCTATCAACTCCAGGATAAAACCAAATTCTGTCTCAAACTCAGAGTCAGGATACTATCTGAAAAATTAAATGATATTACAGAGGAGGCAAAACAACCACACATGCTTTATTGTGTTTATTAAAGGAAAGGCAAGGGGTGCAGATGACCTCAGGAATGTTTTATTGCAATAGCCTTTCTATGCATTGTGCATTCTCACAGAGAAATGTGAATGTAGCAATAGATGGGATAACATTTAGTAGATGCGTTAAAATAGGAAGGAGCATTACATATGGGTTTTATTCTCTGTTTAATGTATTGTAAAATACAGTATAACAAGACACAAGGTCAAAAAGTTGGTTTCATTAAAAGGGCCTGAACTGAGGAGATCATAACAGAACCATTCCATTTAACCCACTTATAAAATGCTATCGAAGTCTTGAATGATCCAACATAAAGTCAGGTTTTATAATCAAATTAAGAAAGTGCCTTGAATATATCAGCTATAGCCCCTTCTAGGTGCCTATCCAACGCCCATAAATGATAATGGTAGGACATACTAAACTGTAAGTTTTAAACTCACGGTCCAACACGTCCCCAAATCCAATTATTAAAAAATTTAAACTAACACAACCATGTGGAGATAAACAACAATTCTGTCGTATGGGTGTGATCAAAGAGGTAATGCAAAGCCTATTGCTTTATTTGAAATGGGCAATCGAAAGACAGATATCCGTATTTCTCTGCAATCTGCTCCCCAAAAGAGGAAGTAAAATTCACTAGAACTTGAAAAACAAATGTCTAAAGCAAAAAACATCAACAGGTGTGACATTTCGTTATACAAATGAAATTACATTTGGGGAAAAAATTCTTTTTAATAAATCTACTGTGTACAAACTGGATAGGAAGCATGCATATATGATATTGTGAATAACAATTAATGTATAATTTGTCAAAGTGAAATTTGTCAAATACAATCTTTAACATTAATTAGGTAGTGCTACGAGCCAATTTGGCTGTGGAAACAGGCACAGCCAATGGTAAAATGTTTTAGCATTGAAAATTTTAGGATTCCTGAATAATTAACAAAAATGATGTATAAAGACAAAAAGGAAGAGAGGCCACATTTTCAATACTTTTTCCATTGATTTTATCCAACGACAATGATTTCCTTCCATATATACCCTCATTCACAAAAAAAAAAAAACAAATTTCCTCTAGTATACCACCAATAATTAAAAGAAAAATATTTTCAAATGCTATGAATTCACTCACTTGTGGATCATAAATTTTTTCAAAAAAAATGTTTTGTGTCTACACTTAAACTTCAGAGTATGAAAAAAAAGTACTGACTAGTTGGAAAAAGTTTTAGGCTTTTTAGCTACATAGAAAATACTCCGTGTTTATTGTTTACGTAGACTGACCTGTACAATTTGCTCCACTCGTCTCTTAAGATCGTCACCGGAAGCTTCCTTGTGGATGCCTTTAAGCAAGTGCCACAAGTGAGAATTAATGTCGTCTGAACGGTGTTTTTCAATCATACATTGTGCAACAGCTGATCTACAACCGACTGCATAAAAAGGACAATTTACAAGCTTCATTGGACAAACAGTTATACAATGCCTGTCCATCTCCCGTCTCATAATGGTATCAGAACACTTCTGTTCACATGGAATTATCTTGAAAGGACAAGCTGAGTCATGCTTCTTCAAATGAGCTGCACAAAACCTGGAATTGCATCCCTCATTTTCACATATCATAGATCTGAAGTTGCAATCATCAACATGATTGGCGAGTTCTTCTGCGGAATTAAAACTCATCTGGCAATGATACGAGTTCTCGAAGTCAACATTCTTAAGCAAAGTTTCTGCAATTGTTTCTCTTCTTTCAAGGGTCCAAAACCCATTCATTTCCATCTCTTGAACGAAATCATCAATTTTGTCTTCTCTCTTGTCACTCAGCAGCCATCCAGAGACCCGACTAAACAAATTCCTCTTTGAACTCACAAAGTCATCAACAAAATTAGAAATGATATCAAAAGGATGATCTGATACTTCACCGTCCGGACCACCTTCCAGAATAACAGACTCAGCAACAAATGATTCACTTCTCTGGGTAAGATACTCTATCATTTCCTTTCTCAAATCAACAGCCACAGAACCAGGAGTCTTGAAGAGATCTCCCGACGTGTTATCAACACAAGCACTGCCTAGACCTGGAAGGAACGTTTGAGCCAACTTGTGAACTACTTCGGTATCACAAAGATCACAATGGAATGAGGGACCTCCCTGTTTCTCATCTTCAATCTTCTCAGACCCTAGGTCCACATCAATAGTAGGCGGGTCCATGGTTGATAATATCTAGAAAGAAAGTTTCAGGAATAATAATCACTATATACTCTTTTATATCCTATTTAATAACAAATCATCACTATATACACTTATGATACACTTGAAATCACTTTTAAATTTCTTCAAATTCATTGTTTTAGAATCCAGTAATTGACTTCTAGGTCTTCTATTAGACAACAAAAAATTCAGCATCTGATGCACAATATTGAATTAAAGACATGTTTCATAAATCAGGATTCAGACATCATCATCAATTATAAAACCAAATGTCAAAGATGAAAACATTGGTACCTAAATGCTAAAACAGAAGTTTCCACAACCTAATTTCACAGAATGCAACCCCGTTTAGCCGAACCTATGACTGTGATCAGTGATCACAACCCATGAAAAATTTATCTAGACATTTTGAATATCTTGAAAGAAAACGAAAAAAGAAGAGAACTTACGGACATGGGTAATGTAATGAGATCTAAAATGTTGGGTTGTGAAGGATCATCGCTTGTAGTGGAGAGTTTAATTTTGAAGGGAAGTTCGGTTTTTCAGGCGGCGAAACGGAGTGGCAGTGGCAGCCACGAACTCTTCTTTCTAACCGTATAATTTTACTTTTACTATTTTCTCATTTTCGTAAAATTAGTAAAAAATTATTCACAAACTCTCTAATTATCATATCAAAGCTTCATCGTATTAAGCAATCTAATTCTCCTCAAGTATGATTTGCGTGATGTCTTGTACATAAACGAAAAAACATTCTTAATTTAGTTTTGGTTACATCTTGCAAATAAAAAAAAACATGCATTTGGAGTTTTATCTTTTAAAATAAATTTAATTACTGATGTAAATCAATCAGGTTAGCTTAGATAGTTAATATTTAAGCTGTTTAGATACAAAACTTAATTGCGTATTTATTTAATTTAAATAAATTTAAAATTTCAGTTTAATTTCGATAAAAAGTACAAATTTAAGCTTGGTTTCTTTATGTATATAACTTTGCGTGTATATATATATATATATAAGTTTGCTGTGTTTCATTTAAATTTAAATTATTTAAATTTTTAAAAAAGATGTAAAAACAAAAAAAAAAGTCTCTGTTTATCTAAAAAGAATCAAGGGAAGATAGATATTTTTTTTTAAGAAAAAACAAAAGAAAAGTAAAAATAATATATACATAAGATAATAATATATAAAGTATTAAATTTTAAGATAATATCAATATTAAATTAGTTATTCACATAATGCAAATACATATGAATTCTTTTAACGTTAAATCTATAAATTAAGTTTAACATTTAAATAGTTAAACGTAAATTAAATAACAAGTTTATTTATCTAACTAATTAATTCAGTTTGACTGAACATCAGTTATTCGACAAAATAAAAAACAATAATTTTTTTATATTTTTTTATTCTATTCTTTTTAATCCAAACAAAGCACGGGAGTTATCATTTTATTTCAAATAAAATTTCATTTATCCTTTATATTGTGCAAAGAATTTCTATCTTTTGCTTGGGTTCATTTTTAAAGGCCAAAAAATTATTTAAGCATTTAATAAATTATTATCAATTAAAAAATTATAAATTTAATTATCAAAATTATTAAAGTATCCATTATAGTAATCTTTTCACATTTTTTAAATAATATGAAATAAAAAATTATAAAAGACCAAAAATTATCTTAATACGTTTAAAAACTCTTCCAAACACCTTTTAAGTGCAGTTTGAAAATATTTGAATGAAAAGATAAATATAATCAATGACTAATCTAAAAAATAAAAATAATTATAATAGAAAATAAATAGAGCTGCTGCTGGGAGACACTCGTGAGAAGATAAAATACTGAAAAAGAAAACTAAAACACTAGAAAGTGACAAAGCACCTAAAAATTTTACAAAACACCATCAAAATGAAAAATGGGAGAAATATACTTCATTTCCCGCATTTATGTGTTTTATTTTTCATTATTTCAAATACTTACACTTAATGGAAAATGAATCATCTTATATCTAAAGCTTACATGATAAATTATTGTAAAAAATGATATTTATTTATTAATAAACATTGAATAAATAAAATCTTAAAAACTTTAATAAAAAGAGATAAATAAAGTTTTTAGGCTAATTAATAGTGTAAAAACAGTGAATAATAGTGTCTCCCCCTTTGCCCCCCCCCCCCCCATCTTGTATTATTACTATTACTGCGATTTGAGTATGAATGCAGAACAACAAAAACGGAAACGAAACCCCTCTTCTCCTCTTATTCTTCTTCGTCTACTGAACTTTGCACAGTGCATCAGCATGTTCATCTTCACGCGCCAACACATCTAGTCTCAATGAACGCTATTTCGAGCTTTTTCTTTCTTCAATTTCTCGGGAAACAATCAATCATCTCAAACCTAAACTCCAACTAATCGCGAATGGCGGTTTCCGAAGAAGAATGCTCTTCGGCGAAGCCTGGTCCCTCTTCGCCTTCCTCCTCCTCGCGTTACTACCTCTCTAAGTGCGTTCTCAGAGGAAGCGTCGTTCTTCAGGTCCTCTACGCTCACATTCGTTCTCCATCTTCTTACGACGTCGTTTTTGGCAAGGTCCTCCTTATTTTTCTCTTCGCTCAATAAACGTTTAAATTTGTGTATTGCTATTATTTCATGGTGTAGCTCAATCGAACTGAACTGTGCTTCTCTTATTATCACTCACTTTATTTGATTAGGATTAGGATAACGTGCTGCTCCAATTCGTTTGTGATTTCAGGAGACATCTATTGAATTGGTGGTCATTGATGAGGATGGTAATGTTCAATCTGTTTGTGATCAACCTGTTTTTGGCACCATCAAAGATCTTGCTGTGTTGCCCTGGAATGAGAATTTTCGTTCACGTGATCCCCAGGTGTGTTGCTTATTTTACCACTCTGGCTAACTGTTGTTTTTTATTTTCTTGTTTTGATTTAAATGAAATTAGTTTGGTGTGTGTGGATAGGTATGTATATTTTTTTGCCATGGTTGGGTTTCATTGAGTTCTCTTCTTGTTCTGTAGTTGTGGGGTAAAGACCTTTTGGTTGCTACATCTGATTCTGGGAAGCTGTCTTTGCTCACATTTTGCAATGAAATGCACAGGTTCACCTTGTCTTTGTCTCTCTTTTTTTTGGTCTGTATTGGTATTTGGTACAAGGTATTATTGGGGAGTATATATGCTTTTGGTTCGTTATTGCATCGTTATAACATGATAACTGCTTATTACACGTCAGGAATGTTAACTTGTTAGAGCTTTCATCTTTTTCTTTGTGCATCTTTGTAGGTTCTTTCCTGTAACACACATTCAACTGTCCAATCCTGGAAACACAAGGGATCTTCCTGGAAGAATGCTTGCAGTTGATTCCAGGTGATTCTTTTCTGGTCACAAAAGAATGTGATCAACTAATAATAACTGTGTGATCCACATGTATACATCTTTTTTTTTATAAAAAAAAGTAAAATTGAAACGTTTCATTTCATTATGCATATGAATTAAAAGATTTTCCCCCATCTCTGTAGTACCTCCTCTGATTTCAAAGAGCTTAATCTTTGGAATTATAGTGCTTTCATTTTCTACTATGTTCTTCAGTGGCTTTCGTTCATTTTTGTTTGGAAATCAAAACTTGGCTCTTGGTATGTTTGGAGCTCTGCAGTTTGGGTCATATGTGTCCCATTTAAAGGAACATGAGGGATTTTTGTGATCTATGCAACACTGGTCTGGCCCAAAATTATATGCAAATCACTTTATGCCAGTGTGGTATCAAGACCTCTTTCTTTTTAAGATCTATTGTGATGTACTGTGAGTATTAGAATAACATTTTAAATTACATTCAGTATAAATGTGAAACTATTGATAGACAAAAACATGACAAATCATCAGAGTAACTAATATTTTTCACTTCCTGTAAAAACTTTTAACTATTTTTTTCAACATTTGGCTTCATATGTTTTGTAAAGCTTTTTACACTGCTTCAGTGAATCAAATTTAAAATATGCCAATAAAGCAGTACCTAATGCTTAGTGAGGTAATTCTTTATAGGTTAAGTTAATTATTTATTAGCGATACATGTTGCTAATAGATTAATAGAATAGAGATCTAATTTTATAATTCTTTGGCTAAGATATGCTCTTAACTACATATTAAAGTGCATTTCTGGATTATGTTTGTTCGTGGCCAACTCTCTTAAAAACTTAAGCTGGCAGGTGAAGGCTCATGAATTATTTTATATGTAGCGCATTACTTCATGCAAGAGTTCTTTGAGCTGGAAGCATGGACAATGCACAGGCCCAACTTACCTTTTGTTGAAATTTGGCTTTTATTTAGAAGTTTGTGAGCAACAAGGATTAAACTTTTGACTGCATGGTTAAAGAGATTTGGGCCATGTCAAGGTCCTACTCTTCTGAAAGCTTAAGCTGTTGGATGAAGACTTGTGAACGGTTTTATATTTAGCAGTGTTAAATTGGATAAAGAGAAAAAGCATGGTAAACTTTTGTGAATATTATAACTCTAGTGCTTCTCTTTTTGCAGTGGTTCTTTTATTGCTGTCAGTGCTTTTGAAGATCGGCTGGCTCTTTTCTCTTTGTCAACAGCCAGTGGTGATATAATTGATGAGGTCCAAAACTACTGTACCATCCTTTATTTTAGAAAAGCTGCATGTGAGCATCGGTTGGCAAAATGCATACATGACTATAATAGAGGGCAGTTTTGCTGGTGGTATAGACTATATTGTGGCAAACTAGATGTACATATAGGACAGGGTTTTTGGTGGTGTCATCATTATGGTGTTGAGCTAATGATTTTTGGTCAATCTTCAAAGAGATTGGAATTTGGAAGGATCTAATGTCTTGGTTTCTTTTATTAACCTTTCATTTTCTTTACTTTTCATGAATCATGATATCCTTACTAGTAGCATTATATATTCACCTTTTTTGTATTTTCAGATTTGTCTACTTTTGATAAATTTGTTCCTTTGTTTGAAGAAATATTCTTATGCAATCTTTCTTGCCTCAACTCCAGAGAATAGTATATCCTTCTGAGAGTGAAGGGATTGCGAGTACTTCCAGAAGCATCCAGAGAACGAGCATACGTGGTACCATTTGGAGCATGTGCTTTATTTCACAAGATTCCAGACAACCAAGCAAAGAGCATAATCCTGTGTTGGCTGTTATTTTAAATAGGTATAGTGATTCATATGTGGGCCACTGCCAAGAGTTTGTCTCAAGTCTTGAAGACATCTCTATAATGGAAGTCAGCTTCTTTTGTTTCTTCTGTCTTTGTTTGCAATGATGTGTACGTTCTGAAAACCAGGCTTTTTTTTGCCCTACAGGAGAGGAGCACTTCTAAATGAATTGCTATTATTGGAATGGAATATTAAAGCACGTAAAATCTTTGTTATTTCTCAGTGTGTTGAAGCTGGGCCTCTGGCACATGACATTGTTGAAGTTCCAAATTCTGGTGGACTTGCATTTCTATTCAGGGCTGGTGATGTTCTCTTAATGGATCTTAGAGATCATCGCAACCCATCTTCTGTCTGTAAGACAAACTTAAACTTTTTACCCAATGCCATGGAAGAGCAGAATTATGTGGAAGACTCTTGTAAATTACATGATGTTGATGATGAACGCTTTAGTGTTGCTGCCTGTGCTTTGTTGGAGCTGAGTGATTTTGATCCTATGTGCATAGACAGTGATAATGGTGGTGCTAATTCTGGTTACAAGTACATATGTTCGTGGAGTTGGGAACCTGGAAATAATAAAGATCCTAGGATGATCTTCTGTGTAGATACTGGGGAATTTTTTATGATCGAAGTTTTTATTGATTCTGAAGGCCCTAAAGTTAATCTGTCTGAGTGTCTCTATAAAGGACTACCTTGTAAAACACTTTTGTGGGTTGAAGGTGGATATCTAGCTGCCCTTGTAGAAATGGGGGATGGTGTGATCCTGAAATTGGAAGATGGAAGGCTATGTTATACAAATCCTATTCAAAACATTGCACCAATCTTGGATATGGCAGTTGTGGATTATCATGATGAGAAGCATGGTCAAATATTTGCTTGCTGTGGTGTGGCACCTGAGGGGTCATTAAGGATTACTCGGAATGGTATTAATGTAGAAAAACTCCATAGGACTGCTTCTATATATCAAGGGGTAACTGGTACTTGGACTGTACGAATGAGAGTTACTGATTTGTATCATTCTTTTCTAGTTCTATCATTTGTTGAGGAGACCAGAATATTGTCAGTTGGCTTAAGTTTTACTGACGTCACTGATTCAGTTGGTTTCCAACCTAATGTCTGTACGTTGGCATGTGGCCTTGTGAATGATGGTTTGCTTGTTCAGATCCATCAATCTACTGTTAAGCTTTGTTTGCCCACTAAGGCTGCTCATTCTGAAGGTATCCCTTTATCCTCTCCTATTTGCACATCTTGGTGTCCAGACAATGTGAATATCAGTTTGGGGGCAGTTGGGCATAATTTCATAGTTGTGTCAACCTCTAATCCGTGCTTTTTGTTTATCCTTGGGGTTAGATTGCTATCAGCTTATCAATATGAAATTTATGAAATGCAACATTTGGTACTGCAGAATGAATTATCATGCATTTCCATCCCTGGACAAAAAAAAGAGCAAAAACAATCAAATTCATCCATTTCACCAAAAAATGATAGTTGCACCTCTTCTTTTCAAAGTGGAGTGGATGTCAATAAAACCTTTGTTATTGGCACACATAGGCCTTCTGTGGAAATTTGGTCTTTTGCACCAGATGGAGGAGTTACAGTAGCTGCTTGTGGGACAATTTCATTAACAAATACAGTGGGGACTGCTATAAGTGGCTGTGTACCTCAAGATGTACGGCTTGTAGTTGTTGATAAGTATTATGTTCTTGCTGGATTGAGGAATGGAATGCTCCTTCGCTTTGAGTGGCCGGCAGAATCATCTCCATCACCAATAAATGTGGTGGATACTGCTTTATCTTCTATTAATTTGGTAAATTCTGTGACTCATGCTTTTGACAAGAGAAATGACCTTCCTTGCACGCTTCAATTGATTGCTATTCGTCGCATTGGCATTACTCCAGTTTTCTTGGTGCCCCTGAGTGACACACTTGATGCTGATATAATTGCTTTGAGTGATAGGCCTTGGCTGTTGCATAGTGCAAGACACGGCCTTTCCTATACTTCTATCTCATTTCAACCATCCACACATGTGACTCCTGTATGCTCTGTTGAGTGTCCAAAAGGAATATTATTTGTTGCAGACAACAGTTTACATCTGGTAAGAAAATCATACTACAGTAGCACTTGATGCCACATTTCTTTCTTCCACTATTTATTTGGTTGCACTATCTCTTATAACTTATAGTGGATTGGAAGATACTTGCAGATGGCAGATTTAAATGCATAGAGAAGTCTTGGGATATATTATATGTGTTGTCTTACTGCCAATAGTTTAGTTCATGGTGCTGGATTTGAATTTCTGTTTTGGGTTATCTTTTCTACTCTTTTGTGCATTTGAATTCCTATTAGGCAGAGGACTTCCTTTCCATTTCAATCAGCTAGTCTCCTAATATTATTGGTTGATTTTCAGTGTCACGGATAACTTTTGTTTTATTTATATGATTTAGATTACACACTCAATACAAAATAAGAAGCATATGGAGCCTGTTAGGAAAACCGAATGAACTCTGTTCTGCAGGAAGTGGATTTTCTTTTGCTTTGGTAAAGTTGCTTTGGGTATAGTTTGTTTATCTGTTCTAATGTGGAGACAAACAAGTCTATACATTTTTGGTGATTGGACTGATTTTGTTCCCCTCTTTGGATATCATTCCTTACTGAGAAATAAATACTGTTTTCATTCCTTGTTTCATGTTGTGTGTGTGCTTCTTTTTGTCTGTGTTGCTGTCTTGACTTATACTGTATTCGTCACTTGATGCCTTAGGTGGAGATGGTCCACAGCAAGAGACTTAATATGCAGAAGTTTCATTTAGAGGGCACTCCACGGAAGGTTCTGTATCACAATGAAAGCAAGATGTTGCTTGTGATGAGGACTGAACTGAATTGTGGTACATGTTTGTCTGATGTATGTTGTGTGGATCCCTTTAGTGGGTCAGTACTGTCATCTTTTAGATTTGAACTTGGAGAAACAGGAAAATCCATGGAATTAGTAAGAATTGGAAGTGAGCAGGTGCTTGTGGTTGGAACTAGTCTGTCTTCTGGTCCAGCCATAATGCCCAGTGGTGAGGCTGAGAGGTATAACATTTAGCTTCCTTGTATTTTTATTTTCCCTCTTGCTTTATATCACGTACTAATCAATAGGAATTATTTCCTCTTACTATAAAATTGCTGGTTATGAATCTTTCCTGAACTGCATATGGCTTGTATGACTTAAATGAGCTAAGCTGATGGTCAGCTTGTTGCAAATTCTTTCTCAGGGAGTGTAGACATCTCAAATCACCAAAAGAAGAGTTTGAATCATGCTTTAATGTCAGCTTTGAGTCCCACAAATGTGCAATAATGCAATATTTGTATGTTAAAGAAAAAATATACCCAGCATAATTGATAAATTAAACTTTATGTAATAATCAGTAACTGCCTACTCCAGCATATGCCTTATTGCCCGTACCACAGCCAATATAGGATGTCAGTTAAAATCTTTGTTATTCTTCATGAAAGTGTCATATTGTCAATTTGCTTGAGAGTGGCAGTGTATTATTCTGAATTCAAATACTCCTTTCCTGACAGATATAAACAGAAGGGCACTAAGAATCTTACAATGTGATATATAGCATTTAAGGCTTGTATGTTGCATCTCACCTATCATCGTTGGGGGAAAAAATAATAAGTGCATTCTAATTTCATAGAGTATCCCAAACTACAATTTTCCATAATTAATAAATGCATGTAGGTATCCCAAACTACCGTAGTTTTTGTCCTCCAAGATTAACTCTCTTTTTACACTACTAATTTAGGTACAATAATTTTGGAAAACATCCTACAGAACTCGATTTGGCTGCATCCTTAAGGGAAACGTCATTGTCAAGCATTATTTTCCAATAATAATGCCACAAAGTGCCAGGGGTGGAGTTTTCAAATATATTTGTTTTGCATTTTTATATGTACTTAATCCTGTAGTGCATGTATATGATGGATGGTGAAACAAGTCAATGTGTTCATACCATTTTCCAATAGTTCTAGTTTTGGAAATTTATGCACTTCAAAGTGATTACATATTCTAATAGGATGCTTCTATGGCAGTTGCAAGGGTCGTCTTCTTGTTCTCTGCCTTGATCATGTGCAAAATTCAGATAGTGGCTCAATGACGTTCTGTTCCAAGGCAGGTTCATCATCTCAAAAAACTTCTCCATTCCATGAAATTGTTGCATATGCTCCTGAACAGCTATCGAGCAGTAGCCTTGGCAGTAGCCCTGATGATAATAGTTCTGATGGCATCAAACTTGATGAAAATGAAGTTTGGCAGTTTCGACTGGCTTGTGCAACTAGATGGCAGGGAATGGCACTTGCAATCTGTCCTTATCTTGATCGTTACTTCTTGGCATCTGCCGGCAATACTGTAAGTTGCAAAACCTGTGCCTTCTCTCTATTCATTCTGTCACTTCGTCACTGTCCCATCCTTTCTCAAATTCTCTATCCACATGAGGTTTTTTATCTAGTATCTGCATTTGGTTTACATAGTCTACTCATGAAGTTACTTTCTTGCTATTCAGTTCTATGTTTGCGGTTTCCCAAATGACAATCCCCAAAGAGTGAGGAGGTATGCTATGGGAAGGACGCGTTTCATGATAACATCTTTGACTGCACATTTTTCTAGAATTGCTGTTGGTGATTGTCGTGATGGTATCCTTCTATTTTCTTATCATGAGGTGAGTAGTGATGGTTGTCTCTACTTTTTTTAAAACTAAATTAAAGGAAAATGAGGTTTGCCTTGTATTTAATCTCCTTGGTAGGTATGCAAGGAGATTGGAGAGCAGTTATGTACTAATGTTTTGTTTGTTTTCTGTTTTAGTTACTAAGGCTAACATATTAAAGTTATCCTTTGTATTCCTTTCCTAATAGAAGTTCATATTTTTTGTGCCTCATATCCCTCTCTTCATTTCCTTTTGTATTAAAATTTATCATAAGATTGAGGTGCAAAAGGGGAAGCACTCATTGGCATGTTCTGTTGCATGTTTCTTGTTCTTGACTGTCATTTTTTCCCCTTTTATTCTTGGTCTTGATTTCTTCAGTTGTTGAGGATTTCTTATCGTCTTTCATTTGTATCTTTTTCTTCTATGTTAATAAAATCTCTGTTTATTTTTTAAAAATATTTATCTTGTAATGATTTTGCTTCCCAGATGATTATCATGGTCCTCTTCTATTGATATTTTGTTATGGTTTATGATGTTTCTTTATTAAGAAAAGCCAATGCTGAACTTGTTTAATTTGTATCTTCTATGCTAGGAAGCAAGAAAATTAGAGCAACTTTACTGTGATCCAGCACTGAGGTTAGTCGCTGATTGCATTCTCATGGATGCTGATACAGCTGTTGTTTCAGATCGTAAAGGAAGCATTGCTGTTTTATGTACAGATCATTGGGAAGGTAACCCTGAACTAAGCCTTCTGTGTAATTTGATTCTTATTAGGCACTTTCTAAACTAGGGGTTACTGTCTGTCTTTGGAATTTTATTTTCTCTGGTACCAAGGTTTGAAAAATATGAACTATTATGTTTTGCTACTAATTAGCATATTCATTTATGTTATTTCTGGTTGTGCTAGGTTTGAACTTAATAAGAGAACATCAAATCAAATTTTGTTGAACATTTTGCTCGCTCATATTATAGATTAGTCTTCCTAATTAATGGTGGAATAAATACAATGTCATTATGTTGAAGACCTTGTGGTTTTGTATGGTAGCTAGCTTTTTTCACAGCTCGAGTATGCCCCCACCTTTCATATTGTGAATGGATTGAGCTGTTTGTACCATGCTTAAAGGTGTCAATTTTTGCTTAATAGATGTGCTGTTACTATTGCCTCGTTTCATTTTGCAATGGACAATGGTGTTCAAGAGTTTTAAAGAACCCTATTTTTATACTCTTGGCATACTTAAAGCTATTTGTTCATTATTTTATATTCCTCCATGAAAACAAGAATTTAACCATATTTTGTTAATGCTTTCCTGCATCAGAAAATGCAAGTCCAGAATGCAACTTGACATTAAGCTGCACATATTTCATGGCAGAGGTAGCCATGAGCATCAGGAAGGTATATCCTCTAAATGTCCTGGCAGAACAGTTATTAATATGCATTAGATGTCATCATCACCTTTTATTGAAATTTGATTTGAAGCAGAGGTTGTCAAATGCCGATGAAGTGTGTTGTAATCAATCACCATAATGATGCGAATTACTCTGCAAGAGATAGTTTCGATATAATATTAGATTAAAATGTTCAATAATAGTCAAGGTCTATGCAAACAAACTCATGGAGCTTTCATAAACTTGACTAGTAGACTCAACAAGTAAATTTGTAAGAGTTTGCCTAATACAAAAATTAGTAATTCAAAGTTTCAAACACCCATCATAATATCAAAAAAAAAAAATCTAATACTACGTTCATAATAACATTCAACATTCCAACTTAAATAGTAAAGCAAACCAAAATAACAATGTATAATAATATAAGTTAAATCACAATGACAGTTAAATACTTGAAGACTTTGAATCACAAGCTTCAAAATATCCATAAGCAGCCAATAAACCAAACATAGGTTCATAGGTCCGTATACATAGTATATAGATTAGACAAATCACAATTCCAAGATGGGTTCTCTGTTCAGTACACAAACAAAGCAGAGCTTGCTGTTTTGGGTTGTTCCTCTCAGTTGGAGCTTAGGTTATTCACCTTGTTGGAGTTGGGTTCACCTTGTCCACTTGTTGGGTTGGCTACCATGTCGCCTGCAGGCTTGCAACATATTCATCAGAGTTGAGTTCATCCCTTTGTGAAGTCTTTACAGGCTGGCATCTTCATCAGCACATTTTTTTGAAACTAGGTTATGATGCTGCAGAAACTGATACTTAATTGGAATCCTGAAATTATTGCAAACAAAATATTAAGCCACACTTTTTGTTCATGAATATATTATAAAGGAGTCAAACTCTTTGAAAAATGTTTCAATGTAGCCTTTGCAATGACTGAACAAATGTGTGTTGGTGCATCATCTCATGCTTCATTGTTGATATATTTTTTGTGACTGGCGTGAAGGATTACTCTGGGTTTTCCCAAAACAAAAGTGCTCTGGCATGTTTCACAAGCTCTTCCATTACTATCCATGTGTTTTGATGTCATATCTTGGGAAATCTTTACTTTCTATTAGATTCCTCACTCTTAGGACATTAATAAGTGTTCATGTATTCCTCTTGGATTTAGTAATGTTTTGTTCTGTAACTTGCCAATTTTTTAAATTATTATTGCAGGGCTCATATTCATACAGACTTCCAGCTGATGATGTTTTGCAAGGTGGCAATGGCCCCAAGACAAGTGTTGATTCACTACAAAATACTATTATTGCTAGTACTCTGTTAGGAAGCATAATAACCTTCATCCCTTTATCAAGGTACCAATCACTTTTGGCAGTAAATCTTAATAAATATCAAGGTGAATAATTGTTGGGTGTGGTTTGGCTGTTGCCTGGAACTTTTTATCATGCATGGATGCTGGTGAGATAGTATAGCAGTCTAGGCCTGGCCAATTGAGTGCTTGAAAGATTTTGTAGACAACGTTATCTAGCCCCTGTGAATAGTCTGATTGGATTAGGATAAATTTTGTCTCAACATAGTGTCTTGTTCTTGATATCAATCTCAGGTAAAAAATGAAATATTTTTTATTATCAACTCAAGTTGTTTTTTTTTGTTATGATTTAAGTACATGGACAGAGTCTAACACGAAAGATCAGTCAGTTAGGTGGGAGAGTCTCATGACTTCAGTACCACATTAAGCTTTATTTTGCTTAATGTGGGACTTGTAACAGTCTCCTCTTTTAAGAGTTGATGTCCATGATATCTTCATTCTATCGACACTGATCTGATGAGAAGCCGTTTCTTTTTTATAGTTTCACTCCCCCATTAATTTTTGGTACATTACACCTTAATCTATCCTATAAGTAGCCTTTTTTGACTTCGTAGCTGAACTCTTAAAAAAACACCAATTATTATTACTTAAGTACATAAGTAGAACTCAACTTAAAAGACTAGTCTATTAGGTAAGAGAGTTTCATGATGTAAGTTCCACATGGGGCATTTTTCTATTTTACTAAATGTGTGACTCATAATAGTTTTCTTCTTTAATAGATTAAGGCAATAACTACTCCCTATAAACTGGATAGAAGTTTTATAGGGTGATTTTTATTAAAAAGAAAAATCATTTGTTACTGTTGGGTGAAAGCAAGAGATTTTCTCATTAGTCGGAATGTTAAGGTAATGCAGAATAAGCCCAAATATGTTACTCTTCAAAGCTCTTTTCAGAATAAGCCCATAACCAACATGAGCCTGAAGTTTTCTTCATAACCCGTGGAACTTCTTCGGAGTGATTCTGTTCCGTCCTCATTTCATAAGGAACCTTAAAAGTGACTCTATTACATTATATTCCATCCATATACTAATTCTATCCATTTAATATCCTTAGTTTTGGTGTCAATCCAAAAATTCATCATATAACAATCCAAAAATTGCAGTAGAAAAATAATCCAATTTTGAAGCTGTATTTCTGGGAAATTTGCTAGTTTTTTATACTGTACCAGGATTTTTTTTCGTATTTCTTTAATTGAGTTGCACCAGATCTACTGCAATTGAGAAGTATCTACATACATACCATCTCATCTTATTTTCTTTTACAACTACAGTCCAATTACATGGGGTGGATGAGCCTTCCGGCTGTTATTCAGATATTTTATTGTCTTGATGATGAGATGGTTGACCATCTATTCCAATATAGGAGCTTTAGTGGATTTCTTGCATTCTAGTGATTTAGTGTTGAAAATTACATGAAACAGAGAGTAGAAACACTATGAATCACATCTAAATCTACACTTGCTTGTGCTATGTTGTGATTTGTTTTTCTAATTAGTTAGGATCGTAGTTATCAATAGCGGCGTAGTGGAGCGGAGTGGTGCAGTTCCACCATGGCAACCCTGTAGCGCTGTGGTTCAGTGTTGCTGCTGTTGCGTCGCGAATAGCGGCCGGAAATCACGACTGTAGCTGCTGCTATTCTGTTCTGTTTAAAATTTCTGAATCTGTCCTTTGTTTTTTTAACATTTGGAGCTTTTAAAGGGGGGAAATATTGAGATTTCAGCCCCCTTCATTTTTTGAATCTTCTCCCTCCCTCTTACAGACCCTAGCCCCTCAACTCACCTTTCAACTCTCCTGTCAGCTCTCCTCTTATTTCTCCTTTCATTTACTTTTCTCTGTTTTTTCTATTTCTTTCTCTGTTTTGATTCTCCAACTTTGTTTTGTTTCAAATTTCAAAGCTTCAAGTAGAAGCAATGGCTGCTCCTCCTGCACCCTTTGCTTTTTTTTATTTATTTCCTTCTCTAATTTGAGTTTTCCTTTTTTGTTTTGTTCCAAATTTGTATATTAATTTTATATTTTTCAGCATGTATGTGTGTACATTAAAACCTCAGAATAGCGGTCATCCCGCTACCGTTATCCCCGCTATAGCATTTTTTAGGTTAGCCGCTCTGCGCCGGTATCCGGAATTGACTACTATGGTTAGGATTATGATTAGTATAAATAAAGATTAGTGCTCTAGGTTTTATAAACACATCAATACTTGGTAATACATTTCATTACACAATAGAATATTACACAAAGTCTCCTTTCCCTCTCTTCTCTCCCTTGAACCTAAAATCCCGTGATTTCAGCTGTGTTGAAATTTTAGACAGTGTATTGACATATTCAATCTTCATCTTTCAATTGATTGATGAGTTTTGGTTTAGGGAGATGCTATAATCCTTTGGTTTGGTTTTGAGTTTTGACATGTCAGAAACATTATTTATGCTGTGTGTAGGGAAGAATATGAGCTCTTGGAAGCTGTGCAAGCAAGACTTGTTGTCCATCATTTGACTGCGCCTGTTCTTGGAAATGATCATAATGAGTTTCGCAGTCGTGAAAATCCAGTGAGGACTTTGGTTTACTATCTTATTTTGATTTATTTTCATTTCGTTTTTCCTCTTTAATTTTTTTTTTAAAATTAATTTACAAAGTACATACATGCACACTGATTGAAAATGGTTGAGACACAAATCACACAATACCTTACACGGAATAGATTTGATCATTCACATCCTTGATTTGTTCTCTTGATCCTTTAATCTTCATGTTTGCTTACATCTGTTTTATATTAGGTTGGAGTACCCAAGATACTTGATGGTGACATGTTGACCCAGTTTCTGGAGTTGACGAGCATGCAGCAAAAGATCATTTTGTGTTCTGAGCCACCAGATATGGTTAAATCAAGTTTGAAGCCATTACTACCCCCCCATGTTCCTGTAAATCAGGTGGTTCAACTTCTTGAACGAGTTCATTATGCTCTGAACTAAACACACCTTTATTCCCCGTTCCATGTCTTTTTTTTTTTTTTTCACAACGATACGTGGAAAGTGGAATATGCATATGCAGTTCCAAAAATATTGTCCGTCAATGGTTGCTTACCTTCCTGCCTGACAATGTGTTGTCTGATATGGAACATGTCACCCCCATTGATTGTGCAAAGCTAACAATCACGGGAGAAGGTTCCTGCTCGTCAACAACAGCTGCACAGTCAGCATGACACTTGGGCAAGGTCTCAGCCCTCTTCTAAACAGAGTCTTTTGTCTCTGTTCTTGTTGTATTTTTCATAAATTATACAGTAGGAAAAGGTCTTTGGCCCAATAAATTGTACATTAGCAAATTTAGTGAGAGGAGCATTCTTTTTTTTAGGAGTTATTGTATATTCAATAAAATTATTTTTGTGAGATTTTTAGTCTCTTAGACCTTGTATAATTATCCATTACTCTCGCTTAGGTTTTTTTCCCGGCGTGTGTGAAACACTTCAAATGAAATCATCATTTTTACATTCCTTTTATTGTGTGATCTGGCTATTTGCACTTTTGGACCTTTGCAGTTCTGCCGCTTAAAATAAGGTTATTTTCACTGTCGTTGGATTTGCGATAAATGAATTGTAATACAGTGTGCTAGTTTTCTCTCTCCCTCTCTCTCTCTTTATACACGCGCGCAAAGAGACCATAAAGAAAGAAGAAATATACAAAGAAAACTATATAGAAGTATAGATCCCTTTGGTAATATGAAATAGTAAATCCCTTAAAAATATTTTCTTTTTCTAAAATCAAAGAGAGGGTAAAAATACTATTATGAAAGTAAACTAAGTAGGGTTTAATTAATTATCAAATTTGTGTGTCGAAACATAATAGGCGTTCATTTGGATGATAGAATCGCAATTGCAGTTACTAATTTTTAGTTGTAATTCTGTTAAAATTAAGGTTGATTAATTTTTTTTTTCTTTTTTATATTTGGGAAAAAAATTTGAGATTATAATTCTGTATTTAGTTGGATTTCTGATTCGAGGATGTCGGTAGCAGCAAGAGGTCCCCACTCAGTGATTTGTAAAATATGTAAGCCACAACATGAAACATCAATATTAACTTTTTCCTTTTAGTGCTTGGAATTGTAATTCTTAATGTCTAAATTAAATATAATTTCAACCAATTTTGTTATTTCATGAGAATCCGATTCAATTAAAATTTCAATTCCAGTTCCAGTTTTTTTATTAAACAGAACAGTTGGATGCAACTGTACGTTTTCTTTTGTCAACGGATGCAAATGTACGTTAAAATCAATATTGACTATTGAGCCGAATTCCTCATTATGATTGTCAAATTGAAAAACATAAGGAAAAACAAACCTTGATAGACGTAAAAGAAGGAACTTGCTAGTCAGTGGAGATTTGTTTAGATTAATCAGTCCCTTTTTATTAGGTAAAAATATTTTTCCCGCAATTTTAATTAATATTACATGCACAAACAATCCTGATTATTATTACCATCATTTATCTTTCACATTCTCTTTCTCATTTATCTGTAAAGTGTAGATAATTTTTCTGTTCAAGTAGGCTTTTCATATTAGTATATACGGTAGCAAGTCCTGATCTGGGAACTTCGAAAAGCTTCATGTTTGTGGTTTGTATATTGACAATCAAACTAAAATACATTGAGAATCTTACACATAACAAAATGTCTAGTCTTACGAATCTAAAACATGTTGACCTCTCAACTACGTGAATCCCATGAACCACATCAACATTATCTGAATCTAGCATGTTTCTCATGGATTGAATATACCTTGCTATTGCATTGCTATGTCAGTGATCAATGATGTTCTGATGCACAACTCTTGCATACTTTTGGTCCCACTCTAAGCTGTAGAAGCAGTCCCAAAATAGAAATAAAATAAAATGACATATTCAGTGTTTGAAGCCGACAAAATAGTCAATCCAATACAAAGAATCAAGTGGTGTCGATATTGAAAAAGACGTAGTTTCAAATGTCATACTTACTTTAAATTGGCAAAGATGGTCAACTCAATACAAGAATTAAGTGTTTTGGGTGAATTTCTAAACTTTTTTATGTGATTTTTAAAACAAAAATATTGTTTATGTTTTACTATAATACTTAAAAAGATTATTTTCTTTGAACAGCTTTTTTATATTGTAAAAGGAAATCTATTTTCAGAAACTCGAAAGGACAATGCAGATAAGTTTATATGTATATAATTTAATGATTACTTTTTGTTTAGATGCAGTATTTATAAATGTCCCCTTTGTCTCCCTTGAAAGTCTCTTGGTGTTATAATAAAGATATTTTCCTAAAAGCTAGAAAGCATGCTAATTTAAAAAGAAAATTGAGAAACACGTTTTCTTTAAATGCTAATTAAAACATATAAAAAATGTAAAATGAACTTTTATTAACATGTGTTTTTTTTAGTAGTTATCTTTTTAAGAACTCATTTAAACATGCCAAAAAAATTATATAAAACTTAATTTAAAATTTATTCTGCCTTTCGTCTTATATGTATTACCTATTTAATCACTTTAAGAATTAAGTAATTTAGTTAATCTAATTAGCTATATTAAATTTATCAATAATTTACATAATTTTAAAAAATTATATTTCATCTCTTTTCATTTAATTAGTTATATTTAATTAAAATATTATAAAAAGTAGTATAATAAGTACATTAAAATGAGTTTTACAAAAAGATCAAAATAAACTTCTGATAAAAGTTTTCTGCAGAAAGAAACAGACATAAGAGTAAATAAGAAAATGTTATAGGGCCAATAACGAGTTACATGATGTTGCCATCTGAGTCTGAGTCTGAGTCTGAGTCTGACCTCAATAAACATAAAAAGGCTGCAAATTTCATTCATAATAAATTCGTTGGCCAGCAAATCTGTTGATCGCATTCATGCTGCTTTTATTGGGTCTGCAAACATATCACATTTCACACATCAAATGGAGCTGTTTACATTACCGTGATGCACGGCAATTACATTTATCATATCAATTTTTTTTGTGATATTTAAAATTGTGAATGGCTAAGATATATACCACAGTTGCATGTTCCATCTATCAATGCCAAAAAAGTTTTCTCTTGTCATTTATACATTATTTAAAGACTTTGACAATTTTATGTATATTATTATACCCAAATTAATTACGTCAAATTAAATTCTAAACATTACGGCTGTCATGTGAAAAAAAAAAGTCAGACTATATATTAAAGTTTATAATCATGCATAGATATTTCATATAAATAAAATTTTATTAAATTAAAACTTATATTTTTACTTTGGTTAACCTGATATATTTTTTTATAAGAGACATTTAATTTCCAAACCAAAAAGTGTCCACAACATAGAGTTAATCTTTAGCAATTTATTTATACATAAAACTCAAACATAAATTTTACTTAAAGATAATTAAACATGTGTAACTTAAATCAATCGTTCGTAAATAAAATTTATTTAATATTGGAGAGTTATTTTTAATATCATTTTTATACTCTTGTAAAATATCAAATAATTTAATAAATATATATTTTAACGTGTATCTTAGAGCATAATAATTTTTTTATTAAAAATTATAGTATTTGATACTATTAATATATTTATTCTGTAATTTTTAATGAAAATTTATTATGTATAAATAATTATCATATATTTTTAAACATGTGTTAAAAAAAACTGATAAATAAAAGAAAAGGAGCAAATGCAGAACTCTTTTTTAGTAGATATAAAATTAAAATAAAAAGTTGTATAAAAGTGACGTGAAAGTGGCATAATGCTACCATTAATTTAAGCACTTTTTAGCATCTTTTTCACACTTCTATTTTTGGGATGAGCAAGTTGTCCTATATATAGCCCACACAACTCTATTCATGTTGTCACAAGCATTTCTTAATCACTTCTTCCTTCAACTATTACGTTGGTTAACTTGGGCAACGACCAAACATGGGAACAACATGTGGTTATGGAGGAGGCATGGCTTGTGCCCTAAATGCTAATTTTTATGGAAATGGAACCCAAACTTTGGTCCTATCTCACGGATTTGGCACAGACCAAACAGTGTGGCATTATCTTATTCCCTTCCTTGCATGCTACTTCAAGGTGTTGGTTTTCGATCTGGCTTTCACCCCAAATGTAAATTCCACCCTTTATGATTCAAAAAAGTACTCAAATTTCGATGGATATGCTCATGACTTGGTGAGTCTTCTTGATGAGCTCAATTTGAATAAAACTATATACGTGGGTCACTCTATGTCAGCCATGATTGGATGCATAGCTGCAACAAGGAAACCACAACTCTTTGAACATCTAGTCCTATTGGGTGGTTCTCCAAGGTGATCACATTCTCTATTTATTTCTTTTAATTAAGCATGTATTGGTTGATATTCAACATAGTTTCTGCTTCTAAAAAAATGACATCTTTTTAAAATTAGCTTAAAATTTTCTTAATCTTTATATCATAAAATGCAAATAAAACGTTCTTTTAGTTTTGAAGAGAGGATATAAATATATTGTAAGAAAAAGTTTTATAATAAAGAGAGATAGAAAGAAAAGATACTAAGTATGAGATAAAATAGTTAATGTCATAGAAAAAGAATGTATATAAGAATATGACTTGGTACATCATTGTTACTATATATATATATATTGATAATGAAAACGAATTGATAAAATTTAAATAAAAACTTAAAAAATGTCATGCTTTCAAGCAACAAAACCATATTTAAGGATTAATTAATTGTTTCATAATGAGTATATATTTACTCATGTCTGTTGTCTATAGATACCAGAATGAAGAAGGATACGAAGGAGGGTTCAATGAGCCAAAATTAGACGAAATCTTTGAATCAATAAGCAAAAACTTTTCTAAATGGGCTCATAGCTTTGCTCCAGATGCTGTTGGTGTCAACAATCCTTCCGCGGTTTCTGAATTTGAACACAGTCTACTAAGAATGAACCCAAGTATTGCATTAGAAGTTGCTAAAACAATATTTTTAAGTGATCTCAGAACGATTCTGCCACAAGTTCATGTGCCTTGCACGATAATTCAGACCAAAAACGACACAATTGTTCCCGTATCTGTTGCTTCTTACATGAAGAAAAATTTGGGTACTCATTCCGAAGTCAAAATTCTACAAACACAAGGCCATTTTCCTCAGCTTACAGCTTATTGTTTGTTGTTGAAAGTTCTTAGGGATTCATTGTTTGTGAAGTGACACTAAAAGGTGTGAGATGATACTATTAAGATTAATTTAATTTGAAGCTAAAGCATGATTCTGCATTGTAATTTTTTTAACCATCGATTATAAGAAGTGATATTGTCAAAAATAAAGAGAACAATTCTTAATGGATGCCAATTCGTGTTTACATTCTAATATTGACTGATCCAGCTTGCAACACTTTGTATTTTATCATTAGTTTTTGAAAATTTATCATTGTTTTTTTAAATTTTAATAAAAGATAATTATTTGTCTATAATAAGTTAATTTAAATGCACACTAAATATATAACAGCACTGTAATTGTGATCAATAATACAGCTTTTAACACTATTGTTCTTAACTACACCATAACAATTTATGCAGTTCTAACTGCATGTTGGATAGGTAGCAATTACTAATACTCAAAATGATCACTCACCTCTCTGTTTAAATTACATTTTAGCTTAAATACATATACTTAGTAACTTGTGATTTTAAGTGCAGAAGCAAATGCAAGATTAAAAATTCATTTTACAAATTTCAAGTATATAAACCGGATCTAAATATAGTCTATTATAGCTTATAATTAATATTGTACTGCGCAGCAACCAACAAAACCCAAAGTCATCAAGTAGAAGCATTGCCAGAACAAAATGGTAAAGAAATAATGGTATAATAAAAAACCCAAAATTAATTGTAATTAAACCACTAAACATTACTACATCGTCTAATATACGATCTCACAACAATGAAAAGCAATACATTCATCCCGTCTTTTATTGAAAAGAAAATATCAAAATATCATTAGTTAAATTTAATAAAAACTTTCATTATCATTTGTTTAGTACTATAAAAACATTAAACCAATAATATAAAATAAAATATCAATCAAAGATAAAGAATAAGAGTATGATTATTTTATTTTTAAAAATAAAATTTAAATCTGACCCAAACCCGAGCATTGGTAGGTGAGTTTATCACTAAAATTTTTTTGCATACATAAATACTTGAACTCACGATCTTACTTAAGCCGACTAAGCTCCATTAATTTTTAACACATTTTTTGGCTTACTTATACAATATATATATAGAAATATATGTATATTGGAAACTTTACACAACTTTAAACATTTTTTATTAACGCATAATAGCTGTTTAAATTTATTATTTTGAAAAATAAATAAACAATTTTGGTAATTCCTTAATAAAACTCAATTAAGTCACTCTCTAAAAGTATTGCTGCAAATGGGAAAAACGAAACTATAAATTGGAAATGGTATCTGAGCCACCTTTCTTCTCTTTGTATTATTTGTTTGTTGGTCAACTTCATCTCTTCGTGTTAAAGCTCACCAATAATTAAATTTTTTTTAAGCCCGCACGGCCCAGAGGCCAACAATCAACATGGCTAGAAAACTGGCCCAAAGCTAGCCAATCTGGCTTACTTCAACATGCATCTGTGTATATTTTGAAACAGAGGCTCTTTTTTATAAAATAAATAAATAAAAATGTAGAGAGAGGCTCCTTTTAATCGCAGCACAAGTACATATTTCAGAGGAAAAAATGTTTTTTTTTTTCTTTTCTGTTGACCCAAAAGAAAAGTGTATGATATTAGGTAATCCCAAAAACAACATTGAGGATGTTGATATCAATTTTCATATTCGCTCTCATGTCTTTACTAATTTTATGTGAGATATATTTTTTATTGATGAAATCTTTGAAATATAATTATACATTATGCAAGTTTTGTGCAAAATATTGTTAAAATTGAATAATAATAATAATAATGATAATAATCAGATAATCAAATAATTTTGATTTATATTATATATAAGTGAGCTGTATATTAAAAAAAGTATCATTTAAATTTATTTTTGACACTCATCAAAAGACTCTCTATCGTTACTATATCATTGGTGTTTCATAGCTTATTAAGACCATTAGCTGGTATGGTGGGGCAATTTTCCACCTGATATTTCCTTAATTAATGATGTAGACATTTTCATCTCTAAATTAAATCAAATATTTTTGTTAAAAAAATTATTACATAAAAGTACACTTAAGTATAATAAATTATTAAATAAAATTATACTTGTTTTGATCAAAATGAAACATTCGCCGAATCACCGTTTCATGAATGATAAATATTATATTTAAGTAATACATATTAGACGACGTCGTATGACTTTATGAAAACATAACCCTGAATTTAAGTTGAAGTTCAAGTTTAAATATCCATTTTTTAATTTAAATTATTAAAAAAAACTGACAACTCTTCTAATATTAGCAATCGTAGCCTGTTTTTTACTTCAACCATATTTTCTTAATTTGAAATATCTGTCACAACAATAAATAGTTAAAAGCATAGTTACTTGCAATATTTATTTATATTTAAAATAATTTTTTTAAAATTATATATGTTTTAATTTTACTGTAATAATACTTACAAAGAAACAATTTCTTAAGTTTTTCATAATAAAAGATTGAGGACGAAATTACAAACTTTTATATTAAAATACGATACAAAATACTAGTGAAAAAAAAACTATATTCATCAATCATTAAGTAATATTTTGTATTGTAATTATGTTTTTATCTTGTATTTTAATAAATAAAAAAATATTTTTTAACATGTTTTATATTCTTGATTACTTTTAAAATTTATTTTATCATAAATTATTTCGAAGTGTTGGTTTTAATGTATATTAATAGAATGTGAAATATTTTAGAATTTTAAATACAATTTATATAATAAAGACTTACTTTAAATGATTACAAAATATGAGAAAATGCTATTACCTTCATTCATTTAAGAAAAAAAAAACAACTACGTGGCGGGGTGTCATTGGAAGGAGTGAAGTATTTTTCCCTCGTTAGTAACCATGTAAATTTAAAAGAAGAAAAAAGAAAAAGAAAAGGGGATTATTGGACACCGTGCAAATCAAGCATAGGCTTTGTTATTTCACGCGCCCTCTCCATTTGGAGTTCTTCTTCCTCACTGCAAGGGCGCCGGAGATTTTTCGCTCTTCGTCTTCTCCGATTCAACACCATGGGCGCCAATTCCATGCTCTCCGACTCTTCTCACGATCTCGACGACCAGATCTCACAGCTCATGCAGTGCAAGCCACTCTCCGAGCAACAGGTTCCTCTCCATTCCTCTCGATCTGCATCCTCTCTCCACAAAATCGCCACGCACGTCTCCAATTACGCTTGATTTTTCTGCTTAACCTTATTTGCACGGCTAGTAGGAGTTTTGGTAACAGTGTGTGTGAAACTGTGGTTGATTCGGCGAAATGGCCACTGAGATGCGACGGTTCTTTGTATTTTGACCTGATGTGAAGCAATTAGGAAGGGATAGATGGTTTTTGTTATCTGAAAAACGATTTTCAGCTGTATAATTTGCTTTTAGGTGTTTTGTGTTTTATTGATGGGTTTTTTTAGGATGAGATTGTTTCGATGTTCTCCTTAAGGTTACGGAGATGTTATATTTTTATGTTACGCGTTTGGTGGTTTGACATCTAGAAAATGTAGGTTTTCTGTATTTGAAACTGAGTCCGGAATTTGGATTGTTCTTTAGCTGTTGCTAGTGCTCTATTATGAGGTAATTTCTTGAATGTAGTAACATGTTGGTGGGAGTTGTCTACAGAGAGTGAGAGTTATGGCTTTGTTGGAATGTTAGTGGATCAGGTGTTGGCTTACTATGGGTTTGTTTCTAACTTGTATGTTGAAGCGTAACACTGTGATTATGGTTGAAGATTTATCAGATTAAAGGATAGGGGTGATGGTGCTTAGTGTATTGTAGGGCTACTACTTTAGAGGTCTTATCTTGTTTGTCGCTCTTATTGTGTAAATATTGCTCGTATTGTGCTGGATTTCATTGCTACGTATGTGATTTGTCTTAGGAAAGGCTTTGCCCTTGTGTATTTATTCACCTTAAAAATATCATTGCATTTTATATTGGTTGTATTTGTATTATTTGTTTAAGCAGTCATGTCCTTTCTTGTGGGGATATCTTAAATGTTATTTACTCCTTGAGGTATTATTACATTCGGGAAAAGAAATATAAACAAATAAACTAATGATTGTGTTCTCTGCTCTGCCTGTAGGTTAGAGTTTTATGTGAGAAGGCTAGAGAAATTTTAATGGATGAAAGTAACGTCCAGGTACTACTCTTTCTTCCAGTCTTTTAACTTGTGCCTTAGTTTACGATGATGCCATTTTCTGTTTCTTAAAACACTGATCTTGCTTCACTGCTGTTTGTTTTCCTGCTTGCTTTGCATGAATCCTTTGTTAAGTCAACTTTATCTTTTTCAGTTATTTATTTATATATCCCTGTATTTGAGTTCATTAACCCGATGCCATTACTTTTAATGCCTGTTTTGTGGAGGAGGATGTGATTCCTTCAATCTTTCTTTCATGAAACAGTGAAACATTTAATTTGCTTGTGCTATATGGCTGTCTGCATATACTAATTATGTCACTTTATTTCAGTGCATCTTTTAACTCTAGTTTCTTGTCTTATAGAAAGAAAACACTAACTTTTTTTGGGGTGTGTCTCCTGTACCACAGCCTGTTAAAAGCCCTGTGACAATCTGTGGTGATATTCATGGGCAGTTCCATGATCTTGCGGAATTGTTTCGAATTGGAGGGAAGGTATAATTTATGACTAAGAATTTATTATTATTTTCACTATTACCCTAATATTTTGTTAAAGTTCCTTGACATTTTAATTTTTTCAAAATGTATAATGTCAAGATAAAATTTTGTCAGTTTCTGGAAAATATATTTTGTTGATTATTTTGGTATGGATACCGAATATACGTGTTTTGTTTACAGTGTCCAGATACAAACTACTTGTTTATGGGTGATTATGTGGACAGGGGTTATTATTCAGTTGAAACCGTAACGGTAAGTACAACCAAGATAAACTTATTTGATTTTGTTCACTTTTGGATGGTTAGTTTCTGAAAATTCGTTGTTCTCTCTCTTCCCTAAACCTCTGTGGGGTACATTTTCTTATATGCATACATTAGGGTGGCCACAGATCAGGTGGGAAATTGTTCTCAAGAGTTAGTTGATGAAGTTTGGATGAGCTGTGAGCTTCATTTAAATTGTCTTTTGCTATTAGGATGGAAATAGAAATGGGACTATTCCCTAGTTGCCGATAGTTCAGGGTTTAGAAAGTGCTGCAAAGGTAAATAGGGGATATCGAATATGCAGCAAATGTTTGTCAATGTGTCAATATTTTGGAGGCTCACGGAGGTGAAAGATGGATTGCATATGCATCAATATTGTACAGAAGTTTGCATTATCTTACAATCATATTTTCAAGGTAGAGGTAGTCTCACATACAATTTGCGTATTGTGGTGGTCTTAACTTTTAAGGTGGGATACTCTGATAAAATCTCAAACCTGCAACTAATATATTGTAGTTGAATCTTTGAGAGTTGTCTCATGATTTATCTTTTGAGTTTGATTTTACTGATCATCGAGGACTGAAAAGAATTTACTGAATGTCAATAAATTAGTAGTTACCTTTCCAGTTATGAGCAAGATGCACGCAGTCTAGATGATTGAACAATTTCTCCAGGTTTTACTTATGCAGTTGTGCTATGGTTGTTTTAGATCACATTAGGTGCCTTTTTAGGTGGGATGTGGAGTGTGATGGTGAAGTTACATTGATAACTTTTTTTGTTAATGTCTATGTTTCTTAATTTTCGTTTGGTTGACAGTGTATGTCAAACATACTGATTAGTTATTGTATTCAGCTCCTTGTGGCACTGAAAGTGCGGTATCCTCAGCGAATTACTATTCTTAGAGGAAACCATGAAAGCCGTCAGGTTTGTGTTTCAACTCTCTACCAATTATAAATTACTTATGGTTCTTAAGGTCCTTAATGGCATTTATTTCTGAACTAATAGTTATTTGTCAATGGCATAAAATTAGCTATTCTTGGCCGCATTTTTACTTGTATAACAAATTGTTGTTTCTAAACATTTTTTTTTGTGATTTGACGACTTGTATTGGTGCTTGATGTTAATTATCTGTTGAACTAATTGTTCTTTTATCATTTTTTAATGCAGATTACTCAAGTATATGGATTTTATGATGAATGTCTTAGAAAGTGAGTTTTCAACACCTTCATTTTGTGGAGCAAAAGTACAAAACATGAGATGCTTCTATCTAGAGAAACATTTGTTAGAGCATGATGTTTTTATTGTTTCAATTGAAGTTCCTTTTGTTAAACCGTTTTTCTAGTGTGTTCAAAGGCATAATCTAAAAACTAATTGAAAATCAGAACATACAATGCATTGATGACATTAAATGCTATCTTTTTTTAATAAAAATTCATCATTTATTGATTATTATAACCGGGTACACATTAGAAAAAGCATTTGTTAAATATCAATGTACAACTTTGTTGTTAGTATTACCATGATGGAATCACAAATTTCCTTCTGAGATATAAACTGTATGGAAATCCTTTTTCTTTTCCCGTGGAATATGCTCTTCTATAATTTCAACCTGAGATTTTGATTTGCTGTTTGCTTGTTACTTTTATGTACTGAACTGGAGTTCTGGGATGGGCATCTGAATTTTGCTGTTAATTTGGTGTCATGTACCTTTTTGATTTGTAAACTTTGGTTAGAGATCTTCAGTTTTTGACATTGACAGATTTGTGGCACTATGACATCTGTTTGTATTAGAAGTGATGTGAATGATGATGTATTGTATGAAATGTCATACTAATGATCAATGTCCTATGTTCTTGTTAACATAGGTAAAGAATATGTAATTCTGCCCTGTTTTTGTCCCCAAAAATAATGTATAATTGTATTAAATGTGAAAATTTTGGTCTAAATTGAAAGGAAGAGAGAACAAATAAGGGATCGTTGGTTTCTTGCACATAAACAATATACTTTCTTGTTTCTTTTTTCAAATTCTTGACAGTTCTCGTTTTTTATTGTTTATGTGCAGGTATGGTAATGCTAATGTTTGGAAGATCTTTACAGACCTTTTTGATTTTTTTCCATTGACTGCATTGGTTAGTACTTTTTTTCCCTATTTTTTATGTGTTTGGTTCGTGATTTAAATTGCATCTCATTCTTATATCTCCATTACTATGTAAATAGAAATATTAGAAGATGGGGGAAGTTTTGGAAGATTTTACATTATTATTTTTGCAATATCAATTGAAATTATCAGTATTTACCTTTTCTAAAAGATTCAAAGAACTCTGGCATCCACTTCTCTTACATGTGACCTTTATCATTAAACATGATATATGATTGTTTCCTAAAGAAGTTAAAATCAACAGTATCCTAATATCATCTTTATTATTATATTACTATGTATTATGACTTAACTGGGATGTACCCATTGCATGGATGATAAACTAGCCAAAATTTCTTTAAAAAAAAAGTTTCAAGGGAGTAGACTTTGATGATAGACTAAGATATAAAAGTGGTAAGTTTTTAACGAATACATGTAGTTTGCTTAAGCACAGATATGATAAGATTATATTTCTAGATATGGGGAAGTTTTTGTATGTATCTTCCATTAAAATTTCTTTGTATTTCAAAATTAGACATGATTGTCTTGTAATCTTACCCAACAGACTTGTCTAGTATAGTTATTTTATCTTTTGTGATTAGTTCAATTAAGATACTGTCTTTATCATGCTCTAAAGATGTTAGATTGACTGTTGAACAACTTTCATATTATAAATAAATTAGGAACTGTTGGATAAAATTTTAGGTTAGAGGCTTTTGATCGTTTAGCCTGTAATATAATATAGTTCCTTCCAGGTTGAATCTGAAATATTCTGCTTGCATGGAGGACTGTCACCTTCAATTGAGACCCTTGATAACATAAGGAACTTTGATCGTGTTCAAGAGGTTCCTCATGAAGGGCCCATGTGTGATCTATTGTGGTCTGACCCAGATGACAGATGTGGCTGGGGAATTTCTCCCCGTGGTGCTGGATATACTTTTGGCCAGGTAAGCATATATTTAATTTCTCAACTTTATACGTTATTGAATTTGTTATTTTGACGCATTGAGTGATCTATTATTGTTTGTACATTGCATTTTTATTTTGATGGTAATGCCAATTGACATTCTTTGTTTCAGGATATATCTGAACAATTCAATCACACTAACAGCCTCAAGTTGATTGCCAGAGCTCATCAACTGGTTATGGATGGTTTTAACTGGGCTCATGTAATTGTTCTTATGGAATCTGTAATTTGCTTGCTTTAGAATTATAGGTGTAAAGTTTTATTATTTGCATTGTTTTGTTGAAACAGGAACAAAAGGTCGTAACCATTTTTAGTGCACCTAACTACTGTTACCGATGTGGGAACATGGCTTCCATATTGGAGGTTGATGATTGCAAAGGCCACACATTTATCCAGGTCCTTTTCTGTCATTAAGTATAATTTGCTTGGTGAAATATTATTAATTTTAGTCCTTTCCCTTGAATTGTATCTGAATAAATTTGAAATATTTCATGCAGTTTGAACCTGCTCCCAGGAGAGGAGAACCTGATGTCACCCGTAGAACACCCGATTATTTCTTATAATGTAGCTGCTGTGTCATACCAGTATATCGTGGTTATCTCTACTGCACTAATTTCAGGTAGTTGTGCATCCTCATCGTGAAATTGCTGTAAGAATTTAAATCCATGGATATATGCTTCCCGTGCTTTTGGGGTTGTCCAAAGACTGCTTTGATGTATAATAGGCAGGTAACAACATTCCACTGATCTGTTAAACTCGAGAACTTGCTGGACACCCTGTCTGAAGAAGTCGCCAAGATGATGACTGTCAGAATACGTATTGTTCCAGCTAAATGTGGATATTTTTTGTTTGTTTTTCCTGTCTTTATTTTTCTCTCATGTTCAAAACCTCCCTTAAGGCTTTAGAAGCTGTGACTGGATTTTTGTCTCGTGGATGTTTTTGCTATGTTCTATCTTTTTTCATTTAAAGTTGCATGATAATAGTGATTCAGTTTTGTTCTTACGAATTATGTTCTCCGACTTTATCATTAGCGCTCACCTAAAGTTAGCCTCCGTTTATCAATATATGCCATATCTTTTCATAAAGTTGACAATGAAAAGTTGCTAACATGATGTTTCACCTATTCGGTTAATGCTGAACTCCTAGATGAACTTGTTTTCTATATACAATGTTGCATATCTCGTTTGTATATTAATTAAAATAGTTTAATGTTTGCATAAATATAACTTATTCGTGCATGTTATTTTAAGTAACCCAACTCGTCCAAAAAACGAAAAAGATTGCACTCACTCTATACTAGTTTTCTATCCCTAGTTGAATCGGAAATGTATTGAAAGGATAAAGTGAAAAATTGCAACTTTAAAGATCTAGGCTTGAACCAATAATAATGATGGGCCTTTTTCTACTCACTAGATTGGCATAAAAAGCATGAAGTAAATTGCAGAAAAAAGATTTTGATGAAAGCTGATTAATGCTTCAACATGATTAGTACTTTATTAGGGCGCGCGAAGATTGTAAAAACGTCAACGACTGATCAATTTGTGAAATCAACAGGATCTGCGAGAGTCGAGCAAATTTTACCGCGTGGGAATGATCTATCGTTCTGATATTTTCTTATAGATAATTTTGAGTGGACATGACCAAAATGGGACGATCTCTTGCTGTACAAAATTTTCATAAAATGGTAAGCATGTCTCAAAATCACAAGCTCAAGTATGAAAAAAGAGATGGCACTAGGTCGACTACAGACCACGCAAGGCCTGCGTATTGAAGAAATCTAATTCCAGTATCAACATCGAATGCCTTATGCCGTGAAAGGAGCCTTTGCAAGTAACCTCCTTGTTTAAGCTTATCGGACTTTTTACCCGTGACAGATCCATTCAACGTGGGGATATAGCTGGTTGATTTTATTGGGATGCCCAAGGTGTTTGCTACCACAGGAATAGTCCATTTTGCGAGAGCCTTACTGCAGAATTTTACAATTAGAATTGTAGGTATACCCAAGAGCATTCTTCCCAAAAATACAGGTATAGTCATATCTGAAGAGAACAAACGAGGAACATTCCCATGATGAAATTGATGATATGTTTGCTGTACCCCAGTAACCTGAAGAACACGAGCCTCTAATATTAACACACAGTACAGAAACAACACAACACAAAGTGATTTGTCCATACTCAAATACTTAGGCTGTCATTCTCCAATCAAAATTGAAATTTTACTTCGGATAATTTATGCAATAAAAAGTCAACATTGGAGGTTGACATTGATTATTGAAGCAGAATTCTAATTTTAATTGGAAAACAACACTTAAGGATACTTACTGTACATAAGTTTTGTATTGTACTTCTAGATGCAACTTACTAACAAACAAGGGTGCAGCTTACTACAGAAAAGCCACTGTCATGGGAATAGCTTTTGACGATTTATTGCTATTAAATACAAAATAACTCTATACTAACAAAGAGGACAGAAGGATACAGGCATGTAGCCCCATAACATGTTTAGTGATTGTGTCTGAAATTTGCAGAGATGATTTGTATTAACCCACCGATACTGATACTTTTCTATGAGTATGCAGGCAGGTCCAATGTCAATTTGCCAATGCATTTCAGATGCTAGGTGAAATGGTACTGGAGAGATGACTAAGCCAATAGCTTTTTCCTCACTTCTAATTACAGTTATGAACAGTTCGGAATTACCAAAACTATGAAAACATTGGACAAGAGAAAAATAAGATAGTATAACACAGAAAGAAGAGTTTGAACTCTGATCAAACATTTCAAAATGTTGGAGAAAGATGGTATGCTCATTAATAATTTGAAAAAAGCAAGTATATAAATTTCTCTCTCTTTCCTTCTGAATACCTTGAAGCACTAGACGATTCCCCATGCATTCATCTCTCATGTTAAGAAAAAAGACTCTTCAATTTTATACAACATGATCCCCACACTAAGGGCCTGAGTACTAGTTAGTAAATCTTTTAACATAACTGCATAGAAAAAATTCCTAAAAAAATAATAGAAATAAATTTAAGGGCATTTTTTAACCAAAACTTAGAACAGCTCTACTCTAGCCCTTGCCATATTCAGTTAGTATTGGATTTGATTGTAACTTCTACTCAAAATCACTCTATTACAAACTTACAATGATATGGATTGCGTGCAGCTACATTTCTGACATGGCTTGTTATGACAAACCCAGAAGAATATTTATGGAAATGAGTTTCATTTAACTGAAAGGGGAGGTCAAAACGAAGCAAAACTCAACAGCCCCAAAACCTAAGCTCTACAGAGATAGCTCTGCCCAAAGTAACCACAACTCTTTCATGTCCCCATCTCCGCAACCTCACTCCCTAAAAACTGGTAGAATTCTAAATCAACTGCTGACTGAGACTAATCACTTTGCCAACACGGTTAATGAGTGGTTACCTGACCTCCCTTCTTTCTCACTGAATAAACTAGCCAAGTCTTGGGCCCAATTGGATCACAGTCCAGAACCAGATCAACTTGGGCTTCCCCAACATTAGAACTCGCAGCTCTATCACCTTGATGTTTATCCTTGAGCATATCAAACTACAAATGACATGCTCCAGTATAATATGGATTTATAATGTTCCATAGCTGATGTCATAAACTTGATTTGTCTATTCTACAGTTACTCTGCATAAATTTTTATTCAGCATATTCACCTCAAACATTATTAATCTAAGCAATAAGTTCAAGAATGTTAGTGTTAGGCATGTTGAAGTACATATTCAACTAAGTCAAGTCACCATTCAAGCAAAACAGATATAGCCCCAGTAACACTCAGAATTTAACTCCTGATCTGGAGCTGCTAACATTGAAAGTTGTCTAGAGTTAATGAATTACAGTTAACTAAAACAGCTTAGGACATCTTTTGGTCTATGACTCTAATTGAGCATTATATTCCTTAATGCAAGAAGAAAAAAGAAATAAGTTTAGATCATGTTAAAGGGTGAGAAACTGCTTACAATTCCCAATGCAACACCATTGAAAGCAGTGTGAAACTCAAAGCTTGGAGTTGGAAGTTCAGGAGTTGGATAAGCAAAAAGCAAAAGGAAGCTCAAGGCAGCCCAAAAGGATGTAACTGTAACAAAAGCAGATTGAGATGAGATAGAATACCAAAAAAGCTTCTCAACATTACTGAAATTAAAGAGAGAGGGGGGCGGGGGGGAACCTCTACATAAAAAGTGTAGTATTTTCAATCATTTTGCAAACAAAAGGTGCTTAAGAAATATGAAAAAAATTATAAAAAACTTGAGAATATAGTTTTCTCAAAATGATAATCTAAAATATAATCCAATTTCTACAATCTAAGCACCAGCATGTGCTGTGGTTATTATAAAGGATATAGCTATCTGGTGCTGAATTTATTAATTAAAGTAGAAGTAAGAATACCATTTTGTCCTGAGATCACAAAACTGTCTATGTATTCATCAACCGTGAGCCAAAATGCAAGGAGCCCAAGTCCAATAAGAAGGCCAGAAACAACATCAACCACACTATGCATGCCAAGATAAATTCTTCCTACCAAACGTAACAAATAATTTTCATTATTTTGGAGTGCAATAAGCCAACAATGGAAAGCTGCTAATAATGTAAAAGCATTAGAAGACCTACCCAAACCAATTAGGGCCACCAGCAAGCAAGCAATAGAAACTCCAAGATAATTAACATAGGCACCTTGAATTTGAGTATGAATCAGGACATAGTGCAAAAGGTAGCTGACAAACATCCATTCCAAGGAAAAGCATCCATTAATGACAAACACGAAGAATTGAAAGCAAAGCTTCATTTTTCTCAACAGTAATACGACTCTGAAAAACTACACTCTTCTAATCAAGTTAAAACTGATGATAGAACAAAGAAAAAAATATGTTATTACAAATGATTTTTCATATTTTCACTTATTCAGTAGATTTATATTCTCCTTCCTTGGTCCAGAAAACAGATAGGAAGAAGAGTAAGTGTAACCATAGTACTTGACTTAGAAGGCATGCCACCTGCTCAGTTCCCTGATCAGAGTAGACATCTAGCATCTCAACAGCCATCTTGCCACACCCTAAGAACCTTTATGACATGACACAAAAACTTACTCAAGCTAGAAACATGCCTCAGAATCCCTTTAAATTAACCCCACAAACCAAGTAGGATGACTTAGACATAAAAACAAATAAAAAAGAATAATAAATACCCAGATAAGCAAACTGTGTTAAGTGTGTGAGAAGAAGGCAATCCATATTCTAACGCATTATCTTCTTCATCTTTTGTAGCAGTCACTCTCCTGACAGGTGGAGAAGCAGGTCTTGGAGCTGAAACCACGTCCTGTTGAGTGACCAACACAACAAGCATTTAACAAAAGGATGAATCTAATGTTAAATTGAACAAAAGTGAACAATACGTACCTTTATGCAGTTCCCTACATAATCACAAAAAGCCATCAACAACGTCATCTGCCTCGCCAATTGGCCATGACCACTCTACAAAGAGACCAAAAGCCAACAAATTTGAGTTTTTTAAATCCAAATCCTCACAACCTTGTGGGTGTCTTATATCATCAACATGTACGTACCCAGAATAACAGAGGGAGAAAAGCAGTGTAAAAGGGCACAGAAACAACACACGACAACCCAGAAAAAAGGGCATCCAGGAATCCAAAACGGTAACTCTGCAAAAATTAAATACTAAAAAAAATCAGCATTTACAACACAATTATAAAAAAAAAAAAAAAAAAAGCTTAAAGCTTTGAGAGAATAAGAAAATGGGTTTTTTTGAATTGAAGGGCATTTGGGTGAATTCGATAATTACCTGGATCTGGAGGATAATTGGGGTTCCAGTGTCAACACTGTGAGAAACCCAAGGTTGGAAGAAAGATCTAAGTTTCCGAGTAAGATTTAGATATGAAGCAGAGAGAAGCCAGAAGATTATTCCACCCAAAACCGCACCTTGCCACACTGCTGCACCCTCACCCTCCATTCTTCTTCTTCTTCTTCTTCTTCTTCTTCTTCTCTTTAGGAGCAGCGCAGAAGAGAAGAGAAGAGAAGAGAAGGACCGAAGAAAGAAAGAGAGGGAACTGGCAGGAACAGAGAGAGGAACCTGGCTGCCAGAATCAAAATTGGACCGTGGAAGTTGGAAGAAATGGTATTCCCTTGTATTCAACTTTATTTCTTTCTCTCTCACACAATATAATAATAATGATTTTTTTATTTGGCTTTAAAAATTAAAAAATAGTGAAGATTTTTATGAACCATTAATTTATATTCGTTGGAATATGGCTGGCAGAGAGAAATGTCACTGTGAGAACAGCAAGAAATTTCCAATTTCAACACGTTGTGGGTCAATGGTGACAAAAATAAAAGTTTCATTCTTCTTTTTTGGTGCAAATTCTAAGGACCACGGATTATATAGCCACTATATTTCATGACCTGTGATTTTTTTTTCTCATATTAGTTTTATGTTTTCTTCTTCTTTTTATACTTTTCCTTTTTAAAATTTTTAATATATTTTTCTTTGTACTGTTTATTATATCTCCTTTTATATTTATATATATTCCACTCCTGTACAGAGATATAAAACAAGCATTACTCATAATACATGCTCATTTTGCTTTTTCTTTCACCCTTTTCACGTCCCATAAATGTGAAACAAAAGTTACTTTTATTTCATCATCATCAATAATTATAATTAAAATATAAGAGTTATCTTTCACGTAAGTGTAATTAATGTAGGTGGAATTTTAAAGACCTTAACGAGTCCTGTTAATGGATGTATTAAAGACATTAATGATTAAGAACCGTTTGATATTTTATAAAAATATTAAATTTATCTAAAATTAAATAATATAAAATCAGTGTATTTTATATAGTAATCTTTTTTTATCAATAATATTCTAAAAATAGTAGTTAACATTTATCATCACTTATTAATCATGGTAAAAAAAAAAACAGAGAAGATGAAGAAAATGAAGTCAATTTGTTGATTTGAAAACTAATGAGAACCTAATTTTAATGTTTCCTTGAATAGAGTCCAGAGGACGAGTGGAATGCAATAAATCAATTGACAATTAAATTACAACTGATAATTATTTTGAAAACTATGACGAAATCTTGACATGTTTACACAATTGTTTCCCTATTCAGAAGTTACTAGTTACTACGATAACATATACGTACACGTATGTATGTATAAAAGATATATTTAATGAAAATTTTTTTTATTTTGAATTTGTTAAGATTATAGATTTAAATTATAAAAAAACTACATGTAAATAAAATTTTAATTATCTAAATAAAATTATTAATCTATATTTATTATTTATATAAAAAATTATATTCTCACTGAATTTATGATCGATGTTATTGACAATCCCTTAAAAACAGCTCTGTCGTGTAAATTATAAGTGGGATAATTTTTTTAAACTAGCAAGAAAACTTTTTTTTGGGCTTGAGTTGAGCCTAAATACTACTAAAATTGGGTTTTAATTGACTTTTTTTTATTAGAATGTATTATTTTAAATTTTACAATTCATTATCTTCAAGTTTAAAAATGTCCCATATATACAAATATATTCAATTATATATACATAGCTACTTTATTATTATTGTTATTTGATTATTTTTTTTTATTTTATAACATTATTAAATACTTATTTTTACTAAAAATAATTTTAATATTAATTAAAAATAACATTAAAATGCATAAAAAAAAGTTATACACTTATCAGACAAAATTTTATTTAACATATGATATATATTTTAAAATTTAAAAGTATTAAAAATATATATTTTATGAATATTTAATTTATTTAATATTCAATATCTATATATATATATATATATATATATATATATACATAACTATACGTCAATATTATATATAGTATTTGATAATTAAATTAATAAAATATAATATTTAAAAAATTTAAATAAAGCAATATGATTAATTATTATTTATTGTATGAAACCAACGGATTGCGCCATTCGAAACTCCAATCAATAGGCTCCAGTCAAAACCATATGCTTAATCCCACGTTGTGTTGACCAAAAAAAAAAAAAATCATTTTAGAAGGAAAAAAATAGACATACAAAATTTTTAAATTTAAATTAAAAAAATAAAAAAATAGTTTTAAATTTTTTATTTTTCTTTTATTAAATAACATTTTTTTCTTTGGTTCGCGAGCCCATAAATAACAGTCAAACACGGTTCCATTGCTTTTGCGAAGAAGCTGCCAAACTAAAGCATGCACTGTGCAAAGTCTGTTTAATATTTTATTTTCATAATTATTTTTAATAATCAGAAAATATATATTTTTAAATCAAACACCCATTAAAGTACTCTCGTTAATTGACCAATATCGGCTTTTCGAGTTATTATTATTACTTTGTCAATATAATTAAAAATAACTTTCTAAGTTATATAGTATTTTTATTACCGTACATACACTTAAAAAACACAGTTAAAAATACAAAATAAATACCTTTAAATGTCTTCTCTAAATATTGAAAACTAATTACCATATTCTTTAATGTACTATTTATAAAAATTTGAATTCTTTGAATGATATGATATAATTATATTAGACTAAAAAATGTTTTTTTTAATCAAATTTAACTATCAAGTCATAAAATCAACATTAATTAAAAATACATCTTTAATTTTCAATTATTGTCGCATTATACTATTCAACAACACGAGAGAATATAAATATCTAATTAATTATATTAAAAACAATGACTTTAGTAAAAAGATGACAATGCACTTTTTTCTTAAATTTTCATTTTTCTCGTAACATAACTTTTAATAAAAAACCATTGAATTTTTTAATTAACGTTTTCAAAGCACTTGATCAATAGGACATGTAAAGATACGAGTTATTTATTATTTGTTTATCAGTTGTAATGGCTTGAGTTTAAACTTTGCTTTCACTTATTTCCTTTCTTAATATCTCTACAATATAAAGAACAAAAAAGAAAGATTTTATGAAAATTTCAAAGGCGAGTTATTGAAAGACACTCGAGAGGATATGCTTTGAGACTATTCGCTCGATCCATACAAAAAGAGTGGCAGAAAATTGCTATAAAATCAGCTAATCTTTTTGCCTTACGCTTCACATGTTGATATAATCATGAATAAGTAGAAAAACTTGCTACTTGATAATTTTTTAAAAAGTAATTACAAAGAACTACAATTTATTTCTGGCACATACTTCAAATTTAGGTCGTATGATTTATGTCCTAAAGTTATGATTAATATAATTTGCACCATTTTTCATGTGTAACGACATATTCTATTTTTATAAAATAATAAATTTACCGTCTTATTATCTTTTACACAATAAAAAATTTAATAAATTAAAACTTTTAGAATGAAGTTGAAATGGATGAACTCCAATCGCAGACATAAAACCAGATATCATACACTAGATTATATCAGTAACAACTAACAACAACTCTCAGATTAAATTTCGAAAGTAAAAGGGCTTGCACATCATATAATTAATTAGCAGCCAAAAGGCATCACCAATCCATGTTCGCACATTACAAAAAACCAAAAAATAAAATTGCAGAGACACAATTAAACATGTTAGATATGTAAAAAATCAGTAACACAATTACGGAGTGTTAAGTAAAAATTAGCATCAATAACAAGTATTTTAGCAAAAACGAAAAACAATCCAAGGAATTTCAATCATCAAGATGATGATCGTCTAAGCAAGGGTGATCTCCAATCTAGATCTTCTTGTGGATAGTCTTTCTGGAGTTCCTTAGGGGGTATGAAGCAATCCATGGAAAGGCCAGGGACGTTGAAAGCAACATCATCAATGGTCCATGATTCTTCCAACCGTGTGATGGCAGGTCCTGTCTCTAGATTGTCTCCAAACCTGGTGATGATCACAGTGGAATGGCCTGCATGTGCAATCATCACATCATCCACCATTCGGTAATCCTCAATTTTGGTTGACATTGTGGTCTCCCAATAGGTGGGGTGTGTCCCAGGTGATTGAATCCTTGTGAGGTAAGAGTCTTCTAGGTACACTAGTAACCCATTTCTCTGGCTAAAGTACCCAAATGTAACATGCTTTATCATCTCTGCAGTGCTATCACTACGGTCAACCAGGTCCTTCTGATCAGCTGACACCTTTAACACAAAACAATCAATGCCTGATATTTTCTTTTCTCCCATGTATTGTGCTCCACAGAATACACCAGACACTGCCAAAGGGTCTAGTCCCTAAAACACGTACAACCAAAATGTGGTTTAAGGGTAACAATCACACAACCACTGACATCATCACTACTCACACTCCACACTGCCCAACACAAGATGCTCATCAAGTCAAGTCACTATACTATATATTATATTATGTAGTTCTAAGTTCATGGTTTCAGAGTATACCCTATGGCCCAAAACCCATGTTTTCCCCCAATAAAGTTGTTTGAAATTTCATGGTAACATTAAATTCAACTCTTTTGTCTTGGTCTTTATCTTAAGCTTCTTTCTTTTAACAAAGAATCTTGAATACGTAGGTCATGCCAAAGTAGTTACACGTGAAGATCGATCCCTCCACAAATAAGAAAAGGAAACAGAAGAATGTGTGGTTGGATCAAACAAATGAAGGGAATTTAGTTGGAAATCAAAATCCATTATATTGACCGGTAATGTGGGAAAAGAAGTTCGGTATTAATTAAAATGACCCAAAGCGCTCATCAACCAGCATTTATGAATTTTAAAAAGAAAAACTAAAGACATTTGATTAGGAATTCACATCCGTTACATCATATAGATTTCATTAACCGTTCTCTCATTCATACTCGGCCATAGCTCATTCCTAATATTATTATTATTTAAGGAAAAGAAGTTGAGGAAATTCATGGAGCCAAGGGTTAGGTCATGACACCATCAATTGTTATAATGAGACGTGACATAATATTTTTTTAGTCAAGGGTAAAGGGTCATCGTAATCTTAAAATACCATATCACATTGAGTTGTCTCTCACTAAATTGGAACCTGGATCCTAAAACCACCATCAACAACATTGGAATTAAATATCAAAAAACCTTGCTTACCCCAAACAAAATAGTACTGCCGCCTAGGAGGAACAACATTAACAAACGGACAAGCAAAATCCAACGACACCCCACGAATTAGAAATACTAAAAACAAGATCCAATGATGAGGATACTGAATTCTTGCTTAGATTCCCCTTCGAATAATTTTAGATCTACTTATATTTTAAAACTATTAAGTGAATGTTTAGATTTATGTTAAAAAATCACTAAATATAAATACAAGAGAAACTACAATCAGTAAAGTAAATGTTGATTTGGTACGTGTATATTAGATCACTTTTATGAATTTTTTTAACGTGAATCCTAACACACCCTTAACTTGCCTGAACTGCGCGTCGAAGAGGGCGCACGCCACCTTTTGCTGCATGTGCACCGAGCCAAGGGGTGTGGCGCCAAGCAACGGTGCCATCACTACCAGCCACAACCTTGTGACCAGCCACAACCAACTCAATCTGCCACTTATCAGGAACCATTTGCCATATCACAAAACAACCTCTTTCTGAAACTCCAGCGTTTCCAACCTCATCCACCACCCCCATTTCAACCTTCCCCGTTGCAAACACATTCTTCACCTTACCCTCCAACTTCCGGCACCCTGTTGCCGCCGTGAAGTGTTGGATAATATACTGAGCCGACGATGATACCTATGACAGGTAAACAATAACGGGTAGAACACATTATTTAGTTAGGAAGGAAAAGTTTGAATCTTTAGTGTGAATCAGACGCACATGGTAACACATAAAGAAGGAAGCATTCTTTTTGGTGAAAAGGAAAAGAGCAGCAGCAAGTGGGGTTGGGAATGACAAGTTATTTATTGGTCGCTGGCACGCATGAAAATTGTACAGAAAGTGACCAAAGTAATACAATACCCTTTGGAACACTTTGTCTATTATTATTATTATTATCTGATGGAGAAAATTAACACACACTTGCCACGTTCCATTAATATATACAAAATGCTTGTTGCAATCGAAAAGTGATTGATAGAAGAGAAGATGTAGAAGAGACCTCATTGAGTGGTGTTTGGGAATGGGGAGGAACAGGGAAGAGAGGGCAAGCGAGAACACTGAGGAGGAGCTTTAGGTCGGGTTTCTTGTTGAAGAAGTGAGACTTGATCCAGTTCCAGTTGCGCCATGCGTGAATCACTCCTTTCTTTGATGTGGTTGTTGTGTTGTCTTGGTCGTTGATGGGTTCTTCTGATAATGTAGCAAGACGACCCATCACTTCTCCCCTCAGAAGCTGAGCCAGAGAGAGAGAGAGAGAGGGTGCTGATATGAATAGGATAGTGGTAGATACAGAGGCAGAGGAATGGGAAAAATGTATGGATACACACTCTTAAAAGGAACACCTAAGCACACGCAAGACAAGTGCGTGTGCCACAGCAGCCACGCTAACAAAATAATAATAATCGGCACCAATGAAAATAAATAAATAAAAATGAAAAGGCTGTTGAGTTTTTTAAAACCTTTGCATTTGATATTTTTTTTATAATTATTTTTTCTTGACTAATGTTTAACAAATTTATTTAAATAAAAAAAATTTTACTTATCTCAGAACAAATCTAATGCCGTCCTCATACGATTATATATCCCATTGAGTGAAAAAAAATGTGCTTGCGTGGGGTGCCATTTCTTATAAAAGGAATGGTTTCGAATTAAAAAAAAAAAAACTGAAATTAACTTTTATATTTTATTAATTTTAAAAGGTGATATCGACGTTTATATTTTTTTTTATGAGGAACGATGGTTGAATTACTGATTAAAATTGGTCTAAAACACTTGAATATGTGAGAAAGAGAATTTGTTTCAAAAATATTACAATTTAAAAATAAATATATAAATTTACCATACATGATTAAATTAATATGACACCAGAGAGTATGCATTGAAAAAAATTAAAAGATGAAAGTTATATCTTTTTAAAAGATAATTTATATATTTCAATGAATTGAAAATAATTACTTAATTATCAAAAACATCAGTTACTCAAAAAAAAAAAAAAACAAACAAACAAACTTTCGTGTAGATTAAGGATCCTAAGACACCTCAAGTTTCTGGGAAAAAAACAGACAAAGAAAAGAAAAAGAATCCCTCTTTTGGATACTAGGATTCTTATATTTATATTCTTCCAACAATCTTATGAATCACTGGCTGGTTCAGCAAAAGGCCTTTTGACTGATGGTAGACTCGTTGGTTAACAGCTTTTACCAGTTATTCCCATAGTCGGGTTCACGTTTTCTTTTTCTTTTGATTGGAGCAAGTGTTGTGTTATGGCATGAGAACATCCATGGTTCTATCCTTCATATGACAACAATCGAACAATAACATTATTATTTATTTTTTGGAAATGGTCAAGCACATGCAATGCAATAAGCCTTGCAAAAACTTTGCATGTCACGTGCTGTGCATTTTTTTCTTTCTTAAAATAGTCATGGAACGTGCAAAATGGTACGTGCGGAAAAAAAGAGAAATGCAAAACAAATTGGATCAAACTACCCAATTTGCATTACAAAAGTGACACAAACAATTTATTAACACTGATATTCAAATCATGTAATGAACTATTCAGTAAGACACTAACCCGTTTTATACAAGCACATCGGCTTAAAAGATTTATAATTTACCGCAAGACTTAAAACTAAAACAATTCACTTGATTATATATGAATGCTTATAAAAGCTTGTAGCATAAATGAGCACACATAAAATATATTTTTTGTAATATTAAATATTTAATTAATTTCCATTTAAATAAGACGTGAACTGTTATGGACGTATATATGTAAATAGTTATATTTTTAAGTAGTCCTAACATTACTTAAGGTCAAAGCCTATAAAAATGGCGATAAAAGGGGTTTATGAAAATTAAAATAAAGGAATTTGCTTGACATGTATTTTTTTTTAAAATTATATTACATGTTAAAAATAATTTAAAAACTCTTACATTTAATTTAAATTTTTTATTTAACTTAAATCTAAAGACTAGTAAAATAATAAATTATAATTTATTAAATTTAAGTTAAATAAAAAGTTCAAATAAAAATAAAGCATAAGAGTTTTTAAGCTTACATTGTTTTAAAGAAATCCTGTCCCGTGAAATAAAGGGATTCAATTGATTTTATAACTTCTAGATATGATTTTGTAATGTTGAAAAGAAAATGTGAGAGAAATCAAGTTGATAAAATAAATTGTGTTAATAAATGATTTTACATGAGTAATGGGGTGATTATATATAGGAAGCGCGTGGGATTTTAAGGATGAATGTATGTGGTGGGGTGGTGAATTGAGGAAGGCGAAGGAGAAGAAGCTTTTAAGGAAGGCAAATGGCAATGGAAAATTAGCAATGGAATGCAGTTGACGTGTCCCCATCCTTCCCGATTTGTAATAATGCCTTTTCTGGTAGTTCGGTGCAATTTTGGTACATTTGGCTCTTTCTTTGCTTTATGTTTTGGTTGGGAATTTTCTGCCAAAGGTCTCACACTAATTTGATGGTTGCATTTATTTTTAGAGTGATTACACTGTCATTAACATTTTGAATTTGAAAATGCACTTCATCGTTCAGTTGCAAACTTGCAAAGACTAAAGAGAATGAACAAATTAGTGGAACTGGTAGTTCTGTTTCTGAATTTCAGTTCATTGGATTAGAAAGAAGAAATTCGGAACCACTTTATTAGATAAAAATTAAAATAAGTTTGTTTAAATTAGTAATAGTATTAATCTTCAGCTGTGGATGGACTGAACCAAAGAAGAAAATTGTGGACCAAATAAAGACTTGAGATAATGCAATTGTGAACAACTATTAATTTTTCACCTATTAACTGGAAACCGAATGAGATAGCGACTACTGCAGTACGGATACCCAAAAATTTTAGATGACTTTGTCCCGTACGAAATTTGCTTTTTTTTTTGTATTAACAAGTTTATATGAGTATATGATATTAATAAATATTTAGATATTGTCTTAAAACTTTGTATTAGAAGATTTATTCTCACTACTAAACTGACTAATAATGGTGTCTTAATTTTATTCTAAATTATAATATAATTCAGACAAAAATGAAAAAAAAAAAAGTTTGCTGAAAGTATATAAATAAATTTTTTTGAACTAGAAACCAAAAGGGTAGTTCTGGTTAGTATAAGAACTGACTTTTTGCTATGTAAGGTCCACGCATACTTAATTTTGTCGCATCTTTATCCTTTCATTATGTTTTTTTTAATGTTCAAGGATTTGTCTATTCAAGAGTCAGGAATTTTTTAAAATTCAAAGTTATACAATAAAATTTAATATTTAATACTGAAATAATTTGCTACCTATTTTTTTTGTTAAAAAACTAGTTGTCTTTTATTACTTTAATTTTGCCTTTATATTTAATATTTTAACCTACATTCAAAACCATAAGCTTTAGCTACACATTAGTAGTTTCTCTTGTCTTTTCATTTTTTAATCTTTGTATCTCAAAACTTTCTTGTATAAGAACTCTATTCTATTGACCATAAAAAATATAAAATTAAAAGAACTCTATTATAGTTTTATCTTCCCACCAAGATATACTTAATTTGTTTTTCTAGCCATTATTCTATCACAGTAGACGTTAGTCATACCAACATCAAATTATTCTCATTACATACTTTATGTTGTTTTAGCAATCACTCAAACCATCCCCGTCATTTCCCCGTTGAGTTTTCTTCTTCTACGCTTCATTCTTATCAAACTGTCACCCTTTAAACTTTTCCTCCAATATGGCTAAGATCATCCGCAGTAATAATTATTTAATGGACATTGCAAAGGTTTCATTTTCAAAATTAGCTATGGAGAGATTTAATTTTCAATCTAAATAACTACAGGAAAATGTTTAAAAATTATATGAAAATTTTTAGTCTATAGGAAAGATCACCATTTACATTGGAAGGTTCAACATTGATAGAGGAAGGTTTAACACCCATAGAAAAGAAAATGGTGTTTGGAGAGGTAAACAGTAGATATAAGAAAAACAAGAGAAAGAGGAGCAATACCACATTATTAATGGAACACAAAAGAAATTCTTAATTATAACATGACAAAAAATTACCAAGAGAATCTTAATCCTTTTCTTCTCAATGATTTGCCTTTTATTCCCCGTTTGGGTGTAATTGTGTACCATGAACTCGTTGCATCATCACACCACACAGGTTATCCCTCCTTAGCGTGCAGGGTGTCAATGACGGAAAAGAATTTCTCATGCTGTTAATACCATGAAGGTGCCCATGAAAACACAAACAGTGAGTGAATTTTTCCTTACATAACTCTTGACTCAAAGACTAATTATGTTAGTCGTTAAGATCCAAAAATGCAATGTCCTTCAATATTTAGTTGCAAAATGCAACATATACAAAAACAATTCTGAATCAAAAACTTCATTCACTTGCTTCAGAAACATCATCCTCGCAGAATTCATCACTCGTTTCAACCTCTTCCTCCTCAGAGTCACTCCTCATTTCATCATTTGCTACAGAATCAACCAGTGAGGCGTTCCCCTCAGTTTTCAACGATCCATCTCCACGATAAAGAAGGCCCGTTTGCATGACATGGTAGAACTTATCTCTATGGCGAGCAAGAGGATGTGGGTCCACCAATTTTCCACTCTGGTACCCTTCTCGAAGAGTAACAGTGGTGGTTTTGCACTTCAAAGAGAGGTAAAATATCCCAGGATATCTGGTGAAAATGCGTGTAAACTTATGCGGAAGAATCAACTCTTCCCTCAAGCTTCTCAAGTAGTTCCTCTTGGTCTTCTTGTGCAAAGTCAAACTCAAAATCTCATGAAGAACCCCAACAACGCGCTTCTCCATCAAATCACTATTGGGATCAATGCTCCCCGAATTCGCATAGGGGGAAACATAAGGAAGCTTCTGAAACTCCTCCATCCAAACCCTAACCTTCTTCTGCGCCCCGTAACCCCTCGGAAACCTCATCGGAAACACCAACGCCGATTGTCCCCTCTTGAAATCCCTATACTGGCTCCCGCTCTCGTTGCTCTTCTGCAACGCGGAAACCGCGAATTCCTCACACCAATTTTCAAGTCTTACAGAAACGACGCCGTTGGGGGACTTGACGAATTGGAAATGCTGAGGGAATTGGGGAATTAGGGTTTTGTGGAAGCAATCGGGTAAACCGAGGTCCCACCGGAGGGAGTGAATGGAATGAAGAGGGAGAGTGCGGGATTTGGTCATCATGAGGAGTTTGCAGAGTCTCTGAACGGCGTCGTTTTGGTGGTTATGGTGAATGGAGTCTTCTTGTGAGTCTAAGAAGAGTGCAGTGTCGGTTAATCGGAAGCAAGGGAGAGAGGGCCAGCGAGGGTGAGGGAACTCGTGGAAGAGAGTGGGGTAGCGCCGCATGAAGCGGAGGACGGGGACGGTGAGGCCGAGGAGTTTTTGCCAATCTGCGACGGATTTGGTGGTGAGAAAAGCCGTGGAGGAGCGTTTGATGGCGTCTTTGAGAAGGGAAGCGGCTTTCAGATCGGTGTCCTTGTCGATGACGTGGTCGAGGCTTCGATTTTTGACCCATTTCAGACGCACCTTCACTATGCCTCGCCATTGAAGCTTCATCCATGGAATCGCGCCATTTTTGTTCATCTTTCGACCGAACACCACTTCTCAAGGGAGAAACAAAACCCTCCTTCATCACCATTCTGATAATGGGCCCAGCCCGTATAGTCCAAATTATCAGCCCAATATGTTAGGAATTGGGCCCAAACTTCTAAACTGTACAAGTAACATGACATCTTGGTCGACACAAAAATCATTTATAATATTTTTTATATTGTGACATCAACTTATTGATACTATAAACTTATTTTGATAAAATTTTTGGTATTATTAGAATTGGTGAAGCATGTTTCGTCTAAATATCTTAAAATACGAAATAGTCTAACGTGGAATTTTGTTTGATGATGATACGACATTAATTAACCTTTTGGGATCTCTCATACAAGATGCAGCAAACACAATGCATAAGATTTAGAGCAAGCCTTCACATTCTTGCTGAAAAGGATTTGATGACAAACACATTAATTTCTAAAATGCGTTGATGAGTTAGATTTGTATGTAGAAGAAAGAGTCTTTGTTAACTACAAGAGTTTAAGGTCAGAACATCAAGTAATCTACACATATTGAAGAAAGTTTGCGTTCCCAGTAGACGATTTTTGTTTACCTTTATATAAAGGAATAGTTCCTTGTAATTGCATTTTCCAACATCCATGCGCGTGTTACTCTCTTTCCTCGCCCGCGGAAGAGACGAGGGATTCTTTGCTGTTCTTGTGATTGTATCTTCACCAACAACGCCTTAGCTATTCATATGGCGCAACATGCTCGTCTTCTGAATTAGTTCAAACAAAAACAACACTGCCCAAAGTCTGACATACCCTTTTTTTCTACTCAAACGTTGTTTATGATTTTTCGATCTCATCATCCCATTATCCATTTTACTGACTAGTTAGGAAGCATCCGTATAATACAAGACACCACCAAAATACAAATAAATTTTGAAATTTTTAAAACATGACACAACCATCTTATAAAATCAAGATAAAAAAAATTAAAACATAAAAGAGAATTGTTAACATATATTATAGCAGTTAAGAATTTGACCAAAATGTAACTTGGCTCTCAGGTGTTAGCTTTGAGAATAAATTCGTATTTTAAAAATGAACTTGAGTATTATAAACATGATAAAATACTAGGATTCATATATGATATTTCAATCAATATTAGTATAAAACATTTAAAAATAAAAGTAAAAGATTAAGAAAATACAATCAACTTTTTTGAAGTATGTATATAATATATGGAATGAATATGTATCCGCTATAGCCATGTCCTATACCATTTACAAGTGTACTTGTTATGTTAATTATTTCACGAGTCATTCAAAAGGATCCCTAGAGTTTCACACTGTTCACGGAAGAAATTAAAAAGGTTTTGTGTCCCATTTCTCTGTTTGTGTTCTATAGATATAATTTCAAAGCCCACTGTTGGAAATGACTAGACAACAGTGGTGGGTTGTCATGTTGTCCTCCCAATTCTGTTTAATGGATATTTATGTCAAAGCACTGAAATTAACGTAAAAAGAAGGTCATTCATACTTCAGAGAAATTATTCATGTATACAGAAAAAAAATTTAAATCTTAATTAGGTGTCTGCATATATGCAGTGACATGTGCAAGTTCTATATATAAACACGGTAAAAGATCTTCAGCCTCAGTATATCCTCTTCATAAATAGACATGTCTCAATAACAGTTCATTAGTTGGTTTATGTCCCACCAAACTCTTTAGCCCCCCAAAGTTTTGAGTTGAATTGACAAACTAATCAACCAGCTAGTTTTCATTCATTTACATTCCTCACTATATATAGCCGCTACTAGCTAACATGCCATAGCAATAGCAAGAACTGCACCTCTCTTGTATGAAAGGAGATCATATAATTGAGAGGAAGTGAAGAAGGGCCTAATTATATCATGACACTTGCTGGCATACAGGAAAAAGTCCAGGCAAAGTTTGCTTCTTTTCTTTCTATTCTTTTTCATATTTTTGCAGTTTGTCTCTTAATTTCTCGCATAGTTTGATAAGACTTTCTTGGTGGTTTTGTTAGCCTAATTGTTCTTATCGCGTGTTTCTGATCTTTAAACTAGTTTTGTTTGGAAAGGTTTTCGTTGAATTTATGAAGTTAATACAGATGATCAAGAAGTATATGCCGCAAAATAGTAATAAAAAACAAAATTTGAATGACGCATAAAATACCTTATCGGTTTAGCACAACTAAATGTGAAGTCCGCAAAAAATCAATATGTGGGTCGGAGGTTGTGATGGATAGATTTTAGTAAAACGCAAATCAGCTAATCAGAGATAGCCAAATCTATGATGCCAGAAAAATTTAAATTCGAAATTATGAAGTCGTTACTATCAGATTAGATCATTTTGTAATCTTTTATTAACAGTAGTTATTGTGTTTGAGGATTTTATTCTTTCCCACATGATATGCATATCAATTGAAAGATGAGAGCGTAAAAAAATCTCAAATACATAATAAAAATAAGTATTTAAGATTAGGTTTAATTAAAATAATTTATTTATATATGATTGTATGATTGATTAACTCTTTTTACTGAAAATGTCCCCTTACATTGTTGAAAAAATTAAATTGAAATTCAAGGACTATCCCTTTGATCCCTAGATTTAGGTATGTGAAAAGAGTATATTGTAAAGAAGATTTTTAATTTACCATTTAATATTTTTTAGGAAAATTAATCTCTTACTCAGTGAGAAAATACTTCAGAAAATAATAATTAAGTAGGTTAGTAATAAAATTTGTTTGTTTAACTGGAGCGTCTGGTACTTAAAATCTTTATTTATTTTTGAGAATTATGTTTGATAAAAGTTATAATTTCTTAACATGCTATAAATGTGTTTGACATGTTTAAAAAATTATTGAAAATGTTTTTCCGAGGTATGATTATTTTATTTTTCTCATTTAAGAGAATCTTTTATTTTCACATCTCTCGTTGAAATTTTTTGTTGAAAAATATAGTTTTAAAAAATGTTCATGAAAAACTTAATTTCTTGAAATGTTTTTGAAAATATTCATACTTAACATAGGAATCTAAGATTTTCTTTTTTTTAAAAAAAACTTAGAAGAATTTTCACTCATTTGCCCTTTAACCGAACAAAGTTAGAATGCAACACCGGCTCTCTCTCTCTCCACCCCTTTAGGATGCAAACACTAGTTGTTAAAGATGCTACAACTAGCAAATAGATTTTGCAATCAACAGTAGTGTTTGTAGACTTTCAACCAAAAGTACTTTTATAATATTTCTTATATAATTGTTTTCTTAAAGAACTTACAGAAGATTATAAATTATCTTTCACTTTATTAAAAAAATATATAATTGCCTTAAAATTTTCTTCTTGGTTTAAATTAATGTTTTGAGCAAAAAACCCGAACAAACAAATTCGTAATGTATACTAACAAATGCTTCAAGCAAAAAGAGATGTATAGAATCCTTGAATTGAATAGTATTCATTTAACACTGTCAAAATGAAATATATTTTAAGGATATATACCGTGATTTCTTGCGTAGACAAGGTATGAAAATCAACATTTGATATTTTCTAAAATAAATTTTCAAACCTATTACAGGTACTAAGTAATAGCTAAATATTTATATTAATTTTTCCAGGATATTATGCATGAATCATATATATATCACGCCTAATTTTTTACATTCTATTTTTGCTTCAATACAATCTAACAAGTGAAGATTCTGCAGTTGAAAACAATGAAATCTAATGCGTGAAAAATTTGGAGTTTAGATAATTTTCTGCCGAGAGAAAATGTTCATTGAACTACAGAACAACTGTTGACATAAACACATTAAAATCGCTAAATGATCTAAAATTCCACTAATTTATTTTCTTACGTTATGTTGAAGTTGAGTAAGAAAAATGTTTGAATCCTCATTTGTGCGTAACAAAATTTGTATTTGTTACCGTGTGCACTTTTGATGATTAAATGAGATTCAATATATAAAATTAAAAACTAAAACAACTCTAATACTTTTTTCTTGAAATAGTTAGGACGATTTAATTAAAGATAAATACTCATTTAGTGATAAACGGCACATGCTAAGCGTACCTTACAAGAAGTTGCATTAAATAGCATTTATAGTTTTTAGCCAGTTAGGAGGAATTAACACAGTCTTGTACAGTAATGTTAATCACCAACTCTTTAGCCCACATATCGTACATTGATGCAAGTTTATCAGATGTCCCCCGTCCATGGTGATAAATAGATAATATCCAATTTCAACTGTAATGTTACATTTATTTCTGACTGACGTAATGCCATTACATAGCAAGACATCCTTATATTGTAAAGAATTAAGAATATATGCATGCATACATATGGCACTTAGAATAGATAAATGGGTAAGAATGCACTACAGATGATGTATTCACGTGAAAAAAAAAAGGTTTCATTTCTTCAATCAACAATTATGATAGTCAAGCACCTTTAATGTTTTAAGATATTGAACAACAAAAGGAATAAAAAATTACACTAACAACATTAAAATTAAATTTTAGAAGCACTGTTGAAAAAAAAAATGGAAGCGCAATCGAATCACATTCTACTGAGAAAACACAAATGTTCTTACAAAACACGGAATGAATTCATCTGTTCTAAATATCAGCAACTAGGATGTAGAACGGAAAAATCAAGTATTCTAGTTGTCATGCAAGAACCTCCTCCTATGTCATACGTATACAGCTACAGTACATACCTCACGTTAAACTCAGACCGTATAGGTAGTATTCTCACAAATACTATTCTTTTAATATCAATATACCATTTCGAATTTGTCAACTTTGAACTTTCTGATGAACGTAGCAAATACAAAATAACCTACGCTGAAGATTATCACTACAGTAGGGGGAGATATTAAACCCCTAGGCTCATCAGCCACAAGATCGTAAGGGCTTGTGAATGGGATGATTAGTTAATTGCTACATGTATTGAACCAGTGGAAATGTACTAAGAAAATTTTCACTTTATATGGAAAAAGATTGGGGAAGAGATGGGTGAAGTAGAACGAAAATCAGTAAGGCATTATCATAATTTTTCTATGAGACAAAGGTGGCATAATACAGAGCAGATCATTGCAAGGACCCTGACAAGGAGATACCTGGGAAAAAGACGTAGGCATGATCTACCCACTCTTACAACAACTTATCAACCAAATGCTTCTTTCAACTTTTCCTTTACGTTTCTCTGGATTTGACCTATACATATCGAGAACCGAGAACCATCATCAATAAAGAACTAAAATATTTTACCATCCAGGCATAAAAAAACACAACTGTAGTAGTGGAGCAATATATATTAAAAGAAGGAAGCAGGCAAAAATCAATAAAGCAGTACAACCAGCACTTTACCGTCTTGCAGCAAAAGGTAAAGTGAAAGTGGGGTAAATTAAATAATCCAAGTGAAACTTCAAAACACAAGGGTAAAAATAGATCCTTCGTATCATGAAATTTTCCACCTAAAGTTCACATTATATACCTTTCTATAAGATTTCATCTGTCCATAGCTCATTTTTAATTTAACAAGGTCATGCCTGACAATAAAAAATTTCAATATAGCAGAAAGTTCGTTCCAAAGAATCAGAGACCCTGTAGTATTACATTGTTAATACACGTGTTATTTGAAATTCTTGGGACCTGTAAAATGATTCCTATATCAAAACCATTTGAGGCCCATTTCATGTAATTTCATCTCTCCCTAATCCCTATTATGTTCATCCATTTCATCTTTGATATCCAGCTTTAAGAAAACCTCATCAATTTCACCCGTTATCTTCTAATAATTCATATGCACCTAAAATTGATAACAATGTATTAAGCCCTTAAGTCATCCATCAATTGATAACAGAAAAGAAACTGCAAAGAGTAGTTTATTTTTCCATAAAATGATTGGTAAAAGAGAAACTGATTTTTTATCCACCAACACAAATCAAGCATAACAAAAAACATTATATACAAGAATGATTGGACAAGGGAAGGGCAAAGATAACAGTACCTTCTGACTCAGCGCCTAGATCTACCCTTGCAGCACCGAAACTCAGCTAACAGAGCTATATGATCCGAGGACCACTCAGGAGAAGGAAGGGCGGTGTCTTTCCTCAAACTCTCCTCATCCAATAGCTCCAACAATGACTCCACAACCAAAGAATCCGCTGAAACCACAAATGATATCACTTCATAAATGTGACCAGGACATTAAATTCATTGAAGTAGATAACATTGTAAAATATCTCACCGGTGTAAAATATGTAATCAAGAGAGCCAATAAAATCTCTAGTGACATTTGTGAATAAAGGTTCATTTGTAGTGCTGTCTAGTCTTCGTTTATGCTGCTCAAATCCAAGACCAACTTTTCTTGCAAAAGATGAATAAGCACTGACCTAAAATTCAAAGTAATCAGCAACCAAATAATTAAAATCAGCACCAAAAGGGGGGGAAAGGGAAATATAGAACTGAAGTGAGAAAGTACATGATATTAGATAAGGGTTGGAATACATTACCAGTGGCAACTGGTGAACCAATTTGCTGTGAGGACGCAATATATTAAGTGGGTCAACTGCTAAATCGGGATGTGATGGGTCCACCTTCCCCATTGCAAGAAGTGCATGAGGAGCACTACAAAATATGAATATAAACTTAAGAAAAAATTACTGATACAGTGATTCTTATACAGGACCCTTGCAGAACATAAGTATAAAAAATTAAAACAAAAAGATAAGTAATTACACCTTCCTGGAACTGAATTGAAATCCCCACAAACCAACATTGGAATGTCTGCACTTGCAGCAATTTTCTCCAATCCTTTTAAGAGTGTGTGCACCTAAAAAGAGGGGGGAAACTTATCAAAATAAACACATTTTTCAATATGTACAGGCAGAAGAAATGACTTACCTGCCAGAGTTTGACATCCTTTAAGTCTTGTTGGACATTTACATGTGTATTTGCCTAAAGTCCGCAAGCATTATAAGAGTTAGTAATAGATTTATTGATACTACATAATGATTTTAAAGACAAATTTGAAACCACATATCCAGCTTAGTACTATATGAGATTTTGGAGTAAACTTATGAAGAAAGAAACACCTCAGGATCAGCATTATCTGGAGTTCTTATACCAGAATAGCCGCCATCACTAAACTGGTGTAGCTAAAAAAATAATTACCATGGAAAAATGATACCCCCATTTCAGTAGGGCAGCCATTAGAGGTGTCTGCTAGGATGAATAAAAGGTAGACCCAGACACCCAGTCCAGTGAGGCCTGATTAACTATTTCTGAATGTTAGAGGACAGTTATGTATTTGGTCATTTTGGTGTGGCAGTTATTTGATTGGTTTCAACTTTCTAGGTGTTGTAAGACAGTTTTCTACTTGCGGTAGCTGTTATTTGTGCAAGTGTAGAGCAAATGTATCCATTATGTAGTTAGATGTCTCTATAGTGTTTGAAGGAGGAAAACTTGTTGGAGAGGGAACCCTACGTGTTAGGGTATTCGTTGTACTCAGAATCATAATTCTAGACTATAACAGAATAATTAGTAGAAATGATATCTTGTTACAAAATACAAACTGTTGAGCCACAGAAAAAAAATCAAAACCTCTGCTTATGAAAGAAAAGCCTTAAGCAGATATCAGGAAATGATCACCCTCAATAACTGCACAACTAAGAAGAGAGCACCCATGAAACAAGACGCTAGGGAAGACCCTAACCCTATCATTCAACAGGTAGTGCAAAGAAGACAAAATCACATACAAGAAACATAAAGAAAAATAAAAGAGCTTACCACACAAAGAAGCTGTCTTTTCCCTGGATTATCAACGGGCTGATTGTTAACTTTTGCTTCTAAAACAACTATTAGTGCAACATTATCCTAAAAACATAAAGAAAATATATTCAGCACCAGTTCAATAAGAGACAATCAACATGGATTCTCTGGTGCAATAAGCCACCTTAACTAGACGATTCAAGGCAGTTTTCTTCTGAGTGGTTGGAATCACAGCATCAGTTAAAGACTGCGCAGCCTTATTAAACTCAACCTGCAAGCAAGTAGACATCATTCTATGTCGAACTTAAAGAGACCTACCATATGCAAAAAAGCAATTTCCAACCTCATATTTTTTCACATGTGAAAATCTGTCTCTGCGGAAAAATGTTGCACACCCATCAATTGTATTAATGTTGCCATTGTATACCTGTGAACCCACCATAAAGGGATTAACATAAAAAGGAATTTTAAAATATGAATTTTACATCCATAAGAAATCAGAATACAGTAACAACCTCATTTGTTTTTCTCTTATAAAGACCATAATAGCCATGTTTGTCCAGTTCAGGAGCAAAAAATTCTTCAAAGTGATCATTTTGAACCTGGGGAAAAACATATAGTATGTTATCTGATAGAGAAACTATTAAAATATAGGATGTAATCATAAGGGATTGAGTTAGGTCAGTGGAGAAGAAAAACATTCTAAGTTTCTAACATTCTAATTCAAACTGGCTCAGGTCCACTTTGACAAAAGAACATTTATTTACCTCCTGAAGACAAATAATATCGGCTCTGTAACCAACTATTTCTCGTAACAAATTTTGCCTGCGATATGGCCAGGAAAGAGCCCATGAAGGGCAGTAATTGTATAGATCATTTGAGGCATAAGAATCACACAATATGTTGTACGATAGAACAGTAAATGTTCCTGAAGTTGTTATACGCCCATCAACATCCATATGTCCCATCCCATCAACTGGGATTTGTCGGCGTGGACTAGGTGATGGAGCAGGAATGACACGGGAGGTTAGTATTGTGCTGGCATGCCCCAAAGTAAGTTTAGTCTCTACATCAACTACAACACACTCAAATTTAAGGACATGACCAACGTCATCAGCTGTTGGGGTATATGTCTTAGATCGTCCAACTTCAAACCAAGTTTCACCACCACTTCGTTGTGTAACAGCTGCCGGATACACAGGAGCAGACCCATTTGTCAAGCTAGCACATGATGCAGAGGCAGATAAGCCGGTATTTATTGATCCAGACCCAGAATTATTAAATCTACCAAATAACTCTTCTTCCTCATTTCCATTTTCATTAACAGCACTTGCAGCACGATCATGTAAGACACGATGATGCTGCCATGCATCAGAAAAACACTTTGGAGTGCAATGGTAACTTTTGGCAACAGGTATTTTAGCCTTGACACAACCTAGGCACTGCAACGTGGCCTGCTCAGATGGATGAACACTACAAACAGCAACCTTTTTATCACTCTGTACGCGGTACCTGCCAAAGAGAACCAAATGAGTGACAAAATGTAACAAGTGCAAGTTTTAGATCAAATCAATAGAAAATTTCCATAAAGGCAGTAATTTGGGGTCAAATTAGTATTCATCATAATCAAAATTATCGCAAACAACTATTTAAGATATCAATAACAAAATTCTTGCAATAGTTATCCAAATATAGGGAAATAAGGGCATAATTTTCAATATTTCTATCACTATCCAAACTTCACAAAAGACATGAAAAAAACAATAACCCCAAACACATTGTGATGAATCGTGAATTACGTAAAATGCATATCCAAAATAACTGGACAAAATACATTAGAAGATATCTATTCATCAACACAAGACACCAATTGAGATGATGTAACATCCCTAACAGATAGAACAACCTATATGTTATCTTTACTATTACATACACTGGTGAAAAACTATTGGTTGAACTAATGACTAATCTCACATATATTTGAAATCTCCATCACCACATAGTTACTGGTAGAAGAAAAATCCAATATCTGAACTGGGAGCTCTTGAAAAAAAAATTTAAACATCTTCTGATTTAATGAGAAGTAGAATATACTAAAGCTTTACAAACAAACTTAAATGTTCAAGTATGTGAATGAAAACTTTTGCAGCCTGATACTGCTATAGGGGAAGATAATTAAACCATGCATCACTGCCTAATGCAGTGCAGCACTAGCATGGCAATATTTGAAAAATCACATGAATTAAAATATGCAAAAAAAATTATACCAAAAAGTAAAGCAGATGGAAACAAATTTTAGAATGCAAAGGTATTGGTCTATGTTCTATAATCTTTGGATGCCTAGTGACCATGAGACCACCACAGGATAACCAGAAGAATTTTTTCTGTAATCGAACACTGCATTCATTTTAGCACTTAGTACATCACTCACTAAAGTTCAGTGCCCATTTTTAAAAAATGAATTAGCCAGGAGGTTTTTTTAATAAAAAAGACAATAAGCAAACCCACCTAATAACTACATTCTGTTCGCTTACAAACCAACACTAAATATATACTAAATAAATTAAAACTCAACTCATGTAGGTGAAAAACACATTGCGAAAAGACTAAACCAATACACATTCAACTAGAAAAACCTAGGAGCACCATTGGCCTTCATACTCTTGCATTTGGCATCAACTAAAGTAATTTCAAAATACCCACACATTGAAGTTCAAATATTCCACTAAGCCCAACAAAGTCAAACCTAATATGCCAAAACGAGGTAAAACAGCTACAAGGTCATAAAAAAAGTAACAGTGTAGAGCAAAGAAAAAGAGAATTGAAAAGGGAATCGAACTGAAGAGCACCAACCACTTGTAGCGCAAGAAATGGCCGTCTAAGGGAGCGGTTTCAGAGACATCGTCAGTGGTAACGGTTTTGTCAGGTCGGCGTAGGAGCACGTAAGGCGTGAGCTCACAGCCTACAATGGGAATATCAGAAGGGAGGTGCACGCGCAGCACGCTCAGCATGCTTCACTCTTCGCAATCGTCACCGCACTGTAACCCTATCAATGACAACGACAACGCCAACAAATCAACCACTCCCGGAACTGTCGTAGCAACACCACGCTCGCAGCAGCACCAGTTGCGGAGGCGGATTCCGGCCGGATCCGCCATTTACTTGACCCGAATACCCGCCAGCCTTAACTGACCCAAAAACAAAACCCTGAGTGCGCAATCGGATCTTGCAACGAGGGTGAGGGATTCCCCAAGGACGCGCGGTGCGGAGCGATTGGATGCGGGAGCAGATTCGTGCAATGAATCGAGAGGGAGAGATCGAGATTTGTGGTTCTTGAGAGAGAAAGTTGGGTTTTAGAGAGAGAAACAGAAGGAGGATCCAGATTAGGGTTTTACTTGCAGAAGAAGTGGAAGTAATCGTTTGCCTTCTTTTTCTTTTCTTTCTCTTTTTTATTTTTTTCTTTTTTCTGTCTATCTGTTTCCGGGATGCGAATTCCAAAGAGAGAGAAAGAGGATTTACAGTTTATTTATATATTATGATCTCATTTATCATCAAATCATTGATACAAGCTTGTTTTTCTCTCCTTTCTACATTTCTTCTGCCTTTTGGCTCTTTTGTTGAGTTCACCACTATCCTCCTCTCTATTCTTTTTCCTTTTTGATTTTACCGTTAAATCATATAATTTTCTATTTGCTTAAAATAACATCTTTTTTTTTTTTGTGAAATAACTCTTATGTTTGACTCTTGGTGTAATTAACTTAGGATATATCAATGTCATTAATAGTGTTACATGAATTTAAACAGTGCCATTATTTTACGAGAATCATAGATACAATGTTTATGACTTTCAAGATGCAAATAACTTAAATACCATAAATTGTTTGTGCTGTTTTCATTTAATATCTCATTTTTCTAAGAGATTATGATATCTCGTTTAAGTTGTTTGTAAAGTTATTCAACCAAGGTGTAACTAAATAAATAATAGTAATTTTATCTGCTAAATAAAACCTACCAAATCAATTTAAATTAATTTAACTTCAAATTGACTTGGAGTCCACAACATCAAGTGTAAGACCAAATACATGAAAAACTAACATTCCATCCCATTCTCATGGAACTTCTCATTGACTGTCATATAGTCATTACACTGGTCAAGATCAATCTATCACTTGTTTTATGCAAGAAGAGGTACTGTCATATAATCATGTGCATAAGCGTGCATTTAATAAAACTACATGAGTTTGTGATTAAGCAATTTAGCTAGTGGGTCGAGGTTCATATGTTTTTTTTTCCCAATTGCTTTGTTTATTTTTATTTATTTTTTATCTTTTAAAGATGATTTTAAATTATTATAACTATTTTTTAAAGCGTTAAGAATTAATATTTTAATTTTTTGCAAGATAAATGATAATTAATCTACAAACTTGCCAAATCAACTCGTGAGTTATATGGCCAAATTTACATAGACTAACAATCAGGTAAGTTGTATTTTCTTAAGCTTGGACCTGTAAATTTATATAATTTTATGAATTAACCCCTCGGGGTAAAGCCTACCTATTTTAGTTATTTATCACAAAACATGCTTAATTTTAAATAAAAATAATAATATTTATTATAAAAAAAAATAACAATATATTTTAAATGCACTATTTATAACTGGTCAATTTTTAATTTTTTAAATAATTTATCTTAAAATTTTGATTTTTTTTAGTTAATCATAAAAACTCTATTAATGTGTATTTTTTAAATGAGTGTATTATTATTATTTTTTAACATGTTTGTTATATGATTGCTTATTGTACATTATATATACACAGACGCACATCATCGTCATCAAGGGCTACAAACAAATTTGCACACTTCATGAAACATGTTGAGTGGCTGGAGTTATTTTTTGATTTCAATCAAATTGATTCTGAAAATTTTTGGAACGAAGCATTAATGTGATATATCTCCCTTCCACACTTTCATCCAAGACTATGTAATTTAATATAAACAATATCAAATAATTGTAAATGGATGAATTGGTCTCAGTTGCAATGGATTTGTGTTTACTCCTGCTACATTAAAATAAATCACAGATTTCCAGAATCAATTGAAACACAGAGGCTATATAAACATATCTAAACATATTTCAATTCATTAAAGAATTTTAAATGGACCTCTTCTTTATTGAAAGCCAATATTTTTAAATTAATTAGAACAGGCAAAGCTGAGATTTTGAAAGAGAAGGAATAAAGAAACAGCCAAGGGGTGGGGTTGAAAAAGCACTGATCCATTAAGCATAATCCAATTGGATTTTGATGTAGTAGGAATCGATTTTCAATTGCATGATTTGATTAAAACTTTAATTAAGTCTACTGTGTAAATATGGTAAATTTCATCTATTTAATAAATTTATGGACTAAATTTGATTAATATGACCATTGAATATAGAATTTTTTTTAAGTACATTAAATTTAGAAGTGTCAAATTGGAACTCAAGCTATCCACCATGAGTTAAGCTCAAAGTTAATTAATCTATTCTGATCCAAATAAGTTTTAAAAAAATTAACCTAACTCAACTCACAAAGTTAATGAATTGACTCACCCAATAAAAAATTTAAAAAAATCTTAAAAAATTTACAGATTTGTTTAATAATGATTTGACTCATTGTAATTCAGTAAATTTACAGAACAAGATCGTGAAAACTTGTGATAATTATAAGTTTAAAATTTGTAGAATTCAGCTCACCATAAGGTTGGGCCAATTAACTCATTAGCAAAAGTTCATTTTTTATTATTCTGATTAAATTTACCGAGTTTCTTACAATTTAAAATCTAGTTGATTTTTTAGCAATAAACTTTGATCTGGCATGCATATATTTTAATTTAGTGTTATTTACTAATTAAAATTAAAGTATCTATATTTAATGTCATCTTAGATTATGAAAGTAAAAATTTAATTTTGATTGATAAATACCATAAAAAAAAAAGATCTGTAATAAAATTTTATCAAACAAAAACATCATTGAGGGGGATCTTTACAATAATATGTGCAGAAGCAAGTGGAGGCCTTGCATTCTCCAATGCCATATGGTTCTTTAGAGCACTCTTGAAAGCACTTTTGCGATTCACAATTGCTTAAATGGATCAGCTTATGGCACCAATGTTCTGGGATCTTCGCCCCATCAGCACGGCCTCTCACTACAAAATCAGAGGCTAATCCACCTGCTCTCAGAAAATTGAAAAATGATCAATGATCGATGAACTTTCACTGTTAGAATAAGAAAATAATAATAATAAAAATAAAACACAAAGAAACAATGCAGAACTTGTGAATTCAGACATAAATTGATACCCTTTTGAATTCTAGTCATAAAAACAACATGATGTTTTTATCATTAAATCATAAGCAACTATGCTTTCTATATCTCAGTGAAAGAGACTAAAAGAAGGAAGCATAAAGACATAAGAGCACATAATATCTAAGTGAGTGCTTAAATTCACGATTGAATTACTATAAATTCAGGTAGCTCCTCAACACTACTAGAAGGTATAATTCATACACTAAATCCATGTTTATATGTTTTTTAACATATTTCCAGACACACATTAAGATGATACAGTGAGAAAATTAAGTTGAAGAATGAATAAAAGAGGATGAATACCAGAGAAAATAAGCACTAGGAGGAGATGGGAGAGTGTAAAAGGTGTTTTCATCTTCCAACATGCACACTCGTATAAGCCAAATCTTTGTTACAAGGAGTGAGAAATGGGGAAGAGAAGTAGATTGATATTTAAGGTGGGGTGAGTATATACATAGAATGGTCAAGTTTTAGTTCAGTCAAAAACCAAAAAGCAAAACCGGGTTCTTTAAAAACCGACAGCTGTTGTTTTGGATTGGAAAGGAGTGATGAAGAAGGTAGAATGGAGCATGCTAAGGGATACCCCATGTTTTGCCACGTCTCTATCTGTAAAACAATTTTACTTGAAGAGTATTAACAACTCAAAGTATCTAATAACCCAACTCTGCTTTCTATATGTAGTACTTGTCACAAAGTTTCTTCCTCATGTGCTTATTCTTTCCTTTGTATTTACTCAACATCTTTCTGTCAAATTCCAAAGTAAATTGATTCAAGTATTAACCGTGCAATGCGGTAGGTTTACAAGTTTTCTCCGCCCCAGTGGCTTTGGTTTTCTTAGTGCGCATAAAGTTTCATATCAGCAAGACTTTTTGACAACATGAATTATTGTTGGATTGAATAGTCTAGTCTAATTAATTCTTAAAAATATAACAATGATCAATTAGTTGCTAATTTTAAAATTTATGCTTTCTTCAATTAAATTAATCTTCGTGTTTTGACTAAATACGTATTCAAATATCATAATATAATCATGGTTAGGAGATTAACACGATCAACACAACTCAAATGCTTTAACGTCAAAATATTGACAACATATTTAATATTATATATATAAATTAAATAAGACAGTTTTTGTTATCCCATTTATTTATTATGTTAACACGTTGTCAGCAAAGTTACAAATGGCCAACTAAACGGACAAACAAAGTTAACACTTAATTTACAAATGGTATATGAATGGAGGATTGGAGTGGAACGCCGATTTTAATTTCTATATTATTGAGCACATAGACACTTACCTATTGATATTGAAGGTCATCCTAAACAATTGCCAGAGAACAGAACAGATGTTTCAAGGTCTTCCATTACTTCAATCCCAACTTGTTCTTCTAACTTAACAAACTGATGTTTGGGTAGCTATGAACAGAACGAAATAAAAAGGATAAAATAAAATGAATTAGAGAGATCACTTCATTAGGTAGATATTTTACAAAATAATATAATATTAGTTTCATTACATTTATGCTAAATTGGGAAGAACAAGAAATGAGAAATATGACAGATTAAGATGAAACTTTGTCACTATTCCATTCCAAAAAAATAAAATATCACTCCGTTCAATCCCATTCTACTCTTTACCACCAATCCAATCATGACCGCATAATAACCCGAGGGTCGTTGTGCAACAGAGAACAGGGGCATATTTTCGAAGAATAGCTATTATTATCAAAATATCGAAATGAATCAACTACACTGGTGAATTATCGATTTATTTGGTATTGAAACTCTTTAACATTATGCCAACAAAGATTTTTTAAAAATAAAACAAAGTAAAGAAAGAGTAGAGAGCTTCATCCCAAAATTAATCAATTAGTGCGTGTTTGTTTACTATTTTTTAAACAGTTTTTAGTTTTTTAGAATTGAAAAATTACAAATCTTGTTTAATAAGTTTTTTAAAGTTGTGTTAACATTGAGCGATTTTTCTAGTTTGAAAACTGAAAAAGCAAAACATTGACTTTATAAAAATTTCACTTCACTCATTAATGTCAAAAATAACTTATTTTAATCATTTTCTACTTCATTTTTTTTTATCGTCGCTCTGTATAAAAAAGATAGTATAAAATGATAGACGCGGCCTAAAGTAAAGATAGTATAAAATGAGAAACTGACAATAAAATTATAGACGAGGCCTACAATGAGTAAATACTCAAAATTTTTAATCCTGTTTCAAAATAGTTTGCTGTTATTCTGTTTTAGCTTTCTCATCATCTATACATTATGTACTCTTCTTCTGGGTTTTCGATTTATTTTGTTTTCCCCTCAGTGTAGCTCCTCATCGTTCTCCGTCATGCACAACTACTTTACTTTAATTTGGTGGTGGTGGTGGTGGTGGTGGTGGTGTAGGCGTAATATCAAATTAAACTTCAGTTTCAACTAACAGAGACATTACTATTATCTTTCTATTACTAGATTGTTACTCTTCTAGCTATTTCATTACCCTCGAAGGTTGTATATATTCATGTGTAATCTCAGTAAAATATACAATTCAAACTCCTCTTATAGTTGTCACAGATCTCTTTATTTGGATCGAATTAAGGATTGTCTCTCCCTTTGTTTGTGGCTGTACCGTTTACGTGTTAGTTTAACAAGTTTTGTTTTTTTATCTTCTCTATCACAGTTACCGAAACCAAAATTACCAACCAGTTTTTTTTCCTTCTCAAAAACTAATTCTCAAAATTGATTTACACTAGTTATTAAATTTTTTTTTAAAAAGTCAATCAAATAAGCAAATCAAGGGTATATAGAAAACACCAACACAAAAAGCTACCTAGCCATATTCACATCATCCACACTCCCATGCTACCAACTTAACGCATGACAAGTAATGTACTTGGTGCTGATATGAAACAGAATGCAAAGAACCAAAGCAAACATTTCAAACTAGGCAGAACTCACATTACCTCGTTAATGTGATATGAGAAGTTATGAGCTGATGCGATTGTTACTCACATGAAAGAGCATACGATAAAGAAATATTAAAGCATAATATTAAAGAGGAGCAAAATAGAACATATCCATGTATTTAGAATCAAACAAGACAAAACTTGAGTCTGAATGTTCGTAAATTATAAGGCTCTTCCAATGAAAAATAACTAAAACCCAAAAAAGAGAAAAAAATAGGCAATCCAACAAACATAAAGAACAGACTAGTAACCCCCTTTAAGGTCATTGACGACATCATAAGGAATGGGAGTAACGGTCTCCAAAGTGGCACCCTCAACCATGAAACCTGGTTTAGGACCTTCAGGCTGTCTTTTGGTGCTAATGACTTCTCCCTTAGCCTTAGCCTCAGCCTTGAGTTGGTCGTTCTTCACCTTCCTCAAACGGAACTCTTCAGTGCACCTTGATGGCTGCACATGCTCCACACGAACATGAATCCTCTTTCTAATTATTCTGTTACCCACCTACACATCACATACACTATTTCAATAAGCTAAAAACTGAACCGAGGAACAATAAGAAGAAATAGACAAACAAAAAAGGCGTCGAATACATAGAACAGATCGGAGAGGTGGAAGATACCTGCTTGTTGACCTCGACGCCAATGGCGCGCTTGGTGACGTTCCATACGCGACCGGTGCGGCCATGGTAGAACTTGTGAGGCATACCTTTGTGAACGGCGCCATTGACCTTGATGTCGACGTAGTCGCCGATGTGGAAGGTCCTGAGGTAAGTGGTGAGGGCAATGGTACCCTTCTTCCTGAATGGACGAGAGAAGGAATCTCTGGTACGAGCCCTCAAACCATGACCGGCCGGCATCTTTGCTCAATTAGGGTTTCACTCTCTCTCTCTCTCTCTCTCTCTCTCTCTCTGTGCAAAGCTTAGGGTTTCTCTCTTTGCAATTGTTTTTTATAGTTGGGTTCCTTTCTGTCGGGTTTTGGGTTAATGGGCTGGACTAGTAAACCGCATTTATATTGGACCATTAATTACCAGCACCATTATTTTTCTTCTCTTACTCCTCTCCCTCTTTCTTTAAATCATTTTGTTGATTTTCAAATTGTGATATTTGACCCCAAAAAAGTTGTCATATATTATATCAATCTTTTTCATTCGTACTTTGAGACTTTAGTTAAAATACCCAATCTAGTTACAAAATTATTTTTCCTTTAAAATATTATATTTACTGTTACACAAAGCATTTTAACTATAGTTACTTAGTTAGCTATGCAATAGATTGGTTTTGTTCATTTTAAATTGTTCTTTCAAGAGATTTTTTTTATTATTTTAAAACAATAACATAATATCAACTTGGGATATAAGTGAACTGAACTAAATTATCCCTTAAAATTCAAGCCTTGGCTTGTAAAGAAACTACCTAAATTTAACTTATTTATTTAAATGAATTCATTTTACAACTTAAACTTGATTTAGTTAAAACATATGAAGCGTGGACTTGATGCTTTCAACTCATTTATGATTTGATTATATATTTTTTCTTAATAAAAGTATTGATAAATACTTTTTTTATTCATTAATTTAATGTTTAGCAGATATTGTTATAATAAAAATAAAACGATTTCGAATCAATTTACCCTATCATTAGTAAACATCACTTTTGTGCTATTTAATAACTTTATTAGATATTCCTTTGCAAAATTCACCGTTAACATAATTAATTTTATCATAAACACTACAAAAGTGCACATTGATTTTTAATTATCAATACTTCATCGATATATATATCAAAATTAACTTAATATTTACTTTTAAAAATTATAAAAGAACAAGTTTAATTAGAACCATATCTTTTATTTTCTTTTCAAAATTTAACACAATCAACATAATTAATTATAATTTAATAATTAAATTAATAAGTTATTTTCACTATTTCTTTTGAAAGTTTTTAAAAACAAGAATAAACATTTTTATGATTAAAAATAATTTCCCAAAGTTAAAAATCTCTAATATTTGAGCGAATATCCAAGGAGATGCCAAGGAGAAAAACCTCATGAACGAGCTTTGTCATGAGCTCTATAATTTATGTATTATGGTTCAACCGCGTGCTTTTTGGTGATACTAAATGACTAACTTGTTTTGTAACTAGATTCGAAGAAATAATATTTTCCAAAGTTTTTTAAAAAATTGGTAAGAGATTGATTAATTTTCAAAACAATATAAAGTTTCGTTCCATTTTTCGCTCACGATGGGCTATTACGGCGGACAACCCGATATTGCTAGTGTATAATCCTCAGTAAAAAAGCAGACAATGTTGACCAATATGAAAATTGTGAGTGAGAAGATAATGCAATAACCATATCAATTTTAGTTTAGAGTGGCCATCAAGTGGCATAGCACTGTACTAATTTATTTTCAACAGCAAGGCCAACATCCTAGATCAGAACAAGCTATACAATCAGCAAGTTGAATTATACAAACTAATCTTAATGAGTGGTAATTAGTATGTGCCAAGGCAATTGCTACCATATAATCGTATATTACAGCTGTGGAAGACTAGCTGGACGCCCCTGCACAATGAAAGAAAAGTGACGAAAGTTAGGAGAAAATACACTGGGTTTTTCCCGGAGGGAAACGCCGGCACATCCGACTATATAATTTATATAATTTTTGGAACCAAACGTTCATCATATAATACAAGCAAGTACATCACAAAGTGACTGTTCCTAACTTTAAATCAGCAAAAATATCAAACAAGCACTTCAATAATATCTAAAATTATCTTGGCTGGGAAAGCAAAATTCATTTCGAAAGTCAGACATGCAAACTTGAAATAAACTTTCGTTCGAATGAATATCTCCAATTCAATTAGCGTCTGGCAGTAAGATGGATATCCAAATCTTGATTTGCTAAAGCAAGATACCTGATGTTCTAGAAGCAGATAAATTATCTGTAGCTCTCACAGAATTCCCCGTCTTTGTCTGAACTTTGCTTTCCTCCCTAGAAACTCCAAGTGACCTTAACTTGGATGACGATCTGATTGAATGTATCAATGGAGCTTCTTCATCTTCCTCCTCTTGTCTTCCTCCTTCATCTTGTGCATCTTGTTCAGATGCACTAATGGAATCCTCATCTTCACTTGAACTATGCTCATCAAAAAGCTTCTTTCCTGGTATGTTTTGCCTCTTACGAGGACGACCCCTGCGCCTAACAGAAACCCCTTCTTTCTCATCTGAAAATGATTAATTGAAATTTTTATTATCTCACTTCAGAAATGGGTTGTGTGATTTAGTTCGTTAAAAAAAGGCTTTCCCAAACAAACTAAATATATCCTTTCTTGACATGTTTAAGTCATACCATATAGCACACAGAGAAAAGCAAAGATATAGGATGTCATTGACATATTACTAATATTGAGAAAAATATAATCATAGCAAGATGTGGGCACTAGACGAAAACTTAGTTCACATGCACCATAGTACTCAAAGCAGGCAGTCAAAAGTATTATGACTATCTCAAATTCATGGAAACTAAGAGAGATGAGTATAAAACCAGAGAAGCTACAGCCAAAAGGAACAGGTAAAATGTAGGGATTTATGACTCCAAACAGCTTTGCAGTAAGTGGCAAATTTAGCAAAAGCAAACACACCTACAAGAACAACCCAGTTTAAAATAATGGGACAAATCATGTTTGAACTCAATAATAAACTAATATACCCACCAGATGCACATGATATTCAATTTCACTCCCAGTATGCCACAACAACGAAGAAGCCATCAGTAACAGTACCTTAACTTCGATCTATCGTCCCTCTATAGCCAACCAAATTTACTTATTAGAACCCTGACTATTTACACTAACAGCTATTTGATATGCTACAAAAACTGAGTATGCACTTTTCATACAGACATACACTGTTGAGCAGCTATTTATGAATAAATCTGACAGAGCATTAAAACCTCCAATTTAATTTCAACATCATACCATCCACCAAATCTGGGGATTCTAGTATACCTTATAATACACTAATTGTGTCTTAACACTATCCAAAAACTCCATACCCAGAGTATAATTTGACTTTAACCAAATAAATAGCAAATGCAAAGGTAGCAGAGATACAATGAAAATTTGCCAGCAGAAAATTTGAAGTAGAGACTACAAGTGTGCACCAGTAAAAAGAAAAAGCATAACACAAAAATAACAATCAAGAGAAAGAAACAACAGTAGGTGAATGACTGAGTCAGTAAACCAAGCCCAGCAGCACATTGAACCATGAATGAACTTGCAAGTGACAAGTAGTTAATCAGGTGACAAGACTCACTAGTTACACATTGGCTAAATTTTTCTAAATTTCCTAAAAAAAATTGATGACTATTTTATATAATGGTTCAGTGAGATCTAACCAGTTGTTGCTTTATAACGAAGAGTGTTTGGCTGTACGGTACAAGAATAAGAAATTAGAATGGAAAAGCAATTACAAAAATTACCTTGAAAGCCCTCATTCTTTGCATATTTTTCCCGTAAGCTGTCAATAAATGTGTAATATGGACGCCAGCCACTGGGATTTTCCTCTGTATTGACATTTTCTGTTCGCTGTTGCACATCCTTCATACTACTCACAAAGAAGATGTATTAAAATGCATATAGCTGCAAATGGTATTAAATAGCACCAACAAAATGGAGACAAACTCTTACATTTCCAACACATCTGCTGCAGGGAGTTTTGACACAAAATGGAGCACTGCTGCTTCCAGAAATGACAATTGTTTTGGAGCATCTACAAAAGCATATTCAATACCATCCCTGACAAGTTTTAAAATGTCTGACCTGTGTTTGTTCCGGGCAGCACCAATAAACGTTCCAGAAAGCCGGGCAGCCAGATCTTTACATCCTAAGAAAGAGTTGTTTTCTGAAGAATTATTCTCACTTCGAGAGACATTGACAACATGCCGATGGTATGCCTACCAAAATAAATTGGTTAAGAATTAGAAAATAAAACTGTAGAAGGAGACAAGAGGGTGAAACATAAATATGGTGATCCTCCCGAGGCAGAGGGACAGTGGAAACAAACCCACATTTCCTACCAGTACAAATTAAAATTCTTTATTCATAAAGCATTTCAGAAAAAGAAGCTTAGTTGCACTGATTCCTCTAGGCAAGAAGTGGATACTACATTGAACTACATCAACATTGAGCCTGAGTTAAAAGAGTAAACTAAAAGGTTTGGAAGCACTCTGAACTAAAATATTATTTTTCTTTCTCTGGTACCCTTCCTCTTTATTGAGATAGTGACACCCCTTAGCAATTAGAGGCCAATAATAAGTCACGTATCCAACTTTAAACACAAATACAGCAAGTTACTTTTGTATTTATATTTCAATTAAATAGGACATGCAACTAAAGATTGACTGCTAAATCATCAAATTCATATATAAGCCAGTATTGAGGAACAGCAATTACAAAAACTACTCCAAAGGGCTTACCTTTTTAAGTGCTTCCAGAAAAATGGCAGCTAAATCATCATCTTTTTTCTTCAAAACTGTGATCAGATGCTTTACAATCTCAGCAACACTTGCCCCATGCATCACAAAATGAGAAATAATCTCAGACGCAAGATATTCCTGCATTAGAAATAGCCAAATTTTGGCATCAAAGTAAATCTCACCACCAAGAAAAATACTCTTGGCGAGAAAAAATGGCAACAATTTACCTTTGGAACAACATCACTCGCGATCAGCTTTGCAGCAGCAATCATAACAGCATCTCTATTTGTCTCCTCAGCAAACTCTTTATTAACATCTTCATCTTCTGCCTCATCTGAAAACCAATAGGCAAGTGAAACAGACTTCTATCATTATAAACAAGATGATTACACAATATATATATATATATATATATATATATGAAGGATAAAGGAAATACACAAA